GGACCTCCTCTCGAGGGTCTTCGCCTTCGCGCACCCCGCCAGCGAGAGCGGATGGAAAGCTGGAAGCGAGCAAAGGGGGGTCGGCCCTAGCGCGGTCTTTTCCGTCCAAGTTGGGTGGCACACGAAGCGGCTTGAATTCTCCTGCCTCCATCAACTCATCGTCGCGCGACAATTCCGGGTCGGACTTTCATCTTGTCGCCTCGAGTGGTGCGCATTCGCCTAGAGAGCACAGCAAAAGCTCGGCAGGTTCCAAATCGCGCTCGGTCGAAGGCGACGACACCTTGTTGCAGGCGTCCTCACAGGCGAAAACAGTTCTGTTGCCTGCAGCAACGGGAACGGGCTCGGCGACGTCATCGATATCGGTCGGAAGGAACAGCGCTGCAGCAGAAAACGCACGACGCTCCTCCTCGAATGGAGCTCAACCGTTCTTGCCACTGTCCGCAGCCCCGCTGGCGGTCCCGTCCGAAAGTAAAACTCCTGTGTCGCGTGAAACGAGTGGTGGTAGCAGCAGCAAGAAAAGTGCGACATTTCGAGTGCCAAATGTTGCGGATGGTGAAGACAAGAAAGGACACCAGAATGCCAGTACGAGAGCACGCTCGTCTACGGATACGGAGAGAGGAAATGATAAGACCGCAGGCGGAATTCTGATCTCCGGTGGTGGTGGAAAGAACAAGAAGGTAGACCTCAATGCGATTGGTGCTGCGGCAGCAGCCAGCCGTGCGTCGATGAGTAGCTGTTTCTATGATGACGACGAGCTATACCGCGAGACCGAAGTCCTTGATCCTAACATGCGTTGGGTCGAGGAGACGCTTTTAAACGGGAAAACCTACCTCACAGCCGCGGCGTTTGATTCTTCCTCGATTACAGCCGATGGTGGGCGAGCAGGAAGCTCGCCGCAGACGGTCGGCGTGGTGGCTATGACGAGTGCGGTGGAAATTCCGATCCCCGCTCGAAAAGGCGACTCACGCTCGCAAGCTTTCTACGTGTTGCCGGTTCCACCTTCAGAAGAGGCCTTGGAGCTGCTGTTGCAGCGTGCGGTCGAGCTTGGTCTAATTGTCGATCAAACCGCGCTCGCGGCAGTAGTTGGCCGAGTGAAGAGCACCAGCACAGAAAAAATGACGGGAGCGGCCACGGCAGGAGGTGATAACGGATCATTCGCCAGTAATTTGGTATCCAACGCCGGCGGCAGCGGCAGCATCTTGTCTGACGCGGGGGACGATGCGGCGTGGCCACCTGCTCAGGTAGCGGGGAAAAAATGTCGTGCCTCAGTGAACACTCCTGGAGAAGCAGGTGCGGCTCCTGGTGTGCCCCTTCTGGAGACTCACCTAACACGGCAGCACAGTGATCCCAACGATAAGCCATCTGCTCGATGGGAAGCGTCTTCGGGTGATGGGCAGGCGTTCTCTCCTTCCGGAGGTAGATCATCTGCACTTCTGTCTCCACGGTCTGCACTTGCAGGTAAGGGGTCCGGAAGTAAGCTGAAATCGGTAGGCGAGGAAAGCTGCACGGGAAACAAGGATCAGGAAGATGCTCTTGCCATTCCTGGCGCCAAGAGAGTAGAAGAAGATGGTCGTTCAGATTTGATGGTAACTGTTGAGCCGCACCAGATGAAAAGTGTGCAAAAGGAAACCTCGACTTCATCTCTGTATTCCAGTGTATCCTTTGCGCTTGGAGCTGGCGAGCGGAGAATTTTACGTCGTGGAGGCGCGGCGAGCGGCGTGTCGTCACCTACGGGCGCGGATGGTGAAGGCATACTTCATAAATCGCAGAAACTCTTTTCTGGGTTGTTTTCCCCAAAATTGAGCGGTAAGTTTGGAAGCATCGAGAGCGATGGCAACTATCTGGTTGGTGCGAGCGGGCAGAGCACTGCGTCGGTAGCAACAGCAGGAGCTTCCACGCTGTTTTCCGCTGTGACCAGTTCGCAGAGAATTATGCCACTTGGGCACAATCTCAGCTCGGTTTTCGGCGGAGACGGAACCAGCAGTGTCTATGGCGGTGGCCTCGGCGTAGATCCTTCAGGGCAGGGCTTCAACGGAGGTGGAGATCCACCAAATGCAAACTTGTCCGCGGGGCGTATCGAGCGCAGTGTGCTCCACGACCGCAGACTGTTGCAGAAGCTTTATCAGGAGTTGGTCTTCCGCAAGTCTCATCTGCGCTTGCGCCGTGGAGTTCTCGAGCGCTACGTGGAACCGTGTCTCGTTTGCCTAGTGTGTGAAGAGAAAGTGCTTCTACGGACGCACGAGGAGTTGGAGGACGGGCGCGTTTTGGAACGACTGACGCTGCTAACTACCAAAAAGATGCCGGAAGAAAGCTGGGAAGACGCGACAAGGCGGGCGGCCGCGGATGAACTGAATGTCCATTCTTTAGACCTCTCGGACGCAGTGTACAGATGTCGGGACGAGGGCGGGGCATCATCGCCGGCGCTGCCAGGCATCGGCACCTGCTTTGGCTTGCATTTGATCACCGTTAAAGTTTCTCCAGAATTTGTACAAGAAATGATGCTTTCGGCTGAAAGCAATCAACAATCGAAATCTAAGCTTCTGCCAGGACAGAGTCTTGTGGGGGGTAGCGGAGGTGGGACCGGTGAACAGTCCAGTGGGGCGGCGGGGCCGAACAATCCGCAAGATGCTAAGGCTGACGGGGCGAGCAAAGCAAGGCGAAGCCGTGTGTCCCGTATGAGCAAAGACATGCTTGGGGGCGGCCGGAGGTCCGTTTTGGGCGCGCGAACGGGCGCTTTCTTTCGTGGTGGTTCAACCGCTGGAAGTGGAAATACGACCAAGGCGGCAAAAACACTGCGGTCGGGGCATCAAGACCCGGTGGGTGCACTCCCGGCGTCTTCCGATCAAGTGTCCTCAAAGATACGGGACAGTCGCAGCAACCGGTCGTCCATGTCTGTCCGCGACTTTACTGGTAGCCGCAATTCACTGCGTTTGGGTCCCGGAAATCGCAAAAGCATTCTAGCTAGCTTCCACAACGAGAAACTCGACGAGGAGGAGGAAGAGCAAGCACAATCCCCTGCTGATGAGAGTGGTGTAGGCCCGCGAGCTTCGGCGTCCAGACTCTCCACCGTCAGCGGCAGCGGGCTACAAAGAAACGCGCGAGCAAAGCGTTTCTCGTGGAAAAGAATGAGCACAATTCAACTCCGATCAGTCGCTGCGCATCGCGCGAGCTTTGCCACCGGTGGCCCAGTTGGCAACCAGTATGAAGCTCGAGAGCAGGTGGAGGAGACGCTTACGGGAAAAGCTGGAAGTGTGGTCTGGGCTCAAAGCAAGAAGCGCAGCATCCTGGGCCGACTGTTTATGAATGCGTTCCCGCCCCGATGGTCGGGTTCTATTCCGAGCACAGACGAGCGAGATGGAGACAACGGGGAGGGCAAGGACCATCTACATGGAAATGTCATCGAGGAAGATAGTCGCGGGAGTAGCAGTAACGCATCTTCGGACGCCGGTGCTGGACCTGGAGGGAGACCAGGGGGCAAGCAAGTACCCACCGGACACGATAATTCTCGCGCTAATCGAACTTCGATGTTAGCGGTGGAGGATAAACGTGACGAAAATGTTGATGGCAGAGTCGGAGACCTTAGATAAGTGGCACTTTGCTCCGACATTTCTGCACCTCTGAAGAAGTAGGCTGCTGCGTACCCTCGTGCGCGGCTGCGCGCGGTCATTGAAGAAGCGCGCAGGCACCCGGAGAGGATTCGGGGTCGGCAAAATCGAGATTGCCAAACTCTCGACTGCACTCTGGCGGAGCCGAGGGCTGGAGGCTGGCAAAATCGAAACCGCAAGATTCTTGATTCCACTGTAGTGGAATCGAGAATCGGGGGCTGGCAAGATCAAAATAAATTGCCAGATTCTCGATTACACTGTGGTGAAGTCGAGAGTCGTGGGTTGGCAAAATCGAAAGTGTCAGATTCTTGATTCCACTGTGGTGGAATCGAGAGCCGGGCGCTGGCAATATCGAGACAGCCCCACTCTCGATTCCTCTGCAGTGGAGTCGAGAATTGTCGAGGATTTTGGTGACCCTTCACAAATCTTGGGTGCACTGCTGTGGAACCCAGAATTGTCGAGGCCTCACCAATTCTTTTTCCCTTTAAAAGGAAGTGGTGAGGCCTCGGCAATTATCGTTTCCATCGCAGTGGACACAAGAATTAGGGAGGGTGCTCAAAATCCTCGACAATTATCGACTCCACTCTAGTGGAATCGAGAATCGGGGGTACAGGATTCTCGATTCCACTGCAGTGTAAACGGAAACGGGGCGGCGGGTAGTCTTCTCCAAAAGGAATGCGGGCCGGCTTGGTCGCATGGTTCTGGAGCTACCTGGAACTTTCCGCTTCCACTGCCGCTGAGGCGTTGCCTCTTGTAGGTTTGCCATTGGGCCGCAGCTCCTGCCCCTATTGTGTTGGCAGCGGAACGCCCTGGCCGGGTCGTTTCCCGTCTGCGTCAATCAGTTCGATGGCCCGCAGCAGTAAACTACTTCAGGCAACTGGTGACATTTGGTAGGCAGAGTGCCGCTAAGTTAGTTCAACACCGAGAAACAGTTCCGACAAGAATACGGGGTCACCTGCAACGACTTCCGGAGGTGGCTCTGGAGAATCTAGAGCCCGCGTGCTGTCGCCGCCGCCCTCTGACGCGACGCCGCATTCTTCGCTCGGAAGCGGCGGCGCGGCGCACCGCAGTCTGCCTTCCGCAGGTGGTGCCTCCAGATCATCCCGCGGTGGAGGGCGGGCGAGCACGGGCGTAGGTCTAGGTTCGTCAGGCTTCCATGAATGCACAGAGCAGGTCCAGCCGAGGGGGCGCGACGGGAGTAGCAAAAGCACAACGCGTTCTGTTGACTGCTCGTTCTCTGTGGAGTCCCCGGTGGATGATGACTGCAGCATGATCGATGACACGCTGTACAACAAACGTGCGGATGCGACTGCTCCACAGTCGTCAAAGGTTGCCGAACGAAGTACCACTCGTACCTCCACGTCCAACGCTGCTAATCCGCAACCGAGTAGCAGCATTCGATCATCGATTTTCGGCATCCGAAAGCACCGGAGTACGATAGTTGGCAAACTTAGGGTCAATTTTCGGAGTTCCACCGCCTCGGGTGATAGCAATCGTAGTTCTGGGAGCAAAGGCAGTAAGGAACCAATGTTCTCGGGATCGAGTTGGGATGAGCGCAAAGGTGAAAAGCGAATGCTGCGAAACAGTGAGAACAACATAAACACTGGTGTCAATTATCAAAAAAGCAGCAGAATAACTACAACAACAACAACAACTTCATCTAGTAAACAGAGAAATCGCAACACGGTCTGTGATTGCACAGTCCACGATGAAAATGGTAATCGTGGTGGGTCCACTACTACAACAACTAGTAGTGGACTTGCAGCATTGTCAGCTCCACGAGCAGAAAGGCGCAGAAATACCAGGAGAAGTGTTAATTTGAAGCTTACAAAGGCCGCAAGCTTCGGTGCCGTGGCCAAATCGCGGCGAACGTTTTTCGGTTCTGTGCTTACTGGTGGAGGTGGTTATCTGTCGGACGCAACTTACAACGGCCCGAATGAAGATGCTGCGGACCACGGCTCGCCTGCTAGCGGAGCACATCAAAGTGGACAACATCAGCAGAGCGGAAATCAGCAAGGAGAATCTGTGGAGAAGGAGAGCACAGCGGACAGTTTCCTAAATCACGAGAGCTTCGAGACGCGTCCCTTCGACTGCGCGTTTTGGACGAAAGTGCAGACCGCAAGGGGCACGCGAACGCGGTACTGGAACTGGAAGAGTGTGGATCATTTGGACGATCTCGATTTTGCGGCCAAGGTGTTCGCCGAATCTCCACTCTTGTATTCCTCTCTAGTCCAGTTGCGGGAAGCGCGAGGCGAAGAGGGCGGAGAGGTGCGCGCGCTTCTCATCGGCTTGGAGGGAAGCGCACCGGGAAGGATCGGCGTGGCGGGAAAGCACGACGCCGGGGGAAAGAGTAAGCCTTACGGATGCTGGAACGGCCTAAAGTGGCGCTTTTTCGGCGAGTGTATTCCGCCCGTGCCCGCATCTGTCGGCGGCATGCGCGTCAACCTCACGAAGCCGCTTTTTGATCTCTGCGAGAAGGTCTGCCAACGCGTCCTCACGGAACCCAACTAATATGGCTAGCGGTCGGTTTTCACTTCCTTTCAAATCGAAACTTTTTCCAAAAGCAAAGTATTAGATAAATAGGTTGGCTATACCGGCATCAATCTAATGATCGGTCGACTTCTTGAAAAACAAGATGAATGTGCTACGTCGGTTGTTCCCAAACCACAACCAAGCATGTTCTCACTCTTCTCTCTTGTCTAAGTTTCTGCACAACTGATTGATGAGTTGATTTTAGAGAGCGGTCCTTCTCACAAGGGCATCGGTCAATCTACAGAACGCGAGGTAAGGCAGCGCGAAGCATTGGAGGAGATGCTATTCAAAAACATCCTGAAGTCCGACTCTCGCAGAGCAAAGGAGCGCGTTCACGAATATCTTTTTATGAAGTAGACTGGAAAATTACATACAACTGGCGTTACGTTTTTTTCTTATAAGATGAAGCTTTTAGGCTGCACGTTTGGAAGAACGAAGACGCTCTTCATCGTGATCTTGACCACCTACTCCAATAACGCAAGGGCTACCTAGTATAGAGTAAGGAAAGTAACGGGTTTCGAGTTGCCACGAATTGCGCGAGTTGCCGAAGTTCAGGGTTGGGAGTTGGCATCTCTATGCGCATCTCTATGGCTCCTTCAAGTAGGAAAGCCATAGATATGGGAGCTAGAGGCGCCAACTCTCAACCTCTAACTAAGCGAAGAGCTCCAATTCTGGGACGAGTTGCCACGAGTTGCCGGAGGCAACCTGGCCCATCGAAATGGGGCAAAGAAGGGCGGCGCGGGTGTGGAAGTGCTTGCTCGACATGCGGGCCCCCCGTTTCGGGACCTCCTTCGCAAAAGAAGGCCGGGGGGCGCTGTCTCCTTCCGTTTGGGATCGATAGCGGCGCGCCACTCTCGACTCGGTGGCGGGGGTCAAGTGCCTCGCCCCCCCCTGTGGTTTGGTTAGGTATAGGCTGTCGCCCCGCTGCGTTTCGGCGTGGGCGAGGGCTTCCCGCTGGGGTGGGTTCGTAGCCGGCTTGCGGCTGGAGGGTGCCCCTGTGAGTGACATTAGGGAAAATGCTGCGGGGGTTGATGCATTGGCGGGTAGCGGTGGGTGCGGTCTGACGGTGGTGGGCAGCTGGGCGGGCCGGTGCGGCACATGCCACACCCCACCAGGGCCCCCGCGTTGGGCCCTTTGCGGTCGTCCGACTGCCCCCACCTTGGCTGTCTTCCCCTGGCGGATGCCCCTCCATCCTGCCTGCCCGCAGTCCTCGCCTGGGTCTTGCGGAAGAAGAAAATCAAGGAGCAGAGACACAATTCGCGTTGCCTTATGCTCTTGCTATTAAGGTCTCTCGATGGCTCATGAACCTGCGCCCGAAGGGCGCCGCGCAAAAAATTAGGGTGAGCAACCCGAGCAACTCGACCCGCACCCGCTACGGGTCAAAAAAATCCTTATTCTATTTATTAGTAGTTTTTCCCCATGGTATCTGTGTATCTTCTGAAGGGTTAGGCTTGCAAATGCAATAGCAACGAGTACGGTGGAGCAGGTGCCAATGTCAACCACTACCTGGGAAGAACAACTAGGCTTATCAGTTCTACCTGTCACGTGAAAGGCAATGTTGATGGCGTAGAAAACTATTGCTTTCATACTTCTGCGCGCGAGCAGGGCCGCGAATCAGCGAGCCACTGCAGGTTCTGGCTAGTGCCATCGTTATATCCGCAGCAAATACGTCCCCGGTTTTCAGGAGCTGTGTATTATAAAAGACGATACGCTACTTATTTTTGGAGCCGCGAAGGGTACCGCACTTTGCCCTCGCAATAGTCTTGTGTCGATGATGATTTTTCAAATTGGTTTTTTCAGAATGTGAATGAGATCATGCAGTTGAACAAGTGCGTTAAACTTATTTGTATTGCTATTTAATCAGTATCATGATCACGTACACCTTTTTAGTCTAGTACGTATAGGACTGAGGCCGAGCTGATGATCTTTCCCGTTAATCATCTATCACTTTGTTTAGTCTCACTTGTTTATCGCATGATGAACTGTGTGTTGGTTTTTTTTAGGCAATAGATACGTCGAAGGTCTGGTAGAAGCCAGGAGATCGATTTTTTTATTGTGAGTACTTGATATGGCGATGGTCATCTTGGTCTGAGATGGCTCCTGGCCTGTTGCATTTTACTTCTACGTTTCCATGGTTGGAGACTACATCAGGAAGCAAGTTGCGAATGAAAATCAGTGAAAAGTCAATCACTTGTTGCTGTTGCACAAAAATGTCTCCGGCGAAAGTACATCGTCAGTAGTACTGCAAGGTTTTTTGGTACGTAAACAAAGCAAGGAAGTGGTGTAAGGATGCAGATTATTGAGATTGATATGATGAACAAGTATTTCTACTAGTCGTGACCCGAGTTTCAGTGGCTATGAGGAAGCTTTTCACAAAGTAGGAACAAGCACGTAGAAGAAGTAGGTCGATTTCATCTTGTTGCACAACCAGTATAGAAGCAGAAACTAGAACTAGGTAGTGGAAACTAACAGTCACTTGCACAGTTAGTCAGGCATAGTCTATGCAGCCTCAACGTGATTCCTAGATGGCATGCTTTCTGTCTTACATATCTTTTCGACTTTCTAGATCTTTTGTTGAATCATCATATGATTCTGCACCGCCTGAGGGTAAATGAGAGCGTGGGAGCAGCGCCATCACGATCATGAAAGTATGCAGTCATTTCCATTTTCTTTCACGGTCACCCGCAAGCGGAAAGACGTAAAAACTTCTGTTCTGACTAGTACAGCTCTACCTTTTACGTTTTCTGAAAAATAAAGTCCTGTACCCATAGATCCTGACCGGCGCAACGCCTGCACCCGCGGCAGACCGTGAGAGCAGACTCTACTCGTATAATTACTTAGCTCGTTTTTATTCCTTTATTTCGGAGGATAATCAGAACACTTTTACTTTAATTAAGGTCTAGATGAATTGGATCCCTTATTTCCGTCGACAGCAAAACAGCAAGATGTCTGTTCTCAACGTTGTCGGTGATTGTCATCTTTCAGGAATTGTGAGTTGTAGAACGATGACTTCGGCACTTGATATGAACAAAGTAGAGGTAACTATCGTGTTGAGAGAGAGATAAAGAGAGAGAGAGGCAGAAAAAACGAGACACACCCTCCTGCACTGGATTCGGAACCTCCTTCACCTCTTTTCCCCGATGCTGTGACTATGTTCTTTATTAGTTGGTGATTCTTATTCCATCTATTTCTGCAGGTGATTCTGATTGAACCTAAATGACAGATTTTGAAGCATTTTTCAATGAAGGTGAATGATTTAACGGTGTGCACTAGTACTTGTGTTCTACTGCTTGATGTAGTGTTATTGTACTCTTGCATTGAATATTCTTCTTCATGCATGTTGACGATTCACCTGCACCTCACGCAAAAACTGTTGAGTACCCGAGGAACAAAATAAATGATGCGACTGAAGACGCTGCATTGAATCAGGTGGCAGTGTCAGGAGTAGGGACCAAGTTGTTGTGCAAAAAAATATTTGTTCTTTTGATACGTGCATTAATGGCACGTCGAGGGATCACAACTACTTCTGGTTCTGTGCTGTTTATGAGAAGAATCTCTAAATTCATACCCGAAAGAATACACAAATTAATGGAAGAATTGCGCTAGCGAACGCATCTTGTTCTTTTATCGTCCTCTGATTGCAAGAGGAGTAGTAGCAGAAGCAGCTTGAGGCTGCTGCAATCATCAACGACATCAAGATTGGCTGGACAACAACGACAACGAATATCCGAAAAAATGCTTGGCCTTCGACCGCCGTTCGGTTCGGCTTCTATGCCGAGTAACGTGCGCGGGGCGACTGTGGACTCAAATGGTTTTCCGACAGAGCAACCGCACACACGATATCATCGAGGGGAGAATCCGCGAGTCTGGGCTGCCGAGACAGGTTTCGTTGACAGCGTCTACAGCCATGACGGCAAGCATGTGCCGGATGGATCACCACTTACTGGCTTGCGAAGCATTATGATTTGTAACATCTTGACGATCCAGATCCTACTTTGATGCAGTTTTCTTGATATTTTTCGTTTGCTGTTTTTAGGCTTCTTCGGTAGCTACGAATGGACTGCAACAGGAGCAATCATGATGAACTCCTTAAACATTTTGTAACCTCTGGAAAAAAGTGCTTCGTGTCTAGAAGTGATAAGGACGACGTTCACGCTCTAAGAAGTACATATTCTAGTAGTGCTCTCCTTCTTGACTGAGTAAGCCCCTGATGCTCATCCTGATTCACGACTTGCTTGTCATTACCCTGCCCACTTTCATACGTTTGTCGCCAAGAACCCTGAAGCTCGTGTGGGGCCAGTATAAGGACCAATGGCGAGGTCCCGCCAGCACGATGCCGCACTTCATGCAACTGGTGCACAACAATAACGCGGGATCCACTGACCTCGAGAGGTCAGTTTTGCAAACTAGCGACACGAGTCTAGTCACCTTCAGCCCACGCATTCTGTCCATGCGAGACCAACACAAGAAAGACCAACGCGTAGAACCATTTGAGTACAAGAAGCCAATAACGCAAGCGGAAAAAGACCTGAGAAACCACAAGTTTTGGTACGTCACGCTCGACTACAAGGACAAGCCAACAAGCGTGCATGGATACTGTACTCGACGTCTTAGTTGTCTAGATTGATTCTTGAAGGTTAATGCCAGTTGTTCTTTCTTGAAGAAGTTTAGAAGTCTTGCTCCTCGGGTTGTCCACCAACTCATTCAAATCATTGTTGATTTTTCATCATCAAAAGCATACGTTTGCGATGCACCACGTGTAGTATGTCACAATCAATCTTCAAAAAACAGGGCATTGGAATACGAGTTTTTTGCCATGCACGCAATTAACCGACTTCCCTCGGAGAGAAGGAAGTCCAATGAGCCCGCGACCGGGTGAGGATCCAAGCAGAAATATTTCCCAGCTATCTTCGCCCGCGCTCAGTCGTACTTTTTCAATCCCGCGCGCCAAAGTCTATGAGTTTAAGTACGTAGTACATTAAATAGTCCTTGAAGGTGAAGAAATCGATCGTAGTATGGAGAAATTAATAAGACGGACGCACGAAAGGAAGCACTTTTTTTTTTCTTTGCATTTTTCGCTCACGCACTCACAGCACGCACGCCTCCACGTCGACGGTCACGATCTCCGTCGCCCCGGGAGGAGGGGGATCGAGATGAGTCACCAGTCATACGATCTCTCACAAGGATGGCCCACAACATCCGCGGCACACTTCCGAAACGCAAATTGCAGCCGTGGCCGAGTCGGACTACGAAAAAGAAATCAACTTATGAATTCACAGGTTTGGATTTTGAGATTTGCTGAGAGTGAGACTCTATGTGACCAAGTGAATTTGAACAACAAGAAAAATTTGCTTAACTAGACAGATCACAACTTTAGCGGAAGAGGTGTTCCTGGGAACTACTAATCAGTGATAGCTGCATCTACTCAGCGTTGTTCTTCTTGATCCATGTCTAATACACTAGAATGTCAGGGCTGTCTTCACAGGAGTTGAGCATGTCCGTTTCCTATCCAGCAGATCTTTCGAGAGCGGCAGATGGCCAGCTCGTTGGAGACCACTTCCAACAGTTCGCGCATGAAAAGCGAAAGCAGCTAAGCTCACTTGCGCATAGCAAAGTCCTCTTTGTTATGGCTCGAGAAATTATATTTATTTTTATATGTTTTAGGGCTGCACGGTACCCCCCATGTGGTCTGGTCTGTGGTGGCGCGCGCGCGCTTTTCCGCGCTGATTTTCGCGGATTCCAGTGGTGGAAGGCGTCAAAACTTGGCGCAGGCGGTCCCTTGCGCCTCTCTGCGTGGTCCTTAGGGAACTCCTGGCCTCTGCTGACCCTCGCAGGCGGGAGGCCTCCGGGGTAAAAGGCCGCCGAAGGCGGCCAAGGTCGCATGAGCCAGGAAGCCGATGATCAAGGGCCCGGAGGGTACAGGCCGCACGGCTCAGAGAGTCCAGCCCCTCGCCTTTTGGCGCCTTCGGAGGCCTTCCAAAACCGGCGCACTGCTGCGGCGGCGAAGCATATCGGAGGCACTTAGGGCACAGGCAGGCACCTGGAAAGGGGCGCAGGCGGTCCCCTGGGCCCCTTTTGAAGCCTCCCAGCTAGATCGGAGGCCTGTAAGGGACCGCCAGGCAGCTGGAGGGGAGCGGAGGAGGTAACTTGGCTCCTTTTTGAGGCCTTCTACCCCCGGCAGACGCCTTAAAAAGGGGCCTGGGGCGGCACGGTGCCCCCCCTTACGCTAGGGGGGGGGCGCCGTCGCCCCGCGCCCTGGATCATATATGATTATTCATTATGCTCTTTGTATAGTTTATAGATACAAAAGTGATCTTCATCTTGTTCGTTCCCTGTAGAAATGTACAGTACGTAGTATCACTTGCATTGTTATCGCTGAGAAATTACAACGGTCCGCAGTTACTGTTTCTCATAGATAATTGACACTCTTGCGTACCTCAACCTCATGATCGTCATGATCTAAGTGTTTCGGCGACAAGAGGATGGGCATCTCTTCGAGTGGCGCGTTTTATCAAGGATCGCCACGAACTGAAGGTGCAACAACTTCCTTTATGTTTATTCATTGCTAGACGTTTCTTCGAAGTGACTTCATCGATCTAGTCCATTCATCATCATTATTCATCGATTCTAGAAATACCAGTCTTGCCATGACGACATCAGACAGTTATAATAGTAGGAATAGAGTACTATCATGATAGGGAAAGGGAATGCAATTCCATTTATTTCTCCAGGTGACGTTTCCGTTATGTCAAAGTCAACTTCGAGGCGCAGTCTCGTGACGTACAAGAGCGAAAGACACGCCCGAGTCGCTGAAAGCATAAACCGTACTTCCATGATCTCAATGTTAAATACTGCGGTTTCCTTTTCACTTTCCTTACTCCGGAAGAATTATTTTCACGCGGTGCCGTTTGACATCGTTCGTTGGAGTCTACTCAAAATGTTGATCATTTGATTGGTCACACCGGACACACATGATATGACATGACATTTTCTCTTCCTTCTCAGGTTTGGCACCGATGACGCAGACTAGTTACAATACTCGAAAGCGTGCGCCTGCCCGAAAGTATCGGCAATTTCTCTACACGTCATTGCATGGCACGAAAAAAGATCTGCCGATCATTGCGGACCGTGTAGACGCTCTAAACCCTACGCGCCGAGAAGGCAGTTGGTGGCAAGAGCCCAAGCCAAGCGACAAGGGTTGGCGAAGCAACACCAGAGTCACACACAGGCCTATGATGTGAACGAAAAAATTTATAGACGAATTTACTCGTCCGTTGTTGTTGTAAAGAAAATATTACAACAGTCAGAATCACTCTAGAGATTTATTATTGCTACTCAATCTAACAGTCGCAGGTGCGGGGAGGGCGGTGCCCTGTGGAGGCAACCCGATCGATTGACTGATCTAATATATTTATCGTCGCCAGTACTTAATGCATGCCCTTTTTCACTTCGTTTTTGCTACATATTTTTCACATTTACATTTGGATATCTCATACAACTAGAGGTAGAGCCGGCGTGGTCATCGTATCTGGTGCTAGTACGTAGCAATAGTGCATCTCTACTGTTTGATCCTGATTAAAGCTGTTACCTCCTCCATGCACTTACGATCATCACTGTAGCTATGTTTGTTTATCTTTTTGCTCATATCATGGAAAAAACTTGAAATGTATTAAGCTTTCAACTTTAGTAGTACGCCTTCTCACATCCACTTTTTGCTCCCATTCGGCAGGTTGTAAGCAGGATGTTGCAGTCAGGGATGGGCCAGCATGGGGGACGTACTATAGAAAAATGTTGGTCAGTGCTCACGCTAAAAATCTAGGGAAGTTTGTATCCTATTCTATGACTGACACACACAGTTTGGGGCTGAACCAAAAATTGTACTGGAGAAAATTCAACGAAGGACTGCAAAAATCCGGACATAATTCAACCCTGTCGGGCATGATACGAATCCGCAGAACACTCGCCGCCTACTGCGCTCCCTTCGCGAAAACCTTCCTCCAATTGCGAGCCAAGAACCTCGGGCGCCCTCCAAATCCCCGCGCCCCTCCAGAATCCCCAGGCATACACTTGCAGGCTGGTGCGGTGGACTCTGGAGGGGCGCGGGGAATCACATGAAACGAAACCAAAAGACAGAAAAACCAAGAGAGAGCAAGTTGCAAAAGTCGCTAAGCGAAGCACTTCCAGGACGAGGAGGCGACAATAGTGACCGTTTTTGTGCAGTTCTTAGTTGACTTAGCGCCATTCTAATCAGCCATCTGCGGAAGCACCAGAGGCACAGCGAGCACGCCACACCATCGAAACTTAACAAAAAGAGGAGGCGCGAGCCCTTTGGAACTCAAGCGGCAACCGGTCCAGCCCTTCTTGAGAAATGCCACGAAATTGAATAAACCTCTCTATTGTTTGCCGCTTTCCTGCTCGCAAGGCCATTTTTGGAAAAAAATCTGAAGACATCTTTTCACTTTTTTCATCAAAAATGGCCTAGCGAGCAGGAAAGCGGCAAACAATAGAGAGGTTTATTCAATTCTGGCGAAACCCCCGCAAACTTCCCCGCTGAAATACTTCAAAAGAGTGCGAACAACGCCAGCAAACCCCCCCGACAATCTGCGCACAAACGGCGGCGCGCGTGAGTGGTCTGACCATTTGAAGGCGGCAGCGCGTCGCTTCTCTTTGTAACTAATCCCACCCGGCGCGAGAGCTTCGGGGCGCCGGGTGGTCAAAAGTCCAACACTTAACAACATGAAAAGACCCAAGAACGAAGAACCTCGGGCGGAGTGTCTCAAACCTTTCCGATTATGGCGAAAAATTCGACCACAGACAAGTGGAGTTAGAATGGAGAAAATTCAACTAAGGACTGCAAAAATCCGGACAAAATTCAATCTTCTCGGGCATGATACGAATCCGCAGAACACTCGCCGCCTACTGCGCTCCCTTCTGGAAAACCCTCACCCAATTGCGAGCCAAGAACCTCGGGCGCCCTCCAAATCCCCGCGCCCCTCCAGAATCCCCCAGCATACATTTGCAGGCTGGTGCGGTGGACTCTGGAGGGGCGCGGGGAATCACATGAAACGAAACCAAAAGACAGAAAAACCAAGAGAGAGCAAGTTGCAAAAGTCGCTAAGCGAAGCACTTCCAGGACGAGGAGGCGACAATAATGGCCGTTTTTGTGCAGTTCTTAGTTGACTTAGCGCCACTATAATAATGCTTATCTTCATGCATTCACTGGTCTTGTACAGAAAAGAACACGGGACAGCGCTGTTCAAGAATTTTATTGGAGACAAAATATTCATTCGATTTCGACATACTACTATGCCTTGTTCTGAAAAAATATCTGCATGGTTTCTTCGCTTTTATTAAAAAGTAGCTACTATTCTTCCACTTACATACATTGTTTTTGCATTGGCATCGTCATGTGATAAGAAATCAGTATTGAACTAGGGTTGTGAAGATTTCGTGCCAAAATACAGTGCTTCTACTACAGAATCTTCGCGAGAAGGTAATCGCCATCAGCACGATTACCAGACCACTTGCTGGAAAAAGTATCTTTGTTCATCTCAACTCGGCGACTCCTCCTGGAGATATCGATCATCTTTTGCCGAAGCAAGGCGAGCAGAGGCTGCAGTTTCTCGACACGCCTTTCTTCTGGATTCCTTCCACATCAACGAATGAAGTCGATCTCAGTTCCCCTTGTACCTTTATCGGTCAATTGGTGGCGATACAACTCTATCCCAAGAAGTAAGCATCATCAAACTGATGAAAAATTAGTTGTAAAATTGAGCTGGACAAACGACGCGTGCCGATTCAACAGCGCGCAGAATGATTTCTGGGCATATGATGATGTGTAATTCTGCGTCGTCACAAACATCCATTTCACGGTTTAAATGCGCATAGATAGGTGGCTCTGCGAGCCCGCGCTAGCTTTTCTACAAGGCAGGCCGCGCCCCTGTCTTCTCTTTGAATTCGTAAGTCCGGGCCACGACCCCGATTCAAGTCACGTAGGTCCACGCTTGTGCACTTCTTTGTAGACAAGTAGGCAAAAAAAAAATTCAACTCGACATCTACTTTATGAGCAGAGAATCCATATCCATTCCTCCTCCCTTGCCTGGAAGATACCATGAGATAAAAGAGTCAAAGTTTGAAGACAGCTGAGTCAGACTGACATACTTTGCAAAAGGGGTAAAAAGCATGAACTCAGTATCAACAATTTTGCGTGACGATCCGCTCGCATTAGGATATGCACATCCATGTCGACGTGCAGATTACTTGTCACGTTTGTGCATACAGAAGATGCACGATTACTAGTTGTGTGAAAAGCGGTGAACATCACCGACTTGTACTTTGCCTTTCTTGGTCGGTAACATGCTCAGACCACGTTCCTACGCTTGTCACCAATGGCAGAAGTGGGCACATACGCACGACATGCTCAATTGCTAGTTTGATCACCAATCCCGCCAGTGATAGTGAATCAATATATTTATGATCATATAATTGATGGACCGTTTCAAAATACTCGACATTTCAATACTAACTAAGTAAAAAAATATTCGGAATTAGAAGTTTTTGTGTGTAAAAATGTTTTTTTTCAAATAACTTTGAGCATGGCCGTCGCGCGTGTAGTTTGTTGATGGTAAGTATATGCAGGAATTAGTGGGCAGGCATCGAGAAGACCCCAAATATTTTTTGTAGTTTTTTGACAATTCATTGTCGTGTCTTCAGTCTCTCACAGATGACTACGAAAGTCAAAGGTTCTAGTCCTGTCGTGGTAGAATATTATGAAGAGGAGCAACAAAGTTCCGGAAGGTCTGCCTTGTGCAGGGGACGACGCGCGGAGAAAAGGCGGCAAGTCGTCCCCAACAGCGGCGGCATGTCCGGACTCGACAACACCAGTTCCAATTTATGATCACTGACCCATTCAGCGTTTTCCTTTTCTTGTCGTATAGGTTGATACTGAGTAAAAGATCTTGATGATGAAGATGTGAATCCATTAGGCAACCTGCCTAAGATTTCCCTGGCGACTTCTCCCCGCTAATCTGGTCACTCTCTGTGAGGTATTAGAAATGCACTGCGTCCGCGAACGGTAGCCTTCCGCAAGCTAAAGCAAGTGTCATGATGAAGAAAAAGTGGATGTGTCTGTTGTTGGTCTTTTCTCATCTTGTTTTTCAGTAATAACAAATTTATTGAGAAGTTTGTGTTTCTTGATTCATACAATTCCGAAGAACGACGGGTGCAGTGCCACGACCGATGCGGAGACAGCGTCGTCGCCACGGTATCCGCATAGGCGGCGAAGAGGTGACATATTGGGTCAGCAGCAGTCACCCCCACAAGGCGTCTCGCGCGAGAATGGCGCGACCGGATCAGCTCGTGTGAGCACAAGAACCGTCAACAAGTCCTCGCCTTCTGGAACGTCGTCTAGAACGTCGCCAAGTTCTGCCGCCGCACCAAAGTCAAGGTCTTCGGATAGGTACAACACTGGCGTCAAAAATACCATTCCCGACACGACATCGATTTCAGGTCGTGGAGCTGTTTCCGCGTCGTTCTCCTCTAGGAACCATGCGGGGGGAGTTGCAGTGGTTAGCACGCCTTCTTCTGGCGTCGCCAGTGCAGTTGCTGGAGGAGGTGGAAGTCAACCTGCCCAAGCACAGAAGAGCGCGTCCGCATCACCTCGCACAGGTCAGACAAACACAAATAGTAGGGGAACACTAGCTGCGACTACGAGCGCAGCCTCTTCTTCTAGTAAAAGTGCAGCTAGAGAGAGCCCAAGAACTACTGTTTCAGCACCAGGAGTGCGATCGTCAGGGCTTCGAGACGGCGAAGCAGAATTTTTCGCTGGAGTGCAACAACAAAGCTCATCACGATACCAAAGTCGTGCGGGAGCTGGAAGAGATCTCATACTTCTGAAGCCGTATCAGCCTGGTCCCGGCGCGGGGCAACAAAATGAATCTTCATCATTAGAATCAGCTGCACCAGCACAAAGTTCTACAAACTCAGCAGGTGGTGGAAAAGCGGCTTCGGGAGCTGGAGTTTCGCTCAACTCTCATTCAATTTTCGTCGCCTCATCTCAATCTTCTAAAGAGACAACATCATCGCAAATGGTGTTGCCTCCATCCTTAAAGACCGCTGCGAAGAAATCAACGACGAAAGGAAGTAGTCCTAGTCCTCTCGTCGACGTCGCCTCTTTTTGCAGCACCGATAAGAATATTGAACTTATCGATCCCGACCCCTCGAGTGCAGATACGAGCTTTCTGCTTGAAGAGGACTCCTCGTCATCTCGATCACGACCCGAGCAGAGGTCGGCGTCGGCGTCGGCAGATAAGAATAGGAATAAGAATATCGTTTCGACTGTTTCTGGTGCGCCGCAGCCGTGGATGAAAGATAAGCAAGAACAGGAAGCGACGAAGAGCGTAGAGGTTCGTTCACAAATGAATCTCAATTTTCAGCAAGTTTCGGCAGGCGACGGGGATTGCATCATCGTTTCGAGCCCAGGGAGAGCAACGTTCACCCGAGGTGCCCAGGGCGTGACCATCCCAGAGGCATCTCTTCCCGGCACAGGAAGGATTTTGCTTGGTGCTCCCAGCGTAACCGCCACAGCCGAAGCACAGCAGGCTCTAGTGGAGATAACCCAGGTAGAAGTAGCTGCTCTTGGCAGGGACACTCCGACTCCGAGTGAAGTTGTAGGAACAAATTTGCGAATAGAAGAACAGGCTAGTCGTAGTTTATCACTGAGAAACAGCAATTTGGAAGCCGTTCCTGGAATGAGGGAAATTTGGCGCGAAAGATCGAGTAGTTCGACAGGAGGCGGGCAGAACATTCAGCAAACTGGACGAGTTGGCGCGTTCGCTCCTCCGGGAGGTATCCTTGCCCCACAGGTCATTCTTTCCCCGGGCTTGCTTTCATCCGCGATGCCGACTTTCGGAGTTACTGCCTCTTCAAGCAGCCGCAAGAGTATGCCGGGTGCAGGCATGCTAGATCAGCACTTTTCAAGGGGAGGCCCGCTGGAAAGGCCTGCGGCACAGTACCGGTTCTCGAAGCATCAAGCTGGACGCAGTGGCATACAAGCGAAACCTGCAGACGCAGACGCATTAGGCGTGAATGCTTTGGCAGGAGGTTCTTCTGGTTCTGTGGGTCTCGGCACTCAACAAGCCAGCAGGTCCTCTAAGGAGATGCAGGCAGTGACCGACACTGCAGCAGGTAGCCAAATGGCTTCGGTAGGAATGCGCGGCGGCGGCAGGCATCAAAGCAAAACCGGGACGCATGCGGCGACTCGCGAACCCAGTCCTCCACAAGGTTCTGATTAGATAATAATAGAAATTTGACAAAGCAGCCGCATGAAAAAAACTGGATTGGACTCGCTTAAGATTTGAATTGATGACACATGTCTAAAATGTTGTTCATCTTCAACAAGGATATCACGTTAGCGTTGATGATTCGACTGTAGCACGATGACAATTATCTTTCTCAGGTGCGGCTGGAGTACTCACCGCCGCGCGACGGGCAAGTGGAGGTCATGCGTCAGCCGCACCTTTGGCTATGTTCGCTCTGGGACAGTCATCCATCCTTCGGCGCGAGCAGGAAGAGATTACTCGAGAAATCGAAGATGCAAAAGACAGGATGGCTCTTAAGTTCAGAAAGAGAACACAAGTCCAAGGTCCCCAGCCACCTAGTGCAACAACAAGTGCAGCTGCGGCAATACCCCCGGGTGCTGAAAATAGAGGTGGCTCAACGATATTAGCAAAAGCAAGCGGGGTAGGGGTTGGCACCGCGTCGGTTCCGTCGATGTCGCACTCGAGCAGTGAAGCGACATGTTCTATGCCTATTCCGGCTCTGCAAGGGTCACTGCAAGGCATCGGGATCGATCGGAGTGATTCGGGCGATTTTGATCACGACAGTACGGCGTCTCTGACAATCGGCGCTCCGATTCAGTTACAGCGCGATCTGATAGCGCTGCAGCATGCGGCTGGGGTTCCGGAAAACTATCGAATTGTCGAGCAGGGTGATAGCCGACGTGGGTCTTTGGATTCTGCGTCGTCCCATCCCTTTTCATCTCACGGGCAGGGTTCGCAACCTCACTCTTCCGCGCAGTCTTCGAAAGAAACGCTTTATCAAACGCAGGGGTATCTAGCTGACGCGGGTAGTAAAGCTGCTGGTGCGCAGGCGAATTTCAAAAGCCAAGTTATCGGAGGGCCAGTAGCAGGACCGTCACCAGATGGCATTCCCGACCTTAAGACCATATTTGGAAGATCCGCGTCTTCCAGTGACTTCCAGTCAAGCGAGAACGAACCTCATCAAGAGCAGCGGAGGAGCCAAGGGGCACTACTGCGTCGTGTGGAGTTCGACCAGGCAGGACGTCCAATGTCGATGTCCGTGTCTTCTTCGAGCAATAGCAGACCCACACCCATCGACAGTCGGACCAACAGCCGCCAGTTGCCTTTGGAGTACGCCTTCCCGAATTTTCGCAGTGGCGGATCTCTTCCTTCGAAGCCTAATGCGAATGGGCTTGCCTCTCTGGCAGCGTTTCAGCTGCAAGGACGTGCTGCGCCTTTTGCAGCGACCTTAACCACCAATAGTAAAGCGGCTATGGCTTCCGACAATAAGTCGTCGTCGGGTGCGTCCTCATCCTCGCAGCATGGCGTTGCCAGCACTGAACTTGGGGACGCGAAAGTCACGCCGCGCAGGCGCCGCATTACGGTTTTGCCTCTGTCAGCTACAACAGGGAGCAAGGAGAGTGGAGCTTCTCCTAGCAAAACACGTCTTGCAGGCGTCGTTACAATACCTGACGCAAATGAGAGGACAGCACTCAGTGGATCTGGTCCCGGGCCACCCAACACACTGCACCAAGATTTATCGGGCCAAGGTGATGAAAGTAGGGGCGCTAGTTCGTCAGCTGCTGCTTTGTCAGCAATAAACTCGCTCACTTGGCCGCGGCAAGAACGCCGTCCCCCCGACATTCCCGGCATCTTTGCACAACATCACGCAACACTCGAAGACGTCTTCGCCTCAGTACCGATGGATCCTGATTTGATGTTGCCTTGGCCCGACGCCGCCGGCCGTGCTGGAGGTCTAGGGGCAAGCGGGTTGTACATCAACCAGCACGGAACACGCACAGATTACGACGCGTCTGCGGGATCCATGATAGGTTTGGGTGCCTCGGCGGCTGCCAGCCATTTGATGACGCTAAACTATGCAACGCTAGGTCCGGGCTCCACTGCGCCTCAGCAGCTTGTGCATGGTCTACAGCAGGCGGCGATGCCAGCTACATCAACGGGCGCGGTGGGCGACGCTGTGGTGACCGCAACTGACGTGCCAAAGGTGGCGCAGCTATCGGTTTCCGTGTTTGTGTACAAGACTCTGCCCGTGGAGGTGCTTTATGATCAGGAGAACAAGGCCTACAGTTTTAGTCCTCCCAGCATCGGGGTGGACGCGAGTTTCCAAAACGAGCCCCAATTCATCCAGCTGGAGGACCCTGCCGCTGGCGGAAATTTCAGCTGTAGAATATTGCGCGTCGGTCGCCCTCTTGTGAGAGACGTGTACAGGAGAGCTGACAGCGGTGTCACGGACGGCCCGAAGCTTGTTGGGGAAGAGTTTCGAAGTGTTTTCACCCCAGAGGAGCAAAGCACGCTTACTAGTTTTCTGTCGCTTCATGGTTACTTCCCTGTTTTTTTTGACATGGACGACGAACACGATCAACATACCGCGGCAGCTGGCAGTGCTGGAGGCGCGGCGGCAGCTGGCAGCTCGACTGCTGGAGGAACAAACGAACAGCCTACTTCGGCCGTTGCGGCTGCACAACTTGCTTCAGCTCGTATGGGCAGCGGAGGGATCAGTGCTCTCATTGCCGGTTACAACTCTGCACGTAAGGCGTTCTCGCCACCAACAGCACAAGTCGGGTCAGTGAACGGAAGCGGTCCTGGGAGTCCTTTCGATCAAACTCCGTGGCGAAACATCACAGGAAGCGCCTCCCTAGGTAGTGCCGCATTGGCGTCGTACCAGCAACTTTTTGGCGAGTCCGGCCCTCCAGGGGTGACTACGCACGATGGGGTTTCAGGAGGCGCGCAGAATCATGTGGGAAAGAATAGCCCCAGCAGTTTGGCCGCTTTCGGTGACACCCGCGTTGACCAAGTGCAACTGACAAAGCAGAGGAGCACGTCAGCAGGAGGCACGTATAACATGCCAGCACCAGCAGGAACAGCCGCAGGTCCCGGCAGTGGTGAGCAGCAATCGCTAAGTGTTTCGCAGACGCCCACAGGAGGAGACTCGACGCCAAACACGTCATGGATTTTTTCACCCGACCATCGGGCCGGTGGCGGGACTGGCAGTACGACGGTTGGCGGAGGCACGAGCACGACGACGGGAACTTCCATCGTTAACGGAGTCGGGACGTTGAATCCTACGACGACCAGCTTCGGATTACAGACGCAACTAGAATCTTCAAGTGGCTCCTCGAGCACGCTGGCGGCGGTTCTACAGCAACAGATACCTTGCGCGCTGCACCAGCAGAGTGCTGGCACCAATGGCGGGGCTGGAGGTGCGTCTTTTCCGGCCACTCAGCGCGACCGGACACGGACTGTGGATCTGAAAAATGAGCGGGTGGAAAAAGTCCTGGGCGCTTTGTTTCACTATATTTTGGAGCAAGACGACATCCTAACTCTGGCAACAAAAGATTGGAAGTGCTACGAGCATGCCCAGCAGGCCTACTGTGACGCAGTACTGGCAATAGTAGAAGAACACGACATCCATTCAGTATGGGTGCATGATTATCCACTGATGATGCTGCCACTGTTTCTGAAGAAGGCCAAACCACATCTCTTCGTGGGCTTTTTCCTCCACTCTGTATTCCCAAGTAGTGAGATCTACAGGATCTTTCCCTTCCGGCAGGAGCTGCTTCGCGGCTGTATCGCCGCGGATATCATCGGATTTTTCAACTTCCAGTTCCTCCGACACTTTCAGACGTGCTGTACGCGAATATTAGGTACTTACTAACAGCTTTTTGTTTTTCAGTTTGATGATGAAATGAAAAATCGGAAAATAGATGATGGTCCTCTACTTTTTCTTTCTGGTATTCAACAGAGAAGGACCAAGACCATCATGAGAAGTAAGGAGTGTACGCGTCGATAGATTTTGGTACTACAATCTCTATATTTTATCTGACAAGTAGAAGTAATTTATTATGAGCTGGTTGTACTTGTATGAATGTTTAATATTATCTGCTGCTTTACCGGCGTGACTGTTATGACTACAGGTGTCCAGTGTAATCGGTCGATAGTGGAAGCGAGCAAGGAGACGCAGGGGAAAGAAACGAAGCTGGCGGCTATCCCGATTGGGGAAGATTTTGAGCTCTACGACAAGTGCTTGAACTCGGAGAATGCTCTGGGTCGAATAGAAGAGTTGCGGCAGAAGTTCGGCGGCCGACGGGTGGTGCTAGGGGTAGACATGATGGAGGAGCGCAAAGGGCTGCCACACAAGTTTCTGGCCTATTCCAAGTTTTTGAGGGATCACCCTGAGGAGTGGAACCACACGAACGTGGTCTACTTGCAGATTTGTTAAGGCCACCGCGCTTCCTGCATCCTCCACATTCATTGTCATTTTTGATCCCTGTCTTATTTCTCGAGTACTTCTTAGATAGAAAAAGGACAAAGGATTCTCCCGATGTAGTTGCGAAGTGTGCGGTAGCTCTAAATATGTCTGCGCAACGCCTCGTTGACGGAAACAAGTGAAACGGCGACTGGACGCATTTCCAAGAAGCCGACACGAGCAACGCGCGAGGCGGCTGGAGGTACGAGTCGCTGGGACCGAAGCGGCTCATCGTCAGCGAAATTTACTGGTGCTTCCGGGGCAGGGGCAGGTGGTGGGGCAACTTCGAAAAATGCTCTGGAGATGCAGATCTATCAAATGTATGACATGATGGCCTCCTGGTGTGAGAATATGTACTTATTCTTCACCACTTTAGATAAATTCTTCACCACGACCATATATTGTGGTCGTGGTACTGGTAGAAAAAACAACTACAAGTGATTTAGTAGAGATGACAATAAATAGACGCTGAAGCTGTAGTAAGTTCTTCTTCTTTCAGAACGAGAACGACAGGTGCAGATGTAGGTAGAATTGATTCGACTTTTTTTCGCACTAGAATGCCATTGATGAAATATTTTGCGTCACTCTAAAGAAAGGCTGGAGAAATCAACTCTGAGTTCTCTTCGTTCTCCGAGTTACCGCTGCATCTCTTCGATCAGGTATTTTAGGCATTTTTTCTGTAGTCGATCGATGTTCCTAGTACCTTTTATCAGTATACAGGCAAATCAAAAGGATTAAGTAAGATATCAAAATGGGCAACAACTAAGTAAGACATCAAATGGATAATCCAACAACAAGCTAGACTAGCGGGTAGAATTCGCCAGGGAAATCTTAGGCAGTTTGCCGAGTAGATTCGCATCTTCAAGATATCAAGATAGACGCTCGCAATCGCACAACCCTCGCAGCTGCATAGCATTCACCCGTAATTAAAACACAGCTGATAAGCCCGGAAGATTTGATCCCGATTTATGCGGTCGCAGACGTCTGCCTAGTCACGCCACTTCGTGACAATCTCGCGCCCACGGCGGTCGAGTACCTTTTTAAGGGTAGGCTAAATGTGTTCCTGTTACCGTTCGTTTTGCCTTTCTGATGGGGGAAAGGCATAACCAACGAGGTAAACGAACAGCAAAAGCCTACCTCTAACCTTTTGTGTCAGAAGCAGCGGCAAAGCAATCCCGGTGTGCTCATTTTGTCGGAGTTTGCTGGATCCGTTCAATCGTTGGGCGCCTCAGCGATCACCGTGAATCCTTGGGATACCCAGGGCTTCGCCGAAGCGATCTACGAAGCTTTGAGTATGGAGGAGAGTGAGAGAAAAGAAAGGTATAAACGTCTACGTACAGAGGAGCACAAATATTAATTTCCGCCACCTCAACTCCATACTGTCCCGTTGGTTTTTTATTTGAAAACCAAAAACACAGACCTCTACGCTGTCGCAGGAGCAGCACTAGTGTATTGTATATATGAGCGTATTAGATTCTACTTTTATCACTGAATCAATGTAGTCGACGTACAATTACGACGACATAACAACAACATACTTTCAATATTCAGGTGGAACTACGGCTACCAGTATTGCACAACACATACGTACACTCGCTGGATCACGGATCTGCTGCGTGAGCAGCAGGAGTTGGAGCTCCTGCAGGAAAAGGAGGAGCAGGTTCTGCGCGTGCCGCCTTCTCTTGGCAGCGTTGCGAGTAGTATGGAGAACGCGTTCAAACATGCAGGTCGAAAGCTCCTCGTACTTGGTTTCAGCGGCACTCTAATGCCGCGCAACCAGTATTTCCACCCAGGTATATTGAGTACGTGTCGCGTCCCCGACAGCACCAGGAATAATTTGCGGATGTTGAGCGACGATCCGAGCGTGGACATCGTGATTATGAGCAGCGTTTCGCAGGAAGCTTTGGATCATGCTCTGGGAGAGGTGCCGAACCTGTGGTTAGTCGCGGAGTCGGGTGTTACATGGCGTTCCGCGGCGCGCGGGGCGGAGTGTGCTCCTGTTACTTCAAGCGGCGGAGGCGGGGCGGCGGGTGAACTGGCGTCGGCCTCGGCTACCGACGAAAAACCGGCTTCAGCGGCAGGCGTTCCTTCGACCCCACGTTCAGCATTGTCAATCACAGCAGGAGGTTTGGTTGTATCAGGAGAGCAACAGCAAGCAGCCGCTGTTCGAAGCGAAGAAGCAATAGAACATAGAAATTCGAACTCGAAGATTAACGGCCCTGCTTCTGCGAATTCCTCGTCAACAGGAGAACTTCTTGCTGCCGCAGCTGTTGGGTCAGCAACCCCAGTTGGTGCGACAAGCAGCACTAGTGTAGAAGATGATCAACAGAGTACAACAACTGTTAGTACTAGTAAACAGATGACAGCAGGATCAGCATCTTCAGGGTCAGCCGGAGGTGGTGTTGGGGTTGCAAATCCTCAAACGATGGTGAATCCATGGCATTCCTTGATCGATGAGATCAATACAGAATGGCTGCAACCCGTGGAGGAAATCATTGAGTACTTTGCGGACCGCACACCCGGAAGTTTTATTCACAAGACCAGCACAACGATTTCGTGGTCGCTTGCTCCTGGCAGTGCGCTGGACAAGAACGGAGTGAACCATGGAACAATCCAGAGCAAAGACCTCTTGATTCATCTTTGGGCCGGCCCGTTGCTCTCGACGCCGGCAGAAGTGTTGGTCGGTGCCAATTCGGTTGAAGTGCGGTGCGCAGAGGTCTCTCGAGGCACGACGTATCAGAGGCTCTACTCAGAGAGCATCTTTCCGAGTGGAACGAGTCTTACTTTTACTCCTCCTGGAGGCAGTGGGACGACAATTTCTGCGTCTAAAAATCTTCTTGCTGTTGCGGCTGAAGCTACGACATCAGTGCGGAGTCCGGTCGCAGATGGGGGACCAGCAGCAAAGACATCGACTAGGAACAAAGCAACGAGCGCGGCAGCAGTAGTAGCTAGCGATGATAAAGCGCCTGCAACTGCATTGGAGCATTCAACTTTTTCAACGCCTCGTCCAGCGGCCGCCCTATCACCATTTTGGGGGGTCAATTTGTCTACGGCAGCAGCCGTCGGCGCGAACGCCAGTCCTAGCTCTGAAACAACTCAAGGAAACGCTAATGCAGCACAGGAGCTTGCACCCTCCAACACCTCGCCGAAGGATAGTCATGCCGCTCGTGGTGATACATCTGCATCTTCGAGTCTAATGCAGCTTGGTCTGACGAGTGCGGCACATGATTTCGTGCTCGTTGCTGGAGATTTTCTGAACCGCGATGAAGATCTTTTTCAGATCGTCCGAGAGTGCGGTGGGCCGCAGGAAATTCCTCATTTTTATGCCTGCACTGTGGGGGAGAAACCCTCTAGAGCTATGTATCACATGGCAGGTTCGGATGACGTTGCCTTTTTGCTAGCGAAGTTCGCGTATCACACTTCACGGGCGATGGCTAACGTGGTCACAGAAAGCGGAAACTAAGCATGCAAGCGCTTCGGGAGCGAGAGGCATCATTTCATTGCGAAGTGCATGTCGCAGCTTACTTATGCTATCGAAATCAATTGCACCATGTTACAGGAGGAGCAATTTCTTGTATTTGTGTCATCGCATGTGCGTAGTTAGCTCGTGGTTTGTTCTTGTAACTTAAGAATAAGATAATATCGTACTATGTCATGATTGATGATTTTTTACCGTACAATCAGAATTACAACCTTTTTATTTTTCGGTTGTGAGTATACATAAAACAAGACTTTTTTGGTTCTTATATAAATATAAATATATCGCAGTAGATACTGATAGTTGGCAGAGTGGCTTCTTTGGCTGGCTTCATTTTCTGGCACGCACGCACGCTTTTGTTTCTTCTCCTGCTTTCGCTTGTTGTGCTGGTACAATGATGACATGTACTTACCTAAATTGTGGTTTGTTGATTTACAGTGTTGTGATTCTTCAACTTTTCATCATTCGAGAACTGATACTCTGACCTTTAGCGGGAAGATATGGAAAAAGTCGATGTCTTCCCTACTCATGAGAGGAAAGTTTTTGGGGAGGTGTTACGGCAGCGTGTTGAAATCTTGTGTCCCTTATTTTTCTCTAGATGTAATACATTTTGGGCGCGGCGCTCATTCGTGTAGACAACGACAACGTGTATTGGCGAGCAGCGAGAGACTACGCAGCTTGTCAACAAAATCAAAAGATAGAGTACTTGTACCCCATGATTGGGTCAACTATTACTACTAGGAAAGAAGTACTTCGAAAAATGATGAAACGACATGCGGTTCTTGTTGATACGCTCCCCATGTGCAAGCTACATAATGTGGTGAAGACAACCTGTTCTATCTTTGATCTTGATGTTTCACTGGTACAACATAGACAAGCATGCCATCATCAAATGCATCTTTACTTTCCCGCTAGCTCTACATAGTGTAAAAATGCTCATTTTGATGAATGTAAAAATGTGAAAATAGAAAATGTTCTCTCCAAGAACGTAGAATCACGAAACTTGTTCTAGTTCTGGTCTTGAGACAGACGCCACGCTGCAGAGTTTCATACGAAAACAAGATGGAACTCATCAATTTCAACAACATTTGTTGGCCGGGTTTGGTTCCATGCATAGGAGAAAAGAGATGTGCCACGGTGCAGAGATTATCTTTCAAAGATCTTCGTGCCATCGAGAAGGAACGAGGGAGGTTACAACCGGCCGAAAACTCGGATTCTGACTTTTATACTCTTCCATGTCGATGAGGATCATGAAAATGATCGAAGCCGAGCCTTTATTTAAGATTTAGATATGTTTTAGGGCTGCACGGTGCCCCCCCCTGTGGTGTGGCCTGTGGTGGCGCGCGCGCGCGCTTTTCCGCGCTGAGAGCCAGCAAGCCGATGACCAAGGGCCCGGAGGGTACAGGCCACACGGCTCAGGGGGTCCAGCCCCTCGCCTTTTGCCGCCTTCGGAGGCCCTCCAAAACCGGCGCACTGCTGCGGCGGCGAAGCATATCGGAGGCACTTAGGGCACAGGCAGGCGCCTGGAAGGGGGCGCAGGCGGTCCCTTGGGCCCCTTTTGAAGCCTCCCACCTACATCGGAGGCCTCTAGGGAACAGCCAGGCAGCTGGAAGGGAGCGGAGGCGGCCACTTGCCCCCCTTTTGAGGCCTCCCACCTACAGCGGAGGCCTCTAGGGAACAGCCAGGCAGCTGGATGGGAGCAGAGACGGCCACTTGGCCTCCTTCTGAGGCCTTCCATTCCCGGCAGACGCCTTAAAGAGGGGCCCGGGGCTGCGCGGTACCCTCCTCCTACGCTAGGGGGGGGACCGTCGCCCTGAGCCTTGGATCATATACTGTTCTTACTCTGACATCGCCGCAGGCTGCACTATCCAGAGAGGCGCGGATCAGAAAATCATAGCGGACGAAACTAGAGAAAAATTGTGAAGTGGTGTGTGCGTAGCGCTGGCACGCGCAAACACTAACATCACCGTGTTCCGCCTTTCTTCTCAGTATGAATTATGGAGCGACGACTGAACGAGAAAAGATCATTAAGTGCTTTGGACAAAGGTAAGCTGTTTGAATTTGCAGCGAATGCGAACAAGAGACGTAACTCGTAGTGCCCAGGCGATAGTTCCCAATTATGGAGGCATGTGAGTGCATAATCCTAATTTTCCCTACAATTCCGTGCGTCAGGCTATTAATCCGTTTTTTTTGGCTTCTGCACGGCGCGCCAACAATCTATCGCGAAAATTATATATGGCTCAGGGCCGCACGGACCCCCCCTCCGCCCCCCCTGTGGTCTGGTCTGTGGTGGCGCGCCCGCGCGCTTTTCCGCGCGGATTTTTCGCGGATTCTGGTGGTGGAAGGCGTCAAGACTTGGCGCGGGCCTCCCCTTGGGCCTCTCAGCGTGTTCCTAAGGGCCACGGTCGCAAGAGCAAGCAAGAAGCCGATGACCAAGGGCCCGGGGGGTACAGGCGGCACGGTTCAGGGGGTCCAGCCCCTCGCCTTTTGCCGTCTTCGGAGGCCTTCCGCTGCCGGTGCACTGCTGCGGCGGCGAAGCCTAGCGGATGCACTGAGGGCGCAGGAAAGGAAACCGGGACGGGGGCGCCGGCGGTCCCGTGGGCCCCTTTTGTCTGTAGCCATCTAACCCCTCAAGCTTGTAGGGTACATGCAAACGAGAAGGAGGCAGCGGGCCCCTTGTTCCCCCTTGAGGCCTTCCACCTACTTCCCAGGCTTCCAGGGGACACAAAGCTCCTGGAAGGGGCCGGGGGTGGCCCCTTGGCCCCCTTTTGAGGCCTTCCTCCCCCGGCAGACGCCTCAAAAAGGGGCCCAGGGCGCCCGCCCCCCCCCGCTAGGGGGGGGCCGTCGCCCCGCGCCCTGGAACATATATAGGAGGAAGATGCGTTTAGGTGTTTTTGATATTGATTCCCCCCCTCCCTCCCTAGCATTCTTGCGCTCTCATCCTGAACCGGGAGAAGACATGATGAGTCCACTCGTACATCCACTTACAAGGAAGTTGTATTTTTGATTAAGTTTTTTTTTTGTACGTAACTCGTTGATCATGCCGTGAATAATTTCATTTTCTAGAAAGCAAAATAGAAGAGAATTCAGAATTATGTTGTAGTACAGCTTTCATCATCGCTTGTTGTTGTAGTGATTTTCATTGTGATTTGACTGCATTGGTAGAAAAATATGCCACCTCCGCAAGGCTCCTCTGGAAGACCAGAGGACTACGACTCCGAGGAGGAGGACCGGAAAAAAATATGTTCCTACTGTTCGAAGTCCCTGTGTGCATTTTGGACTGTCCCGTGCCAACACGCCGGAGCATGCAAAAAGTGCGCAATGCGGCTCGCAACTGGTGGGAAATGTAAAGTCTGCGGTGCCCTTTTTGCAGGATGGGAAAGAATATAATGGAAAAAGATGTTGATGTTCCTTTGACGCTTTTTATCTTCGACCTGCTCACTTTCACGTTATGTTGGTATGGACGTCGTCGTAGGAGGCTGTTGCACGACCGCGTCTACGTCAAAGCGGCCGCTTGCAGCAGCTAGTGGGGTGGCTGTGCGCAGAAACTCACCAGGCGGGTCCGTTAACGCCCTGATCGGTCATATGTTAGTGCAAATCTAACTCGGACGCCGGTATTTGGGAGCTTTCTCCTCGACAAGAGGAACGACTGGAAAACTACGGAATCAGCGGCAGTCACAGTAAAACGGAAGACAAACAATCGACACTGATTACCATGACGCAACACTAGGGACACAGTCGCAGGTTCTGTGCGGTGATATCGCGTGTTGATGTTTGCGTGATGCTCGGCTTGCCAAGGAAGAAGTGAAGAAATCCACGCTGTTGATATCTCGACCTTTTTCGCATCCGCACCCTCCACTGGTAGAATGAATCCAAAAGCCGGCTTTTACCTTCATACGCTGTCCCGCATCGAGATCGACGAGGAACGGCGCTTTAACGGAACCTTCTCAGCACATTAATGTAGTATCCTTGCTTCAGCATGATTTAATTGTATTTGCGCACTAGAGTTTGGCTTTCAGTAGATAATCCACCTGCAGTGAGTGGTGCCTGACGTCTGTTGCTGCTCTGCAAACAGGACTCCACCAGGACCATGCTCTCTCCCCCATTACAAAATGGAGCAGGACAGTAAGGACTTCGTTGTGTGCCCGCAGACACTTCTTTTGTTTTGAACAGGTGTTCCTTTACTTCAACATAACCTGATAGAAGAACAAGAGAAGAGTTGTACGAGAGTAACGAGAAAGCGAGCAGCACTTCTAGGCATTTACTAGTATGACACAGCAATCAGGGAGAGTAATATCTAAGGTATGAAGTAGCATATAGTCAGAATAGATGTTTTGTTGCCTGCAGCAAGAAAATACCCCGCTCCACCCGAAAACTTTCGTCATGGGCTTTGATATACAGTGAATGAGAATGAATCCTAAGCGTTGGGAGTGACTGAACTTGTGGTTCTTGCGTAAGCGATTTTGCTTCATAGTCGGTATCTATCTCGTTGTCAAGGATTACGTAGTCGATCTGATTTGTCCAAGTGGCATAGGTTTGTCGCAAATAAGATTCGAAGAGGACCTCGTCTGCTTTTTCATATCCCCTTGAATACATAAGACTTGACCGTCAGCGTAAGCAATCGAAGCTAGTGACTGACTTATTCCATGTATAATGGGAAGTCCACCTCGCTGTTGTCGTAAGCAATTATGCTTCCTTACTTTTACTTTCAGCTTGTTTTTTCCGTAAGTCAAAAAAAGAGTCAGATAGGTAGATCATCAAGTTACTGCGAATATAATCTACAAGTCGCTGTCCTGTGGCTGTCGTGCTGTCTCACGTGTGTCTTCTAGCTTTAGCATTGTTCTCTCCGCTCCTTCAAAGCTTTTTGAGGGCACGAAAATGACGGTTGACGGTAAGATATCTCGTTGTGCCTATCGTGCACGGCCCAGCCGAGCACGGGAAATACAGAAATGGTTGCTCGAGAATCAACCACACGCAAACCTGATCAAAGCACAGCCTTGCGAGATCAGTCCCTTCTCGTTTTTGGCACAGCTTTCCTGGACTACGTCTTCCTCGCTCGGCGGTTTTTTTACCCTATGGCTCTGCATATTCCTAGCCTTTTTCGGCTACTATGCTTCTTTAGCGTGTATAGCGGGAGTCATTATACCCGCAACATTCGTCAGCGCTGATTACCTTACGGAAAAGCATCCGAAGCTGACGGCTTGGTTGAAGGCACAGATCATGCATGGGAGCTCGCGATGGATGGGAGTACACATCGTAGTCGAGGACATTCGCGAGGCATTGCACAACTCGTCGCTTATGATGCATTCATTGAAAGAAAAAGATTCATCTGATGCTGACGCCACGACGACTTTAACTAGTGCTGGAGAGAAAAACAAAAACAAGAACCTCGCGCTAGCACAGAGCTGCATTCTCGGAATCGAACCGCACGACGTACTGCCTCTAGGCTGCTGCAGTATGGCTGCTGGAACTGAAGCATTCTTAATGCAACGCACTAGTCCTGTGGGATGCCACCAAGGGACGTATTCACTGGATGCAGATGGCAGACCGCGCAATTTGGCGGACGAAAGTAGCTCTGGACCTGGAGGAGGTTGCAGTGCTACTAAGTCTTCGAGCTCATCTTCGAGCCTAGAATGCAAGCAAACAGGGAAAAATGAAGTTCTAGAACTGCACCTGCGGGAAACGCATATGGCCATTACGGGTGCAATATTGAAAGTTCCAATTTTCAACGTTTTTTGTCACTTGTGCGGCGGCCGCGACGCCTCGAAAGCGGTGCTGGTCGAGGAGCTAGAGAGAGGTAACAACGTAGGCATATGTCCTGGCGGTGTGAAGGAAGTGATTTACAATTTCGCCTACACGCTCTCGCCTGCAGAGCTCAAGGAGCACAACATCGAACCTGGGAGCAAAAACTACAAGATAGTCTTCTTGAAAGTTAAGGATCATCTTCATTTCCCTTGGATAAAGATCAAAAATGTGTATTCATCTTCTTGCATTTTTTTAAATAGTTCATGAAGTACAACAACAACAAGCAGCTTGAACTTCCAGACGATTCTCCGGAAGTAGAACAAGAGGAGCCAAAGCACTAGAAGAGTAGACTTTCGCACCCAGGATGAATTTGGCTCTTCTATGTGAGTCTGCTCTAAGATTCAGCGTAAGGGCTTCGCGAAACTCGCGGTGGAGAAAAAGCGCCCACTCGTGCCGATCTTTATCTTCGGACAGGAAAAACTGTACTTCTAACTCAATACTTGTTTCACTACAACAAGAAGTAGTAAACATCAAAATCGCGCACCACGACGACGACACTAAATTTCGATCTGGTCGTCGCCCATTCACTCGAGATTCAATTGTATGTAATAACGTGCAAAACCCAATATGGAATTGTGCATCTAACTCAATACTTGTTTCACTACAACAAGAAGTAGTAAACATCAAAATCGCGCACGACGACGACACTAAATTTCGATCTGGTCGTCGCCCATTCACTCGAGATCCAATTGTATGTAATTTAACGTGCAAAACCCAATATGGAATTGTGCAATTGAGTACGTTGCTATGTATTTATTGATAATTGCTCCACTCAACGCAGCACCTCAAAAATCGGAATCGAAATTCTTGACAGTTTCTACCCCTTACTGTTGGCGCCACCACAAAGCTGGTCGTTTCTTCGCGGCTCGTGGGAGAAGACGACGCGGGTCATCGGCTTTGTGCCGATTTTACCCCTTGGATTATTCCTAACGTTGCCTTTTCCGGGGTCTCTGAGTGTCGTTGTTGGCAAAGCGATCCAGGGAACCGACATGAATGCTGTTCACGAAGAGTACTGTAGAGAATTAAAGAGGATCGCTGAGACGTATGCACCGTGCTTCGGCTACGGGAAGGATTTCCGGCTTATCGTAATGTAGATAGTTATTACCAGTATAATTCTAGACCACCTCCACCACCTAGTAGTTATGTTGACGACTAAATTTTTCGCAATTCAAATCGATCTTGTGCATAGATGAAGAAGACGCATAGAAGTGTTCATCTTTCCTGCGTATGCTGAGCTCCGTTTGTCTTCTTCGTGGTTTGCTGGATGTTGTACCCTCGATTCCTGCTCAAGAAGTGAGAATATGTTGATTCTTCAAAGAAGTACGAATGTACTCAATGAATTCTTTTTGCCGCATTGCCGGCCTCTAAATACTCGCTATAATATTGGAAAAGTTCTATGTCTGAGCGCATACTCAACCTGATGAGTATGCTCGTGTCACCACGTCAATACCATGATCAAGCTTATGCTAGTCGTAATCTCCATTCGTTGATGATTGTTGCGGAACACTAGGAAACAATGAAAATGACTGGATGGCATATATAATAAATATGTTCTTCGTTTGCTTGGCCCTGGTGCGCAAGCCAGGTTCCGATACGGGAAAAAAACTCGCAAAAATTCTTTCCTTGTGAATCTGAATTTACGCCGACATAATGACAACATCAACTGCATCAGACCATTCTGCGACTGTCTCGAGTCGTTCTTTGGAGGGGATTCTGATGGGAAGAATTCAATTGATCAAGGAGCTGAACCTACAACATGATTGTAAGTAGCCCTAACGAATGACATGCTGCGTCCTGCCGGCTCCACACTATGTTTCGTTTCCTCCAGAGGCGTCTACAAAATGAAACTCGGACTGTCATGATGTTGAGCACGGATGATGATGATGATGATGAACAAGTATGCTAGTACAGCTGTTACTAGCATCCGCTCGGTACGTTGCATTCACGACACACTTTCTAATGTGTCGGGACTTTGAAAAAGTTATCACCCGTGTCCGAAAAATGCTGAGATCTGAACTCTCGAATGCGAAAGACACTTCTTAAACACCACTGTCGTCAGTCGTAGCGTATTCGTTTGTAGCAAATCATTACCGCAGGAACACCAGACTCATTGAGTAAGAGTATGGATTCAGAATTTTCACCTTGCTTGTTCCTAGTTAAACTTCTGTTATATTAATTGGAGAAATTATAAAGTGAGAGGTATAAGAAAAAGAACTTGCTTCTTGTTTGAGCAGCTACATCACCAGCTTCGGCAGATTGTAACTTGTAGAGGTGATTCGAAAAGGATGCTCCATTTTACCCGTGCGACTCCCGCGCGTGGTGGAGTCTCGTGAAATATCAGCTTTTTTCGAAACGGAACCCGATCGGTGGTTGAACACTGCCCAGAGGCTTAATGGTTGAACACTGCCCAGAGGGAAATTGTAGACACAGGTAAAAAAAAAGTTGGCCTGGGTGGGGCACATGAATCAACGAAACTAGTGCGAGTTTCTTTCTAGGCAGCATAGCAACAAGGAAGAACTACCTTCATCATGGGCGGTGGTGGTAAGGGAAAGAAAGGCGGCAAGAAAGGAGGTGGGAAGCACAGCCTGAACAACGCAAGTAAGGGTGGCGTCGATATCGCTCATTCAAAAAATTCACATGGAGAACAGAATTATGGGCACGACGATGATCAGAAAATCGAGCACGAGGCGGGTGCTATTGGAGGTACTTCAGCTGCTGAAGGTGGCGAAATAGAGGGTGTCGCAGCCTCAGCGTCGACCGACAAGAATAATCACGGCAAGGGCGGCAAAAAGGGAAAATCCAAGAAAGATTTCGGTTTCGCGAAATTCAAAAATGAATCTGAAAAGCACACAAATGACACGCATCCTAGCATGGCATATAGAATTTGTCGCGGTCATACGCCACCGACCCCGAACAACTCGTCTAATATTTTCTTGCGTCCTCAGGACCAGAAAAGCATGCAGGTGAGAGGTTATGGAAAATAGAAGAAAAAATCGGCATTTGACAATAACTACTTGATATGAAGTTGTATTTCGTCCCTAGAATCTACTTGTTTGGTAAAGATACATACCTAGAAGAAGAGACGTGCACGTAGGTCTAGGTGCCATTCTCTGACAAACAAGTTTCGTTGGTTCGGATTGCAAATGTACTGTACGAAATTTTATATGTAATTCAATGATAACGACTACGACTGCTGCTCTCACGCATCAATCTATCAGAATTACCAATACCAAGTACATCTACATGAAGAGAGAGGATTATGCACATCGTGTCGTGAGTACTCCTTCCTCCTCTTTTCCCTTTTCTAAGCACTATCCATGAAACCAGACAAATACCGCACGAAGAACATCTTGGCTGTGGGTTGTGGAAACATGTCTTTCGAAGCGGCGCTGTGCCTCAGTTCGCATGGCATCAGCCTTGACCAATGCACGTTGCACTGCTCAGTGTTGGACAAAAACCGTGATGAGTTCTGCAAAAAATACACTCTGGAGCGCGCGGAAGAGACCTTGCGGGTACTGCAACTCACGATTTCTTGTTGTGTATAAGACGCTTAAAGCACATAAAGAAAAAATATCCGGTCAAGTAGTTTTCCCTCATTATTCCTAGTAGATTTGTCTCTCAAATCGATAAATGAAGATGTAGTGAACCAAGTATGTTAATTGTAGCTTTGTTTGGAGCTAAGTAACCGTATCGATCCTCGTCTACTTCTCGGCGGGTGTGATGATTGTAACCTTACAAATAAACGACGTCTTGTCTCTCCGGTGTTAGGTGGTAGAGAATGATCCTGACTAGAGTGGCGCATGCTGATGACAAACATGAACAATGACGGACGACGCTTATTCTAATATTCGTTCTCCTTGAATCATAACCAGGTAAAGATGAATGCAATTATGATAAAGTATGTAACTGTAAGTGTATCAATGTTGAGCGTATGATCAATATGAATAACTTCAATTTATTTTCTTCATCGAAGGTGCTTGAGGCGTCTGGGCAACGGTACTTTTTTAATGTGAATGCGTTTGAGCTCCATGACCACTTGAAGAAAGAACTGGCGCCACAGCTTCGTGCACAAAAAGAGAAGGAGAAGAGGGAACGAGAGCGGCATCCACACTTGTATTTATGAAGCGAATTACCTTGACCTTGATGAAAATATTGTGAATAATAGAGGTGCTCCAAGAAGAACTCCATTCAGAAATGGTAACGCTAGTAAAATAAGTATACTTATCAGTTGAACAAGATATGGTTGAGCATGACCATCAAAGACGTACTATGATGATGGCGTTGTACTTGTACTCCAAGTGCAGCTGCCCGTTTTCTGTACAGCGACTTTTTCTAAGATATACGGAAGCGGCAGAGCTCCACGAGGGGTCCGACAATGAAGAGGCGGATGAAATAGCAGCGGAAGATCAGGTGCCGAGCTACCGTCTCATCTTTTGGAACAACCCCTACCCACATGAGTATTCAAATCCACAAGAACGAGAACCAAAGGAAAAGGGAAAGAAGGGACGGTCGAAAGGATTTTTAAAGAAATTATGAATCATGATCTACTTATAGTAATAGTTCAAGATTGATATTATATGCATACAGTGAAACTGAATTAGTCACCACATTAATCTTGATGACGCAGAGGACGACTTGATGTTGATTTTTAGATTCAATTACAATTAGAATTACTTGAATACAACTTGTTGGGTCTGACTGATACAACTGATTGAACAAGAAGAGCACGCTTGCGCAACAATGTGGAATCATTTAGCAAGAATAATATTGTAACTGTGCTGTGCCAGCTGATGAATGAGTATCTCTATGTCGTTGATATTCATCTTAGTTATGTGGCACCTCCAAAGCCTGGACCTGTGCCTGTGGTGTCTATCAGTTAAGATGTTCTAGTAGGTGTGCCTGTGCGCCTGCTTCGCGGCTTATCTTTGGGACTACTTATTACTTGGTGGATATGAAGGTGTAGGTGAACATGAAGTACTAGATTCAATTTCAACCTTTTCTCTCTAAAAGACGGAAGCAGACAACTTTCCCAGCAGACTATAGATGACATTGTATCAGGAAAAGTTCAGCTTGCGGACCTGACGAAATTTGAGAGGGAGGCGTACCACGCGAATAAGGATATATTCCTTGAACGGCTCCAGGAAGAGGTGGAGCGCGGAACATATCTAGAACAGGAAGAAGAGGAAGAAGCCTTGGAAGACATGAGCGAGGAGGCTCGCCTTGCAAAAGAGGAGCACAAGAAAAAAAGTACCGGCGAAAGGTTTGTCCCTGAACACTGGGTCAGAACCGAACTCTACCCCAATTTTTTCAGAGAATTTATGCCAGACATGTCGCCGGTCAAAGACAAAACCAAAATAGAGTCCATTTTGTTAATACAACTAGGTATAATAGATCTAGTATAGTAAATATAGGAAACCTAGTCCTTCTTGTGCTGGGTATATCAATATCATCAGAGAATTGATAGGAATTAGATGAGTCTACTAAAATGTTTAGAAGTTCAACGTCGTACTCGTATTGCTAGAGCGGACCTGACGAGCTCGTTTTTGATAAACGACGAGGTCGTTTTTGTTACAATACTGAGTAATATAGAGCAGGGGTACTTCCACTCTGGTTCATCTCAGACTCAGGCATATACTAGCTAGGTATCTCCCCGTAAGCCAGGTAGAGGTCGTACTTCAGTGGAAGATATCTCACGACGAAAAACTTTATTTCTATCTATTGATCGTCCTTCCCGCCGTCTAACAATAGCAGGCTAATCGTAGAAGCCCAGCGAGCACGAGAAGCAAAGAGACAAGAGAAAAAAGAGGTCAATTGGTTAGTGCTGGAAGCCACAGGCGGTGCTGGTACTGCATGTTTTTTCCACGTTGGATCGTTTATTTTGTGATATTCTAGAAGTAGCAGCTAGCTTTCTAGGCTTGAGCTACAAGTACAACACCACGGGGGGACTACATGGCATTTTGTTACGTCTCTGATGTGAAGGTCGTGCGAGCACTAGTAACATTTCGGTATCCTCATACTCACAGGATATGATGACGGAAGCGATCCGGACTCGTCAGATGAGGCGAAGCCTATGGGTCGAATCTCTGCGGAGCAGAGGGAAGACTGTCAAGTAATGTTGATGTTATGGCAATAGGAAGGGAACACTTTCACTTGATATTATAAGTATTTATATAAAAAATAACTTGCCGACGCTGAGAGAAAATTTTTTTTGTTTCCCTAACCTCCTTAGTAGTCTATTAGCAAATACAAGATGCTGTGCGGTGCTGCTGATGGTATGGGATTTGATAGGTGTAGTCAAAGCACTCAGGAGTTCTTCGCTCATTTATAAATACCTTTCAGATCTACATCATTCAGTTTCAGTAGGTCTTTTTGTACATCGTTTACCCAAGAATAAGCTGTTCCAAGTCCGACGGACCACCGGCGTCTATAATTTTTGTTTTTCAATTCTAATTCTGATGAACCAAGATCAGGCGTTTCGAACGAACCTGAAGGAAAGCGCAAGAGAGCACGGTTGGATACTGTCAGAGGAGGTCCCTTTCGACCCCGCCCAAATGCAGTGGTACCAGTCGTCTTATGGTGACAAGCGCTCTACGAGGCAGGGCGCCAACGTACCTCTAACTTTAATAACTTTGTGATATTTTTTTGCGAATTTGTAGTCTAACTATATTTCTTGAAAAAATCCTAAGGTCATCTACATTCTTAATATATTTATGAATTTGAATGTTGAACAGTTCAGTTCGTTGGTTGCATTTGTCTGTAATATCATAGGACGTGCTGAGGTGGAAATAATAACTTTCTTGAATCAACTATCGATCCTATTTCGCTACATCGACCAGGTCTCAAGTTACGTGAGCAAAGAAACGACACGCGCGTACTTTTTTCGGCTGATCAAAGGTGTCAATGGGACAGAGAATAACCGCTTGGCTGTGCCTAAGCTGTGGAGCCGACGCGACTACGAGGCAGTAGTCGCGGCGACCGGTGAGGACCAACGTGCTGGTGACAAGGACCAGAAGGGATCTCCACGGAGCCGGAGAATCGGACACCTAGCAGGAACTCGTCTTATCCAGCGGGAGAAAGAAACGAAAGGAAAAGGACGGGAGGAGGATGGAGACCAGCAAAGAAAGACGTGGACAACGAAGAACAACATCCTCGATATCGTATTTGCTGCCCGAGAACCAGATCAAATCTTAAGACTTAGCCCAATTAAAGTCCAGCTAAAGCTTGAGAAGCATCGATTTTGATCTTTATTGGCCCTTTCTCTAAGGAGACGACATAACAAAGTAAGATGACTCATAATTGCAGGATAATTTACATTTATTTACTAGCTCGTCTCTAAAAGTTCGTGGTATTAGCTACGAGAACGCCCGTCGGAAGCTGCGGCTTATGTTTGCACGTGCCAAGCAGTACATGCCAGGTGGGGAGTGGCTCAGGGCCAGCGTGTACATGAAGCGCATCGAAAAATTTATCCTGCACGCTCATTACAATGACACCTACCTTTCTCCCCAACAAGCTCGTGCGCGCCAGGAGGCAGCATTGACCGACAACCCGTCCTCTAGTAAGCAGGCTGGCATCGTGGGAGCAGGAGGAGCAAGCTCGCTTGTCATAGAGGACGACCCAGGTTCTCCTGCTGCGAAACGGCAAAAAACGAATTCTTTAAAGGAACTTCTTCTACGTAATATTAAAGGAGGCGATGAAAAAGCTGGTGCTGTCACAAGCACAACTTCAAACGTGGTCTCTGGAAACGTTGACGCAATTGGTCTGCGACCAAGACCAGACCAGGTTTTGTGGAAGTTCATGCTAGAAAATCAGTGCGATGCGTGCGGGGATCCACCAGACAGCGAACAAGACGCAGAACAGCTCGAGCTCAAAACCTGGAGATTATGCTTGCTAATACATTTGACATTTATTTAATATAGTTGAGCTGGAGCAGTGGTAGCAAATGAAAATGTCGTAAGTAGAAAAAGCTTAAGCTAGCATTGGACCCAGACTCATTTTTCCAAGGACTCATACGAAGTACTAGAAGAATACCAGTTACAACAAATATGTGACTGAGAAGGTGAGAATCGCGCTCCTTCTCAGGATAGACATTGCTGACACGATCGCTTTCGCGTATCTTCTAGTAGTCTTGATTTTGCTCGTTAGAGTGTCTTTTCGTCTGCATGCCTCTAACCCAGTGTCTTGTCGACGGGCAGAAGTGGAGTTTCGTCAGCTCCTGCAAAGCCAACCGCAAGCCAGGAACTGCTTTGGCGGGCGGTGCAGCAGAGCCTCCTACACAAAAAAGGGTCCGCGACATGGAGATGTGGTGTCTTGATAACTTCAGGGAATTCGAAATACCAGTTGTGTTAACCGTAAAGAATCCTCATACGCACTGCCTGCGTTTGAGAACAGCCTTTGCCAATTGCGAGTTCGAGGAAAGAGACCCGGACTCGAGGATCTTTCACCTCGTCAGCCGGTCAATTGTGGACGAGGAATTTAGAAGCACTGGAAATCGTTCTTGATGAACACAGATATTTATTAGAAGTCACCTTTTTTCGGATGATAATGATTCGCACCCAAACTGGATAATTAACCTTAACGAACGAAGTAGATGTCGCCACTTTTCTGATATTATTATATATAAGATTGATATGTCGATCTGATACTGATTCTAAAAGAACATGATGTGCTGTTGTGGTATTCACCACATTTTGCGAAACCCTACCCCATATATCATCGCAGTAGCAGCCAGTTCTTGTACAATTTATTATAAATTTTTATGCCTTTGTCGTTTACGCAACGGGCACTGGCCGTGTCTTACTGGATGTGTAGTCTTCTTCTTACTCGGTAAACATTACTCGGTTAATATTGCTGCGGTGTTCATGATAATTATGATGAGGCTGACTATACGGAGAGAAACAGAAACTAAGAACCAGTGGCCTTCTGTCAATCGGCCTCCTGGTATGATAATCATCTGGCTGAGATTCTTGGAGTTGTTGCCCTTGAGGCTGAGCGAACCAATTCGGTAACGCGCACGCACGAGATCCATAATTATACCATAGCATGCATAATACTAGCTTGGAGCGTCCGATAACATCCCTCCCACTAGGATCCCCCTCCTCCCCAAAATAAGAAACTAAGCACGGCAAAGATGTAAGCGATAGGCGTTTTCCAAATTTCGAAAATTTTCCGCGTTTTGTCATCGTTTGGGGATTGAATCTCGTGCGTTTGAAGTGCTAAGATCCCCAAACTTTTTGACTTTAAGCCCTTTCCATTCCCTGAAATTCAGTCTCTTGGCTTTGCATTTTTCAAATTTCGAAAATTTTCCACATTTTGTCGCCGTTTTGGGATTGAATTTTTTGCGTTTGAAGCGCTCGAGTCCCAAAGTTTTTGATTTTAAGCCCTTTCCCTGGAATTCAATCGCTTGGATTTGCATTTTTCAGATTTCGAAAATTTTCCACATTTTTTCGCTGTTTTGGGATTGAGTTCTGTGCGTTTGCAGTGCTAAAGTCCCAAAATTTTTGATTTTAAGCCCTTGCCCTGAGATTCAATCTCTTGGCTTCGCGTTTTTCGAATTTCGATAATTTTCCACGTTTTTCGTCGTTTTGAGATTGAATCCCGTGAGTTTGAAGTGCTAAGATCCCAAAGCTTTTGATTTTAAGCCCTTGCCCTGGAATTCAATTCCGTGGCGTTTTGGGATTGAATCTCGTGAGTTTGAAGTGCTAAGATCCCAAAATTTTTGATTTTAAGCCTTTTCCCTGGAATTCAACTCCATGGCTTCGCGGTTTCGTGGTTTCCTGGGTTCGTGGGTTCATGGGTTTGGGGTTTGTTTGTTTTTGTGTCGGAGGTTGTGGGTTTGGGTGTTGGAGGTTGAGGTTTCGGAGGGGAAGTGTTTGCAAAGTTTTATTGCTCTTAATATTGACGAACCTTGTTCACCTTCTAAACTTCAGTAGATTTGGCGTAGTTTGAGTGTAGCAGCTCGTCAATTTGTAAACACCACGATAATTTCTCCCAAAACCTCCACTCCTGATGGCTTATTTCTAATTTTGGTGCTGTTCCTTTGAGGAAGTGGAAGTAGTTCGAATTTTATTGAAGATTCGGCTTATTGATGGTCTATCAGCTTTATTAAAGAATCCGCTTCTTTTGACTTGTCTAAAAGTTTGTTTCAACATGTTTCAACGTTACTTACGGTTACCCGCCATCTGAGCCTCAAACTCAAACAGCTTCACAATGGCCACCCTCGCGATCGGCGCAGTTGGGCTCGCCACGAAGGCTCATGCTGCGTATAAAACTTACGAGGCTTCCAAGGACATCATCGACGCTGCTGTCGAAACCAAGGAGCGCGCAGAGAACATCGACCTCGCGCGTACCGACGCCCGGCAAGCCTCCATCACCGAGGTCGACATTTTCTGCTGCCAGCTCGCCCGCATCGCGTACTTTCCGAAGGGGGAACGGAGAAACGTTTTGAACAATTTAGGGTTCCACTTGGTAATCGAGAAAACCAGATGGTTCATCGCGATTAAGACGCATAGAGGCGGGGAGACAAAGACAAGGCAATTTCCGTCTCTCGGTTTCATAGCGTTCCGGGGCACCGCAAGTCTCCGCGACGTGATCACGGATCTCGCTGCGAAACCGACAATTCCGATCGGCACTTACTCCGCAAGTGATAACTTCCAGACCGCCTTTTACCCGAAAACCCAGTTTCTCTCCGGGTTCTTTTTGAATATCGTGCAGAACTACAAGTTGCGATACGCGCTGGAGCAGTGCGGATTGATCGCAAACAAGGCGATTTCGTCCGGCTCGGATGAAAGTGAAGTAGCAAAGGAATTGCGCGGAAATGATGCTGAGTACAAGTGCGACTTTCCATCCGAGTTCGTGTCCCCCGTTCGAGGCGCTGGGAACGAGTTTACTGGCGTGAATGACTGGTACTTTTGCGGGCACTCGCTGGGCGGCGGCTCGGCCCAGCTTGCGCTGGTGTTGCTGCAGAAAGGAATTTTTGAGGCGAGCGAGTTTTTCCCAGCGGCGGTCGATCCGAAGATGAAGCTGCAAACGAGCTTGACGACGTCCGCGAGTGGCGGTTCAGTTGCCGGTGGTGGAAGTTCTTTTGCGTCGTCTGCTGCCAATTTGGCATTATCGAGCTCCGCGTCGGGCTTGGGCTCTCGCTTTGCTGATAACAGCGATGAGGATGACAGCGACGACGAAGAATCCCAAGATGCAAAAGAGAGAAAGAAGCTTCAGGCGGAGAAACAAGCCGCGCGGCGAGAACACCAGATGCAGCAGGCAAGTGTTTTGTACGAGGCTGGAAAAAAGTGGCTCGCGGCGCACAGCAGCACCAACTACTACAAGGAAGAAAAATCCACCGTGCAGAGGACGAGTTTGCAACCGTGCTGCGGGACATCGGGTGTGCGGGTGCAGGCTATTGTTTTTGCGTCTCCCCCACTGTACTTTGACCCGATAGGGTTCTTAGACGACGCAGAGTCCTTCCCAAGAGGCGTTTCGGGGAAGGACGAAATGCGGAAACTCTGGTTGCTCGACAAGAACCACCCCATCAAGGCGTTTGTGTACGGCATGGATCCGGTGCCGCGCTTAGACCGCCAGTCGCATAATCTGTTTCTGAAACTCGTCACGCACTATCTGCCGTCCGCGAAGAAAAAGATCAAGTCTCTGGACAACTACACGCACTTTCAGCACGAGAAGTCGGTGTGGATAATCCCGGAGAAAGGAAGTGGAAGCTTTGGGAGTATGACATCGTTGGAGAATTTGGAGACTACGTGGGAATATGGAAAGGAGTACGGGATGAAGGCTGCGAAGAAGGCGAAGAAATATTTGGGAAAGAAAGCGGAGATAGCAGCGAACGCAGCGAAGGAAAAAGCGGCACAAGCAACGGAGAGAGCGAAGGCTTGGTGGAACAGCAGTGGCGGGGACGAGCAAGGAGACGACGATGGAGATCAGCATGGGCGGGATGAAACGGATGAAAAGCCCGACTTCAAGGACGGCGGGGGAGCCACTCATCCTGAAAAGCCGAAAGTCGCTGCACCGATCGTTCCGCAGCCTGGCGCCCCTACGATTACGAAGGACTCGTTCACTCCCCTCGTCGCAGCCACTCCGATCGCCACTTCACAAAAAGGTGGCGCACAAGCCGCCGCCGCTGCTTCTACGCCCGATTCGGCCCCGGCTCCCCAGAAACGCGGCATCTTCAGTTGCTGTTGTGGCGGCAGCCGACCACCGCCAGCGGTCAATGGGACAAATCTTTCTGCCGAGGGAGAGGCCTGCGTACCTCAGACCGAGGGGGAGCTATCTTTTGGGGGACTGATGGGAAAGAAGTTGGGGAATCCGGAGGTGGAGGGAGGCGACGATGCAGATGACGTCGGTCCGCCGAAAACGAGGGCAATTTGGTTAGACCCGGATCCGGAGGAGAAATTCTCAAGAAAACATTTGCTGCACGTTAACGACAGCGCGCCGACTCATCACGCACTCGATAAGTACGAGTTGGGGTTTATGAATCACTTCGATCTTCACGACACGTTCGAGGAAAAAAGTCTGTGTGAATTGCCGCTGGATGGATTCGGAGATAAGGGGTGAAGCAGTTTGTGTTTTGTAGATTTCTGGTAGTTGAGATAGTGAACAAGCATTCAGAACATCTCCGATCCGATCGTGATTCTCGCTGCCGCAATCACACGTTATAGATACATTACTAAATAACAGTCGAGAAATCCAAGTCTTTGGTTATGACGAGCATTTTTTGATAATGATATAATGGATTCTCGAAAAAAAACTGTGATGAATCTATGTGCATTTGAATCTAACAGACAGAATGAACAGTGCGCTTGATTTGAGTACGTTCTAGGCATACGACCACTTTGACAAATAGTAGAACTAATTTTAAAAATGTGAATACTAGGAATGGAAAGATGCATTTGGAGAAAGTAAATAGAAGTCTGAATTCAGCACGAATGGCTTCCAAGCTATTTTTCTCTTCACACTTAGGCAATTGAAAAAGTTCTCCCAAAAAGAAACAACAGGTATACACTGGATCGTTTAGAGCGGAGTTGCCAAAGAGGATATAGGAAGGGGAGGAGTTTGGAGGACTAGCGTAAAATAAGACCCGTAGTTAGTGTAATTAAGAAGTAGAGAAGTCCCACTGATCAAGAAGATGGGTGGCGCAGAGCATCGCATGAGTGTACGGATCGCGTCCCGCCTCCACCATGGGAGGGCGAAATACACAAGCTAACACTGAAAAGCGGACGAATTGCATCCGATCCGGGCGCCACCCCACTCCGAAATCTTCCGCTTCCTGTTGGTGTTTTGGTTGGAGCCGAGCTCTGGACGTTAAATCTGCGGAATAGGGGTGTCGAACCAATGAGTTAGCGTAGACCTGTCTACCGTCTCAGCCTCTTAAGCTTCTCCCTTACGAAGGCTGAGGCTGCTTCCAGTTCCGTAAATTACAGATGAAACGTGCCTCGAGTGCGGCATCTGATTGGCGTGCTGACATTTGTGTGGACCTGTTGACTACGCCCGAAAGGGGATACAGGGCGTGCGAACGTGATTTGGTTTGATTATGACAACCACAGCGTCTGCCTTTTTTATTGACATTGACTCTGTGTTTGACCCTGTCGCGACTGCATTGGTAAGTAAGAGAAATCATAATCTTGAAGCAAGTATCACCTGTATAGATTGTACACTTTCTCGGCCAGTTTTATACCGTCGCAGAAAATGTTTCGTCTTGCCTGTGATTTTGTGCAATCACTTGGGGCGTAATGATAACGATGTTGATGATGAGCCGCAAAAAATATCGCTAGAAGACCGAGGAAGCTGCAGTGCGGGCATCAATGGTAATGGAATATTATGTCTCCCTGTTGCGCGTCATACATCTCATACGTGTGGGAGGACTGGGAGAGTAAGTAGACATACAGTACAAAAGTGTTAAAACAAACTGTTGCGGTCATCTTGGCACACGGGGAATAATAAAAAACCTGATATCAGACTTAGAGAGTCTTGGAGTGCAAGAACTGTAGATTAGCCGAGAGGGCGAGTGTTGAGAAGAAACTTTCTTCAAGAAAGGCGGAGACGTTGAAAACTACTTAAAAAAGCTTTAGAATTAGAGCGCGAGCGACAAATAAGCATTTGATGTTGGTCGAATACAACAGAATCAAGCAAAGAACTATTGCTGTTCTTTAACTTTTTTTCATCAAGAAGTTCTTTCTAGTATCTTCTTTCAATATTTGTTGAACATGAACTGGTTCATGAAATTATCAAAAGTAAATGTGGCTAGTTGTAGAAGTTGTACATGCCAATACTACAAACATACTAGTGTCGTGTTTTTTTACCTCGCCATCAGTTCTTTCATCATCAACACAAGAACTACAAGATGAGCACCGCGATTCCGCAACCCGAAGGAGAGAGCGCGGCGTCAGCTGCTACTACCGATCGGGGGACCGAGCCGGTCTCCTATGTTGCAGGAGCAATGATGCCGACTGGGACTTCTCCATCTCCTATGCAGGAGCAGGGCGGCACGACTTCTCGAGCGACCGCGGCAGAAAACCCCAATGTTGTTTGTTATTCTGTGAGTGTGGGTCCAAAATCCTTTTTTTCGGAGGAGCGGACCTTTCTTCACTGGATGCATGTTGTCTCCTTGCTAAGTGTTTTCAGCATCGCTCTGCTCAGCGCGCATGCGATCGCTGCAGTAGTGCTGCTTTGTGCCTGCATCATTCTCGCGTTTTTGTTATGGTGGTTGCACGTTAGTCGCGTGGAAGCCATGGATCGCGGCATGGCTGCTGCTAATGAGTTCCGCGAGCACCGATTTTTTCTAGCCCTGGGTGGTCTCTTCACTTTCGTGATGCTCTTCACGCTCAAAGTGCTCTTGCTCAACGGATCTTCCGACTTCTGAGTACTACATGTGATTTTCGAACTAGTCGTGTACGTTTGTCAGAGAATGCCTACTTCAAAATATCATGCGGGGGAGCACAAGAACAACTACGAACTTCAGGAGAAATGCCCATACATCTACTTTCTCATGAAGAGAGAAAATCTGCTAATAAATACAACAACCTGCTACAACGTCACAAGCACAACTGCTCACTGTTGGTAGAACTACAAGAAGAAGATGTACTAGTACACGATGACGATCGGAGATGGTTTCGGATAATAATAGACAGAAATTCTTGTGACACAAGATAAACTTCGGGGAATATCTGTGCGGAGAAGAGCACATATTGCTTGGTTTTTTCCGAGAGCCTCCGCCTTGGGCATCCCCCATTTTTTTCTTACGGGGCCGATGAATTGGCTGGATAGTCGGAAACAGGCAATGCAGACTTTTTTCAACGTTTATTCTTGCGAGTTCTGCTTAAGGAGAACGAAAATTTTTTCGCGCCTTTATGTTGACTGGTTCAGTTGTTATCTACTTCTACGTGCATCGTCATTGTGACTTCCTCAATGTATGAAGAATTGACACGACGTCCCTGTGGTTGTGACAATGATTGTAAAGAATAGTTGTGCGTGAGTCTTAACAGTCGGAGCTTTTTCCCACGAGAAGTAACGATTTGACCCATGATATATATGATATTCATAAATCTATGTTATTGATTATACAACGAGTACTAGGTAACATATTGAATAGACTATGATGGCAAGAATGGCATCTGACCTAATTTCATCCCATCGGATTGAAGATCAGTGTGGCTTGCCGAGTTCCGCGTATGGTCGTGCCTTACTGGGCTACGCGCGAAAACGATTCCCCGGCAGCGAGGGGGAACGCGTACGATGGTGTTTTGATTGGTTGCAACGCGGAGACGACGCCTGGAGGCAATGGCGCTGTGGGCGGAAGCGGCCTACTTGTGATCGAACAACTGCAGTGCAAAATGTTGGACAAGCTAGTGGAATGGATCATGAGGCTTCGACGAGAAGGAAAAACTTATCACAACGAAGAGGAAGAGGAGATGATGCACCAGCTCCGAAGCACGCGATTGACGAGGGAGCTGTGCTGCAAAAACGACTCGCGCCACTGCAGGCCGTTTTTTACGAGCTGCAAAGCGCCGCGCAGCCTATAAGACGGGACATGCGCGGAGTAACACGTGGTTTGCATCGCGCTGTGCATGATTGTTGGATCGCACTAGTAGAAGCTTCGAAGGAACAGGAAGTCGCGCCAAGTAGTTCTACTTCTACTGATCCCGCAGCTGGAGGGGGTCTTCACACTGGTGACAGCCTAGGAGATGTAGACCAAGATGAAGTGCATCGCGCTCATCCAGCGCCGTGTGGCAACCACGAAGGGCAGGAGCACATGATAGTGTGCACCACCGACCGGACCAAACCGGTCGAACTGCACGGAGAAGTTCGCTCAAAAGCGGAGGTCTCTTTTGCCCAGCGCATGGAGGAGGTAGGGTGGGGTCTTGCTCCACTCTGTGGACGTTGTCTCGTCGGCACTATGAAGGCAAGTACCCTGGCTGATCTTGTAGGCGAACTCATGCCCAATGCTAAGACGAGTACCAACAACATGTTGACCACACGTGAGCAAAATCTGTCGACGTCCCTACGTTGTGATAGCTGCGAAACGCATCAAGCCGATAGTACGTCGTGGTCTATGAAAATCAAACGTCCTTGCAGTGCTGAAGGAACAAGAACAGGACTGGCTTTCCCGCCAGCTTGTTCGGGTCTAGCAGGGAGCAACTGTCAAGGGCGCCTATGGTGGTGTCCGCAGTGTTGGATGGAGGCCAAAGTGCCGGTGAGTCGCTGTGCGCAGTGCGCACTGTCCACGATGTCCCACTGGGTACCAACTGAGCAAGACCATCTTGGCTCATCATCTCCTCTCTTTCTTTTGCCATCGGCAAACCCTAGTACTAGAAGTACCAACCACAAGTTGACAACATCAAGTACCCCCTCTATTTCATCTAGTCGGAGGTCGAGATCAACATCAGAAGGGGCTCGAGGCAGAATGAATAGAGCACTCAGAAACAGAAGCTGCAGACTTTCCTCGTCGCCCAGGACCGACAAGGTTTTAGACACTGCATATCAGCACCCGCGGAGCAAATACCGGGAAAGGCTAATAGACGATCTAGATGAAATAAAGACACCGAGCAAAAATGCGATGGCCGCCAAGAAGTATCGTGTTGAACGCATTCTTGCGGAAGTTCAAAAAAATAGAAGTGGTTCATCTGTTGACGGACGGTGTAGTTCTCGGGTTGGCGTTTCTACATCCTCTGTCTGCCGCGTAAAGATGAAAGACGAAAATACCTCAACAAGAAATGTGACTTCATCTCGTTTGACTCCGCGAAAGAACCTAGAGGATTCTGATGAAAAAGTACACAAGAACAAGATATTTAATTTTCAAGTTAAACCAGCACCGACTGCATTTGTGGGCTATAATTCTTCATCCACTGTGGCCGAACATCAACATCAAGTAGGTGTTAGGTACAACAACAATATGAAGATGAAGCAAAAAAACGACTCGGAGTCGGACTGTATGCCAAGGGGAACCGCTTGCTCACCAGGTCTCACTTCACCTTCTCCGGCCGCGATTGAAGTCGGGATTGCGCTGTCAGCCAGGGAACGTATGACGCAGGCGCGGAGTACCCTTCTCCTCGAAGAGACACCAGAAAGAATGGCCCGTCGAGCCCATAATTCTGCTGCCGCTAGAAATCGTTTTGGACGAGGAACGCGTCCTGATAGTAAGACGCAATTTGAATGGGACTGTTTTCGACCGTGCTCACCTCCGAGTCACGAGGGTGAGGAGTCTTTGAAGAAGGCGTCGCGACTTGTTGTCATGCAGGAGAAAGAATTCGGAGGTGAAGAGAAGCAGATGATGGGAGCGGTGGATGATGGTGATCCTCACGGTCAAACGAAGCCAAACTCTCAGTACACGACTACCTTACTAGGGACAGGTGCAGGAAAAGAGCGAAGTCAAAGATGCGATCGCGATGCAGACCGTCGTACTACGTGGGAACAGGATCGAAGAAGTGCGATCGGCTCCGATCTCAGCCTGGCGGTGGATCGAAGCCTGGCGGCAATGAAAAACGTAGCTCAGAAAGTTCAACCAAGTAGCAGTCGCTTCAAAGCCCCAGCGTCGGGCGAAAAAAATTCGATGTGGCAACACAGTGCGGCAATGCGCACCGCGTGGCTTGTATAATATTTGATCACTCCTAGATTATCGACATGAAGCATCTTTCTGCCTCTGAAGTAATCTTTGGACATTGAACATATATGACCATGAAATTCGCATCAAGTGATGCCTGTAGAGCTCGTGGAAGGCAAGACTTCGCAGGGATAGAGTATCAAAAATTCGTGATCCTGACGACAAGCATACACTTCTATGTATGTGTGTATGTATGTATGGATGTATGCATGTGTGTAAGCATGTTTGTGCGTATGTATGTATGTATGTATGTATGTATGTATGTATGTACTGCACGTATGTGCTTGAGTGTGTGTATGTATGCACGTATGAGGGAACTCGAATTGTCACTGACGTCGTGTTCTTATGTAGTAGACACGTTTCTAAGAGTCGGAGAGAATTCCGTCGTTTCGATAGGATCAGGAACCCTTTTTGGAAATGTAGGTTTGGACTTCATAGTCTCTCGCGTCATACAAGTGATCGCGTCCACATCATACAAGATGAATCTTCAAGATTCAAATGATCTTCGAACTTAAGCATTGTCGGTGTTTGTGGCAAAAAAAAAATCGGTATGAACTCACATCAAAGAATTCTTTCTGAGATGAAATAGGAGCCTCTTCGGAAGTCTCTCGTCACTATCATCATCTGGTATTTTCTCCGTGTCTGTCAGCAACACCTTTCTCCAGTATCTCTCTTCACAGTGACTCAAGCGCACCCCCTTGACCCGCCAAGCTATTTAGTTTATTGTATTTAAAACACGCATGATTTCCTCCGTTCTAAAAGTTATCGCTTCTGCAGAATTATATGAATTATTCTGAACTTTGGTTCTTCATCACATGATTTGGTATTCTCGGAAAAATTTTATTTCTCTAGTCTTCAGGTTCTTCTGCCAGCGGCAGTAATAAATTGAGAAGTAAGTTTTGTGTTGACAATGGCATCTGAAAAACCTCTTTCTGGATAGTTGCTTACCCAGAAATGTTATACAAATTTAATTATAAGTGTTTACAACAATTAGATCATGATGATTAAGCACCTAGTAGATGAAGCAAGCATAGCAACAGAACAAGAATTGAAATGAAGTTGTATGGACAAGATTGTGATGTTTGTACATATGAGTAGCACCACGGCGTGCATATCTTTAACCAGCTTTGTAATTAGTTCCGATTTGCTTCTGTCTTGACGAGCGTCTTCGAGCTTGTAAAGATAAAGAATCGAAGTTTGTTGAGTTCTCGCCTTGTTTTTACAGCAAAAATGTACAATGCTTTGAAGTGTGCGTTGTCATCTGCTCGGGGAAAGCGGAGTGCTAGGAGCAGCCAGCAGGATGGCACACCTTTGGATTCCGAATTCAAAGAAGGCACGCCTTTAGAGGGGACGACGCCTGGCGATTACGAGGACTACAACAAATCAAAAGAAGTTCTTAAGGCACCTAAGGATATGGAAAATAATCCTTGAAGACGATAAATTCCTTCTAAAAAACGGAAATGAATTCCTGAGCACCATGATTAGAACTGTCAGGAGTGAAAGTGATGGATAACTACCAGCTTCGTTTCAACATTCGCCAACAGAAGATGAAGAAGCTCTAAGATGGCACCGCAAGAGGAACCGAGGATGAAGAGGCATAGATCGACTTCCCCATCCTCATCTGCTATATTCTCGTATTATCGCGATGACTCTACAGATGGAGGCTATGGCATCCCTTCGGATCTCAAGCCGCGACGGTCGTTACCCGCAACGCCTGGAAGAAGTCTACGCGTACTTCTATATCAATACTTTACTGAATGGGATATGGATAGCAAACTAGTCAAATAAATCTAGTTCTGACTACACACTTTGCAGCTTGTTGAAGAGAAGAGTAATATATAGGTAGAAGTAGATGTAGTTGTTGTTGACTAGAGAGGCTAGTTCAGTAGTTATGCACTTGCATATAAGGGGTTGTCGACTACTCTTTGAACACGAACGCGATGACGGGATCCGAATTTTTTGATTCGAATTGAAAGTAGAAGTAGATGAGGTGTTGTATTATCTATACTCTAGAATTCATTGCATTGCATTCGGAACACTTATTTCAATATGAACTATGTATAGGGTTTTTAGTAGTTTCTTATTCTCTTTATTCATGTATTTCCTGCACTGCAGTTTAACTCAAATTCTTGTACTAGGTTACAAGCAGAATGCAGGCACGCATGAAAGCTGAGGGTGAGGAAGGAGCATGGAATCGCGATGAGGCGACGGGAAAATGGGGCTTTGCTCATGCCGTTCCATCCATGTACGGTGGCGTAGAAATAATCCAACTCGATCATCCCGATTACGAGGAAGTCATGGACAACCGGTCAAAGCAACTCAGATTATGAAGCGTGCTGGGGGTCGTGGGAAATTGAAATTCAAAGCAGACTATGATATTTATAATAGTATACCAGGCAGTATATATTTCTCTTCTATAAAAAGAGCTCATAATTTTGATTAACTCTAAAGAATGGCCTCTACCCGTCTTCTGCTGCGTTCCTGGGGATAGTAGCCGTAGTGAAACAATCCAACTTGACATAGCTAAGCAAGAAAATATTTACCGGTTATGATTTAATGTTCGTCTTAATACTTCTCCCTTCATTCAATTTTCCAATTTAACTCCTTGTTATCCACTCTGTTTCCGGGCGTTTGTTGTGAAGTAATTGGCGAGCCTCTATTGCCACTCAATACGAAAAGATCATGCATCAGTCATTAGATGTATTGCTCGCCGATCTTAATACAGGGTAACAAGGAACGTTAGCTACCTTGTTAGGCTCAAGCGAGTGGTGTTGTTGGGATAATGAGCTACTCGTTAGAATAATAACAACAACTTAGTACCCAAAAAAAGAAGCATAAGATCATGACTTCTTCTTTTACTTTCTTGGATTATGATGAATAATTTTCCTACTAGTACTACCTACTTGTTTTATTTTAGGTACCGAGGTAACTTCATTTCGCCTAGAAGACGAATTTATTTTTCCTTGTTGTTCTTTCTACACCTGTTCTAACAAAGGCAATGGGGGCACACCTGCCTCGGGGACCAATCGATTTGCGTGCCAAAGCTGTCTTACGCCGACAAATCGACACGGCAAAAACAACGTATCTATAAGTTACTGCACAAAGTCGCTAATGATACTCATCTAGTTATTTTACGTTTTAATTAGGAAGGGGATTACTTTTTACACAAATTATTGCAAGTACTAGACTCTTTCTCTTCCTGCTCAGCACTATTGTTACAATTACCACTACTACTGCAAGTATTCGAATCAACTCGTCTTGTCTGTTGATTGTTGGATTGTTCAATCATGCGATATTAATTTGACAAAAAAACTTTGTGTCGTGTTGTTCGATTTAAGTAGTTGGTCCCCTTAATTTTAATATGCTTAAGTTGATCAAGAAATGTGTGCTTCGATCATTCTAGTTATTTTTGTCCTTAAAAAACTTTTATCCCGCACTGCTTCATCCAGTGTTTATGAGTATTTCGCTCCCATTCCATAGATGCGCGCCATAATTGCTATAGTAGATACGCTTACGCATACGACCCCCTTTCATCTACTCGTCTTTCAGGAGCTATCACCCGCGCGATTATAAGCCTACAGATAAGGCACTGCTCGAAGGAGCAAGCGTCAAGGCATCCTCTTACGACCGAACAGCAGCAGCCACTTACGACCGAGTGGCCGATTCTAAAATGGATGCTATGTTGCGAAATGGGCAAGACATGAAAGCGGGCCTCCGCGTGCCCGGGACGAACCGTCGGACGCAACAAGATTTTCTTACGGGTCACGAACAAGAATTGTTACCTGCTATACCTCCGTCTGTCTATTTGAATCGATCATGGAAGAACAGGTACTCCAGAAAGGAACAGCAGCATATTTTTGTTTCGGGTAAAACGTTCTCAGTAAGATGGAATTGAACAAGGCGCGTGGAACGAATATGTTAATCAGTTGCGTCGTTGAATGAAATAGTTATTATAGGCTCTTCTTGTAAAAATGGAAGAAGACCCTTGGTAGGTTCTTGTAGTTCTACAACTACTGTACTGATCATGTTCATGTAGAGCGCGGTCGCATTTCATGCAGTAAGGAGTAGCTACTGGAGGGATAAGAGAGGTTTAGTAAGTTATCTAACTTGTATGTATGAGGAGTAGCATTTTGTTTGTGCTGCACGACGGCTTTCAGTTTATTATCCATAAGAGTTAGATTAATTATAAATGGATGCTAACTACTAAATGCGTCTTTCTTCTAGCACAACCTGTAAGGGAAAATCTGGATCTGGCCCAACATCAACTTTTATGTTCTCGCTCCGTCTAGTTTTTACACATTGTTATCCACTTCATCTTTCGCTATCCCTGTCGGTCGCTCCCGTAGTGCTAATGCTATCATGTAGTTTCGCCTCTCGAATGCTTGCGAACAAGGTAAAGAGAAATTTTCGACTTCGCATCCTCTAATCTCAGAGAAGTTGGAATTACGAAGGAGACGGTGGAAGACGCCGAAAGACGGAATGTAGCGCGAAAAGCGGCGCCATTGTGGAATGCAAATGACGGAGGGAATTTTGAGAGTTCGCCAGTCGTAAAAGCCTCAGGATTACCGCAGCAGGAGCAACGAGGAGAAGTGCGTAAACTGGACATGGAGTTAAGAGTTGGAAGTTGACCTCTCTCTGAAAAGTATACTTAAATATCTACGACATTTTCAAGTAGCATCAATAAAGCCGTACTAGATACGCCTAGTACGCGGATGAAATATTATAGATCGGTGGCCAACAACTTCCAACCCCTAATGCAGCAGTCAATGCCGCACACCTCCGGATATACTCCGCAGCAACGAGACGTGAACAGACTGGACATACAGCAGTCAATGCCGAAGTCAACGCCAAGTGATTATAGGTCGCAGCAACGAGACGTGAATAGACTGGACATGCAGCAAGCGATGCCGCAGGCTAACAGTTCGCAACCGACGCGAGCACAGTGGGAGGTGCATCAGCTCGATGTTCAAGGTCCTGGTGCGGGTGCGGCGCCCGTCGCTCCTGGCCAGCAGATGAATGTTGGGAGGCTGGACCTACAACCAGCCGGCGCGCAGGCTGGCGGTGGCTACCAGGGTCAGCAGCAGATGGATGTCGGGAGGCTGAACCCACAACAATACGGTCCGCGGGCTGGCGGCGGCTATCAGGGTCAGCAGCAAGTGGATGTCGGGAGGCTGAACCCACAACAATACGGTCCGCGGGCTGGCGGCGCCTATCAGGGTCAGCAGCAGATGGATGTCGGGAGGCTGAACCTACAACAACAAGCCGGCCCGCAGGCTGGCGGTGCTGGCTATCAAGGTCAGCAGCAGGTGGATGTCGAGAGGCTAAACCCACAACAATCCGGTCCGCAGGATGGCGGTGGCTATCAGGGTCAGCAGCAGATGGATGTCGGGAGGCTGAACCTACAACAAGCCGGTCCGCAGGCTGGCGGCGGCTATCAGGGTCAGCAGCAGATGGATGTCGGGAGGCTGAACCCACAACAAGCCGGTTCTCAACCTGGTGGTGGTTATCAGGGTCAGCAGAAGATGGATGTCGGGAGGCTGAACCGACAACAAGCCGGTCCTCAACCTGGTGGAGGTTATCAGGGTCAGCAGCAGATGGATGTCGGGAGGCTGAACCTGCAACAAGGCGGTTCTCAGGCCGGCGACGGTTATCAGGGTCAGCAGCAGATGGATGTCGGGAGGCTGAACCTACAACAAGTCGGGCCCCAGGCTGGTGGCGGTTATCAGGATCAGCAGCAGATGGATGTCGGGAGGCCGAACCTACAACAAGCCGGTCCTCAGGCTGGTGGCGGTTTTGGAGGCCCGGCAGGGAATAATGTGGGTAACCTTGATATCAGCGGACCTGGCGGAGATTCATATGCGATGGCAGGACAGCAAACCACTGAGATAGGAGGGCCCGTTCCAGCGGGCTACCGGCCAGCCCGGGGCGGGGTCGGACGAGACCTTTCGTTGACCGACGAAGATCGCGAACGTGCAACAGGCATGCCAATGATGCCAATAATGCCGTCCGGCAGGGCTGGTGTCCCTCCTGGCAGTGCTGACTTCGAGAGCGGTACTAACGAAGCACCTTCCTCTTTTGGTTTCGTTATACCCGGCGAGAACCACGCGGATGGATTAGCGCCAGTGCAGTTCATATCAAGTGGAGTTGATGCTCCTGGGGCTGGCATGGTACTTTTATTTTCCTGTAAGATAGAATTTTATATTTTTTCTTTCTGGAGAGTAATCTCCTCCACATCACAATACTATAACTATCTACGTTATAAGTCAAAACTTAACATTAGGCTTAAACCGGAGTAGTTTTACGGTTTTCGAAAGATGTACGGGAATCATGGCAAAGATGTACTTGCACAGGCCAGACGGATACGCCTGGCATATATATCTCGCGACATATATCGCGCACGCAAATCATGGAAGAGATGCACTCTTGGGGCGATTTGTGAGGGGTTTGCGGATTTCCATACTTTTGAGATGTACGGAAATCATGGGAAGGATGTACGTGCTAGAAGTATACTTCTCACGCCGTAGAAATGCAGGGCCTTCGAGCACGCCTCCCCCGTGATCCTGCTGCTGATAAATATCCCCTTTCGGCAGTACCTGCCGCCAGTGTTATCTTTATGCTGATGCAAAACGTAGCAGCTTCTAGCACGTAACTGCTTTACTTATGCCACAGCCCATTGCTGTTGCTCTTCACATAACTCGTAGCACGCTGGTAGGCCGTATCTATATCTATAACGTAACCCGTAGCACTTGTAAATGTAAGACCTCTCCGCCCTGCTCCGGCGTGTGTACCTACACGCCCGGGGCGCGTGGGCTCCCCCGCAAACGGTCGGACCTTTCAAGCGGGTCAAAAAGCGGACAGCAATCGCATAAAGCTGCGCCATTTGGATAGGAGTTCTGAGCCAGCTCCTCAAATGGTAGGACCTTCCAAGCAGGTCAAAAGCCGGCAGCGGCGTCCGTCAGCTTCATAAAGCTGCGCCCTTTGGGTGTGAGGTCTGAGCCAGCTCAAAGGTAAGGGCGGGGCCTTTCAACCAGGTCAAAAAGAGAAAGCAACGCCATGAGGCGAGGCTAGCACGCTGCTCCATTTGGATAGGCAGCCGGAGTCAGTTCAAGGGGCAAGGCTTTGCAGCTGTATCAAACAAAACGAGGCAGCCGCAGCTGCCGCGCCACAACAAAACGGCAACTGTATGATCTTAAGTAGAAAAGTGCTCGACTCTCTGCAAATATCTTAGGCCATGTGCTTTATTTGATTCACCTGATCGATTTCGTACATCACAATTACTGCCATTCGTTTCGAGGTGCTGCCAGTGTTTATATGATGTAGGACAACGTGTCAGCCTGTGCCACGTACTTAATTGCTTCACTTTCACCGAAGCCGTTTATCGTTACTCTTCACATAATTCGTAGGGAGTACACCGGTAGGCTGTAGCCTAGCTCGTAACATTTGCGGGACCCTTCGTTCCGCCCTGCCCCGGTGTGTGTATACGCAAGGGGCACGTTGGCGGTGCTCTTTTTGGGGTTGGTTTATCTATTCCTATTCTGCGTTTTTGGGGTTGGTATATCTACTCTTATTCTGCGTTTTTGGGGTTGGTTTATCTATTCTTATTCTCCGTTCTACATCCACTTACTTTCCACATGATGAAACTGAGCTTGTTGAGCATCGAGGAGGACGCTTTTTTGTAAGTACCTGGAAATGTGCTAGTGCTTTGCGACATCGAATATATAATTAAATAGAGGTTGATTTTAGTGTTTAACCCTTATCAGCCTCACATGATAGAAGAAATACAAGTTGGAATATGTGTCTCGTTCTCTGTTGAAGAACAAAAACAACACCGCCAGGGACAGCAGGAGTTTCAGCAGAGGGATAATACCGGACAACAGGGACACGGCGGACAGCAGGGGTATGGCGGACAGCAGTGGTATGGCGGACAGCCACAGCAGGAGTATGGCGGACAGCCACAGCAGGAGTATGGCGGACAGCCACAGCAGGAGTATGGCGGACAGCAGGGGTATGGCGGGCAGCAGGGGTATGGCGGACAGCAGGGGTATGGCGGACAGCAGGGGTATGACGGACAGCAGGGCTTTAGTGGACCGCCGGCGGGGGCACATGGGTATGGTTTAGCTGGGCAGGGACGCGGATTCTTCGACATGCACCAGCAGACTCCGCAGACCAACGAGGCCTTTCTTGATCAGGAAACTGCGCAAGAACGCCAAAAACGCGTCGGGCGTGAGGACCTCGAGAGGCGTATCGCTTCTGCAAAAAGAAAGAGCGCGCCGCGTCCTCCTGATGTTGGGGCCGCCCGCGTACATTCCCCTGACGTTGGGCGCGCTATGGACGAGGAAACTAAGTTTCTGCGCCGCGACATACAGGCTTTAGAGGACAAGGAGCAGAGAGCCATCCATCAGTTCAAAACTCAACCCATGGACGCGGACGCTTACGAATCTTACCGCATGAGCGACGAAGTCGCACAGATTACCTTGGAACAAGCAAAGCTGGCCAATAACGTCGATGAGGTGCTCGAGCTGATGCGCAAGGGTATCATTAACGAGGAGGTGACGGTTGTGGAGGCTTACGGTGTCATGAAGCAGGCCCTGCAGTTGGTAGCAACGTCCTCCGAATGGTTTGACGCGCATGCAGATTTGCTGAACAAAGTTGATAAACACTATTCAGAGTACGGAAAGAATACCAGCGGAGACGCAACAGCACTGCAGGGACGTAAATGGCTAGCCAAAGCGAAAGAATTGTATCTCCCACTATTCTACTCTCATCTTGCAAGTTGACAGTACAACTTCTTCTACTTCTAGGGGATATTCTTTCATGTTTTTTCATTTTTAATTCTTCCAGAACTTTATTGATAACGAACTTGCTGATGAACATGAAGATGTTGATGCTGCAAGTAGCACAGAAGTAGTTACAATGTTTTTGTTCGGCATATTTGTGCTCATTGGTCTCGCTCCCGCCCAGGTGTGTCGTTCTCGTTGGATTTTCGACAAGACACAACCAACGCGCGTCCCGGGTTTTCTCGTCTTACAAAATAGCTAGTCGCTAGATATCGCGAAAGCTTTGGGGCTTCTTTGCCATGCTCTAGCCGCTCACGTTTTTGCTCCACCTTGCTGTTCCCCCGTCTTTGTTTGCCTTCGCCGTCCGTACCTCCACCTCCTTGCGTCCACCTCCCTGCCCCCACCTTCCTGCCCCCACCTCCCTGCCCACACCTCCCTGCCCACACCTCCCTGCCCACACCTCCCTCACCTCCCTGTCCCTCTTTCCTTGACTCCAGTCCATCTCCTTGCCCGCACCTCTTTGACCTCACATCCCTGACTCCACATCCTTGACTCCACGGCCTTCACTCCACATCCTTGCCTTCGCATCCTTGACTCCACCTCCTTGCCCTTATTTTTTTGCCTCCACTACGTTTTTGACGTTTTCTAATTAGAATTAAATGCATTCTAGTTAAAATTGCACATATTCTAGCTAAAGTTGAACTACACTTGCTAGTTAAAATGCGACATACTTTCGTTAAGCTTCGACGCTTGCCAGTTAAAGTCCGACAATCTCTAGTTAAAATTAACCGCTTTCTAGTTAAAACGCGACGCATTCTAGTGAAAGTTAGACATATTCTAGCTAAAGTTGTACACTTTCTAGCTACTTTTGAGCATTTTCTAGTTAAAGTTAAACACTTTCTAGTTATGAGTTGACATTTTCTAGTTATATTTATACTTTCGCTTTGTGTTTTTGATATCATGATGCAATTATTGCTTAAAAATAATTTTCAGGTGGACAACGCTGATTGACGCTATTCGTAGCACACACATGGAGCAGAGTTGCCAGAGTTCGCTTGAAAAGAACATGCAGCTTTTGCGCTTTGTTGTTACAGAGAAAATGGCGGGTAAAAAAGCGCAGAATGAGAATGAACCGTTTAGACAGGACATAAAGGAAGCCCGCAGTGGGATCTGGCGCGTGATTGATGCACTTCGTCGTGGACGAGGGTATGCAGAGAAGGACCCTACAGTTAAGGACTATTCTTATTGTTCAAGTAATATCTCTATCTTCCTTATTCCTATTCGTCCATGTCCTTGCAGCTTACTTAGATGATTATGTTGAATCATGACAGAGGGATTGGCATCCACACGTGTGATCCTCGTGATGTAGCAGTTGTTATATCCTCTGTTTTTAATGCTTTCCTATTCCTTGCACCATAAAATCGATGCAGAAGTGCTGTAATGTTCGTCGTCTTGTTCTTTTATTCTGCAGCTCAGGGAAGATTTTTTTTTTTTTCACTGAAGACGTCCGCCAGACAGGCTCGGCTGTCGAAGGTTATTCTTAGCCATTGCTCTTCTTCTAACATACGCTATCGCAACAAGGCAGAGCACCTCCAAGCTGCGGCCGCCGAGGCACATCTGTCATTTGAGGTCGAGCATAAACTGCGAAGACTGGACGCATTTTTGCGGGCCGCCAAACCTGACACGACGCAGGGGGATCTGCTGAGCGTGTACCGAGAGGTTGAGGACGTCCTGAAGTATGGGAGCGTTCAACACCAGAACAACACGTTGTTACGACCGAAAGTGCTATACCAGATGACTCGTACTTATCCAGTACCATTTATATCAAACTTGCGGGAGGAGGAGTTGATCACGCATCATAAGTAATTTTCATATTTGTAAGATATAGTATTTCTTTTTTTTGTACTTTTTTCTTGTCTCAAAGCTGAATTGGCAGGTCAGATTGGAGACATATGTTGACATGGCATGTACTTTTTTCTTGTCCTTTGACTTTCCTTTGTGGTCGTCTCTCTTGGAACTCAAGTCGTCCAATATGTCATAGTAAGTACAACTCGAGTTTTTATGTTTGAACAAGATGAGACTACTTGAATGAACTACGAGGACATCATAATAATACATGACCAAGTGGGCCTATGCATTGGACGAATTCGACCTTGATTATTTTTCCACTGCAACTTGATCTTGAACACATCGAGGATACTGCCTGTCATTTGAAGATTAATAATTATCAACGATGGCAGATCGCATCGACACGACACAGTTGCGGAACACTGATTAGGGTGAATGACCATGACCATGACATCTCTAAGATCGCGGCTCATGCCGGCGCGTAAGCATCGGCCGGATGGGGCTAATGAGACTATGATGGCGGGCCAGGATAAGTTTGAGAGGGCGTACCTGGCCGCGAACAGGGACTACCATCGCGATGACTCGGACCGACTCGGCTCCCTGTACCCAGGCGTGAGTGGTGACGGGCGGTCCCCGCTACGCCGCGAAAGGGTGGCGCAGTACACAGCGACAGGAGATCTAGCTGGTGAAAGCATGAGCAGCATGGCACGTGCACGGGAGAAGGCGCGCATCATCCGCGAGCCGAATCAGCCGGTGAAGATTCTGGCGAAGACGAAAGGGTCGCAAATGCGAGATATGTCCGCTTCCCCACAAGACGTTCTGGATGCGGGCACGGTTATGGGGCGAGACCAGGCGGCAGCGTACCAGCGGAACTACCTCAGGCCAGGTGTTGACCCGCAAATGACGACGGACGGCAACCGATACGCCGATCTCTTCGACTACGAGCGAAATACTGTTGCGGAACGCCATGCAGCCTTGCGACCGTTGCAGGAGTTAGAGGGAATGAAACACGACGTGCTGCCAGAGAATGCGGATCTCGTGAAGATACTTACCGCACTCACACAGTACGAAATGGGGAAACTGGAGGAGCGTCTCTTACCCCCTGAAGTTCTGCAGCATGCCGGCTTCCGCCTTGAGACTGCGGCACTCAAACGCGATCTGGTACGAGGCTTGATCGAACACAAGGCAAATGACGATGCCCAGCTAGAACTAGAAGCCGGACTGGTTGAGCAGATAAATCGGGAGCGGGAAAGGTAATAATTAAATATATACTATAGCACGCATGGCGCATGTTATACAGAGCAGTTTATAGCAGGCGTGGCGCATGGAGTGCATGGAGCGCAGTTCCATAAGGGACGCAAGAAGCCCATGCAGCTGCATGCGATTCATGCACTCGATGCCATGCGAGCTGCCAAATCTTCGAAATTGTTCCGTTAAATATATTCATAGTATTTTTAAAATGCTTGGCACATCATTACATCTTTTAAGGTTAGTTCATGATTGGCATTTTTCTACTTATGCGTCCCGTGTGTTTGTTGAGATCTGTTCTATCTTTTCTTTATCCTTCCGCGTTGGTGAGTCGCGTGTGTAGTGCTATCATTATATATGTTTTTGCTTCTCCTACATACTCCTTGTTCGTCTTTCTTGTTAATGATCTAAACTTGTTGCACTGCTCCATGCGCAAGCGCATACGAAAGGTGCGTATGTCGAAGCGGCTCCTAATGCTGTGTTGCGTCAAAATGGTGTTCAGTACCACAACTTTTGCCTTCAAGAAGTAGTCTACGTCTCATGTTCAATCGACATCTTATCATGATCCAGCTGCGAGTCTTCACAGGCGTTTTTTCAAGATTAAGATCCTTCATGTCGTATGCTGTCACACTCGCCAGTACTTTAAGAGCATTCACTTTTCGATTCTTTTCAGACTTCGAAGACGATTTGAGGATTTGACGTACAAATGGGGCCTCAAGGCGAGCAGTGGTATGGAAATGGCTGATGCTGACGAAGCTCGTCGAATTTTCACGGGGCGGGAGAAATCGGCGCCGCATTACGGCGCTCGCGAATTGCGCGAAAACTTGCGCCGCTATGATCGGACCGGCGTCTACACGCAAAGACAGAAGAACTTCGCGCTGGGGAATCGTAGTCGGCAATCCACGCGAGCTGGCGGCGCGCCGGATGCGAAATCGCGGAGTGCTGGTGCAGGCTCTAACGTAGACCGGCTGTTGAATAACTACGCGAAAATCGATCCAGACATGCAGCACTCGTTTCCGCTGCGCCAGGAGCTGAAGCGCGTCATGCTGCGTGACCTGTACGGCGATGAAGGCGATGACGACGCGCGACCTTTGTTGAAGCATTTGGTGTACAACCATCCTCCCTCCATGCCCCGATTCATGTGGTATGCGAGCAGCGTTACTGGACCTGTGGCGGCGCCTCTGAATCGTGTGACGCGAGAAATCGTGGATGAGTCTGGCCGCAGGGTATTCAAGGGCAACAAAACAATGAAGCTCCTAATCGATTCGAGTACACTAGGGTCGCCACTGCAACCCTCCGGCCCCGGCGTAGGTGGTAGCCCACATGGAAATGGAGTGCCTTTCGGTGGAAATCAGGCAAGACCAAAAGCCGGCTCCGTTCCTGGTAAACTGGGCAAGCCTAATTGGACGACAGGAGGAGGTGGGCGCGGTGCTGGACGAGAAGGCTCGGGTTTGACTCAGCCCTCCATGATGTCTGCTGGGGAATCAATGACTGCTGACGCGTCTGCTTCTTTTACAGGAGATACTTCTATGGAACAGTCCGATTTTTCGCAAAGTGCCGCGACTCCTATGACGCCAGGAACGCCCGCTGGGTTCGGGCGAGAAGCGGACGAGGGGGACACCGCCATGGATGATGCATCCGCTCAGACTGCAGGTTTAACACCATCAGGATCGCTCGGACAGGGTACCGAGAGGACACTTGGAGCTGTATCGACACCCGCGGGAGGTATGGACACACCCGGAGCGGTATCGACACCCCCAGGGGGCCCAGCCTCTGCCGCTGGTAACCTAGAAGGAGGTCCGGCAGTAGAGTCCGGTCAAAATTCTGCGGGACCCCGCGAGACCCCTGCCGACAGAACACGAGGCTCTGCTGGAGATGCGAACTCGAACGGTGGGGCTCTCTTCTATTCGAACCCTGACGAGAAAATCAGCCACGTTGTGCCGCGTCGTCCTCGATCCACAGCATCCACTGAAAAACTTAAAAGACATAACCGCGCAACCGCTTGTATAAGTCGGAACCACCTCCAGTGGACCGACAGCACGTCCTCGGAATCCGAACAGCAGCACCTTCATTCCACTCCTACTTCGGAGGTCAAGGCAAGTTCCAACTCTTTGAAGACTTCTGAAACAGGAAACATGGGAGGCGGACGCGGATCACTCGGGACGTTGCCTTCTACAACGGGCATTAAAAGCCGCTCTTCGCCGAGCAAGAGCAAGTCGATTACCTCTAGTTGTAATGCACGCGACGATCACGATGTGTTGAGTGTTGCGGCCGCCAAGCGACCAGAACGGCCACGCTTAGGTGCATCCAGTCGCGAACAAATGCGGACAATATCAGCACAAGCAGCCGCTGATCAGCTTCTTGCTAATGATAAACAGCAACCTGCCGGTATTGCCTCGACAGACAAGAAGAGTGTAATATTGCTCTTGCTTCCTCCTTCCTCGGGCAAGCCATTCGTGACCGACATTGTGAAGCGCCACGGCGCGGCGCCGCTCGTGACCTGTGCTGGAACCGACGTTGTGGGGCAGGTTGTAGAGCATATTTCGAGTAAAATGCGAGAGTCCGGTAGCCACACTGTGCTACTTCAGGGCTTTCCGGCGACTGCGGAGCAGGCGCGAGCGCTTGACGAGGCTCTGGAAGACTCGCGAGCAAAACTTGGCGCTGTAACGCGAGTGTGGGATCTCATTGATGCGGCGCAAGAACAGATGGAAAAGCGAGTCTGCGGTCGTTGGCTGCACGCATCTTCGGGCCGCACGTACCATGCCATCTACAGGCCGCCTCGGTCGTTTCCAGCCGGCGGAAGCGTGCACGACGCTAACCCAGAGAATATGCGGGACGACGTCACAGGAGAGCCACTGCAACAACGTGAGAAAGACAAGCCAGAAGCGGCCCGCGCGCTGCTTGCTTCGTATCGAAAGACGGCTGCGGACATAGTCAACTACTACCGTGATATCAACAAGCGTGGAACCAGAGAGGTACTGCTCGAAAGTGTGGAGGTGGCACAAGACTCGACTGCGCTTGTTAGGCATGTTTCGAAAGATGGATAGAATCAAAACAGCCATTCTTGATTGAAGGTTGCTCGTAGAAAAATCGAGCACAAAATACTGTACTATCACATGAACATGAGAACTTCCTGCACATGCACGACGAGGACATAGAATTCAAATACAATAATTACTTAGATTTAAATCAACATACATAACAACATATCACTCATCGTCATCCCCAACAAGGTCGACGTCGAACTAACACATCATAAACGTATGAAATTTGTAACTTTCTTCAACATCATGATGGATTTTATTGACGAAATATTGCACAGCTTACCAGAACCTGGAGGTGGAGGTACGTATATCAAAAATACCTACGAACGCAACGCAACATGGCTTTATGAGACTGCAACATAGTCTTCATCTTTGTAGAAATAGAAAATTGGACAGCAACTATTGATTCATTCATCAATTTGAGAATAAGTATTGGCTTTGCGCGCCGCGCACACACAGACATGTTTTCGAAGAAAAATATGGAAAATTCGATTCGAAATCACAAGTATTTGAGTGAAATTTATTATCGCAAACTAATTCTGGCACGGAAGACGAACTTCAGATATAGAAGATGCATGGTAAAACTTCGTAATATCGACCTACACGGAATAGATGTCCATAAAAATTCGATCCACTGCGTCCATTACGCAATGAAAAAACAGATAAGTTTGAAACAGCATACGCATTCTAGCATTGACTTGAGAAACTATGATAATGATATGTCTTGTAATTGATCTTGAAATCAATCTCTATTGTATAGTAAGTTCCTTTCGGTTTTGGTATCCGTGAGAACTGCAGGAGCATTAAGCAGAAAGTAAAGTCCTATCGTTAGGGCGGGACAGAAAATTCGCTCTTCGCGCACCCGATGATAGGGAATCTACATCACGATGGCATGCTTCAGTCAGGATTTGGATTCTGATAGAAAAAATTTCGCGTATTAGCTCGTAAATTGATGATCATAGCTCCGTCTCCGAGCTCACCAATGGCAACCGCAGCGTTCAACATTTACCTCGCCTACAACGAACTCCCGCCACTCGCTAACAAAGTGTCGCTGTCGCTTCGTTTTCATGTACTCGGTCCTAGTTGATTTAAGGATATAGTTGGAGAGATTCGTGTAGTTGAGCAAAATCGCCAGATGACGGATGCAAAACAGAAAAAAGTCGTATCTATAGGTGTTGTCGTTAAATAATCAGCGAGCAGCCGCTAACAGAAGCACACTAGTCACCGCCTGAAGATCAGAAACAGAATAGATTAGAGTTGCAAATCCCCATTTCGCGCCGTTTTTTTATTTAAAAACCACATCCAAAAGAACTATTGAAAAAAGTTGTGTAAGAGCAAGCTCTAGTACCAATGGAGATCAGTGGGCTTTCGATTGCTGGCAGCGCGACCGGAGCTGCGCCAGCAGCTCCACTACCTAAGCTTTCAACCCGACCGGCAGCTTCGAGCGCAGTTTCCGGAAAGGCTGGGAAAAAAATGATACGGCCAACACAGTGGTCACCTGAGGTCGAGGACCTCCACCGCTTGCAAAAAACGGGATGGAACACCGTGGCTGAGTACGTACTTACTTAGTAAGCTTTCCTTCGACTCTAGTGCTCGTCCATCCAAAGCTAAACAATACTTCCCTAAAATCGTTACTGGTTAATTTTGATTTTAATAAGTATAAGTACCTAGCTCGCTGGTCATCTTGTTAAAAAACGCCGTCCAGTCCATTCATCATCATTACTTATGATTTGGCATAGTTTGAGTAGGAGTATTAGAAGAAGGACATCGACAAAGAGCTCGAGCAGTGAAAGGATTTTCATCGTTAGATAGAAGACAACATTGCTAAAAAAAGTCACAAGATTTTCGGCGAAGAGTTGCTGCTTATACTATGTATACTTAGATTTGGATTGTTCACAGTATTTATATTTTTAATACTGGTACTCTAACTTCTTCATCTCTTTTGTTGTAGTACTTACTAGTAGATGTCTCGTCCAGCACACACAAACTCAAACAATTATCTCAACAAAGGTACGAGGAAACAAACGGCCCACTCGACCGCTGGACAAAGGACAAATGCGAGTCTGAGTTCATAGCGAAAACGAAAATAAAAAGCAGTGGCTATTTCGTGTATTGGCGCAGGGATCGGGAATGCACAGAGGCAGATGTGAAAAAAGTTAAAATATACGCTTGAATGGTCTGTAAGGCTCCTAGATGAACGGATGTCGACTTTTTTTGACGGATATTCATCGGTGGGGCTCTCATTCCGAACCCGGCAATAACAAATCTACCCAATGCCGTGGATCGATTTTGAAAATTTCACTTGCTTCAATGATGGCTTTTTTTGGTGGACTTGACGCTGATGTGGCAGGCGCTGTCAGAGGTTCCTGTTACAACGGATGAAGGTGCTAGTATCCATGATTGAAGACATGCGATCGAAATACACTGAGCATGACAATTATTTTGTGGTTGATTCACATCAAGGCTCTTTTTCAAAAATGAGTACTCTGCTAATATTAATTTGTCGATCCTGTTCCTTATCACTAGCATTGTGTGTTTTCGCATTAGTAATTACACCAACAAAAAGGATTTCTATTTCTTGTGCCATGAATAATGTTGCAGTTCATTCACCTCGGCCATAGAAGCTGTGACATACGTTGGTGAACAGTACATCACAGAGACGATCCGCAGGAATAAAATCTTTGCTGACCACGATCACAACTCACCAAAAACGCGTTGCGAAGAGAACCTAGGCTCAGACGCACGTCACTCGTGTTTTACTGAGACGAGCAAGATCACCTCGTCCTTTTGGCTCTCACTTGGAAGCCAAAGCAAGAGATCCACGCATGTAAATCCCAATGAAGATCTTTCTCTGTCGTGTGAAATTGCGGATCTTAATTTGATTTCTTGTTTCTCTGGAAAAGATCCACTAGTAGGCTTGCGTACAGTCACAAAGTTAATCTTAATTGACGGTCTGGAACGACCAACGGCCGTGGGTCCACATTCTCCTTCACAAAAAAACGTTACAAGGAATACGTATCTCAATCATGAATAGACGACCACTTAGTACTTCCCTATTCCTAGTAAACGTAAAAATACAACAAGTTAATGAATATGCAAGCAAATATTGTCGCTTCTCTATCAAGTGCTAGCTCTCTGGAGTGGTCCCCCAGGGGCAGGCGTCGACGGAATTCCAAAGAATTTGCTAGAAGAATGAAACTCAAAATTCAAAATCAAAGTTCAAAATTCAAAATCAAAATTCAAAACTCAAAATCAAAATTCAAAATGAAAACTGAAGATCAAAATCTAAAATCACGATTCAAAATCAAAACGTAGAACTTCAAGACTCTGGTCCAAATTTCCATACCCTGATCCAGTGTTGAGAACCTTGATCCAAATTTCAACACGGAGATCCAAATTTCAACACGGAGATCCAAACTTCAGCACTTTGATCCAAATTTCAAAGCTTTGGCCCAAATTTCAAAACTTTGATATTTAAAATTCAAAATCAAAATTCAAAATCAAAATTCAAAATTCAAAATCAAAATTCAAAATTCAAAAAAACTCAAAATGAAAATTCAAAATGAAAATTCAAAATGAAAATTCAAAATCAAAACTCAATCAAAAATCAAAACTCAAAATTCAAAATCAAAAATCAAAATTCAAAATCAAAATTCAAAATCAAAATTCAAAATCAAAATTCAAAATCAAAATTCAAAATCAAAATTCAAAATCAAAATTCAAAATTCAAAATCAAAACGAGGGAAAAACTTTATACTGTAAGAGATTGTCATCTTCTAAGTACTCGAACCCGATTCGTCCCAGCTGGTGCGGCCTGGCCGCGGTGCAGTGGACCCTCAACCTTAGCCTTAACCTTCTCTATCAAATATAGCGGCAGCGATTTTCATGCATTATCATTCCTTCTCGACTTCTTGGTTTAGTTGATGTTACTTAAGAGGATAGACGTAGTTTTTCCTCACCCATTTCCCGTGCATGAAGATAAGGTATTTATTTTGACCACGTGGCATTGAGTTGCGCACTCTGGATGGATCGAGCTTGAGCTTGTTTCAATAAAGTTGTAAAGCGACTTTTATTTTTTACCTTTACGTCGCCCACTAGCGCTAACTTGAAGTTGAAACACAATGAGCAAGAAATACTTCGAGAAGCTTGCTCGTGGTTCTGCCACGAGCAGCAAGGAGTTTAAGTCCGATTTCGGTCTGAAGATTCTGAAGAAGTTTGGCTGGGACGAAGGCAAAGGCTTAGGTGCCAATCTAGACGGTAGACAAGACTGTATCCAGATTTCTCGTCGGGAAGAACGTGTTGGTCTGGGTGGTGAGAAGAGCAGCGAAGCAACTGATGAGAAACAATGGGACAACTGGTGGAGTAGCGCCTACAATTCCGTCGCCCAAAAAGTGCTGGCTGGGTACTACTTTTTCTTATTCAAAATCTTCAACATGCATTGAACTAGTAAGTTCAACTGGTTGGTACGACTACGAAGATTTTGAACTTGAAGCTTGTTTTTTGTTGTTGTTGTTGTCCTACTAAATTCTCTAAGACGCAACGCTACAATTATGGAATTGGAAACCATTTTAGTACCCGTACATATTTACTCGCCACTTGCACTTACACGGTAGGTCAACGTCAGCGGATGGTCAAACAGCGAAAAAGAAAGAAGAAGAATCAGAAGATGCTTCCTCGTCCGACGATGAGACTGGAGCTGATGGAAAACCACGAGGCGCTAGTGCGATAAAGGGCGCTCGTGTAATGCGCGGCAAGCTAGCACGAGTATGTCGTCTCGAGCAGACTGGTGCAGCGGCAGTCACGAGAGACGCGTCTTCGAAGAAAGAGCTTCCCGGATGGCTCACGGCGATTCGCAACTTCCGGGCCACGCAGTCAAGCAAGATAGCAAGCCTAGTTGCGTCTGTCGCAGGCACTACGACTAACAAGCCCTCAGCCGCGAAGAAAACCGTGAGTGCTTGTTCCTCAAGGGCAGAGGCGCAAACTACTTCTCAAGCAGAGGGAACGGCTGGAAAAAAGAGTAACAAACGCTCAAAAGCGACCGCTGATTCAGCAGCTCCGCCAGCACCTGTCACCGATGCCGAGTCATCAAAAGTTGAGTCTGCCAAAAAGAAGAAGAAGAAGAAGCAGAAATCCTCGTCGTGATGTACATATCGCAGCGGCTGTAAATTGTGACTGTAGGTGTTGACCCTGTATCCTTGCATCTACTAAAGCTTGTTCCCCCATCCTCTTTTTTCAGTGTGATAGAATGGAGGGCAAGCAGATGATGATGATGATGATTTGACGAGATGAACAATTTACTAATTTGAATTTCATTTATGACTTCTACAATCTCACTCACTCCATACAACAACTTTTACCTTCGCGCGGCGGCATATCATGCAATTTCCCATGAGTTTGGCGCGACGTGCCAGCATTTGATTCAGACACTGTTTCCTCCTGCTCATAAAAATGAGAACGAGATGAAGCTGAACGCAAAGAAAACCATGACACACACTAGGATTGTCGTAGTTCGTTGTGTTAGTCTCCGCTGAGTTGATGCAACGTCCAATTGTACTTCCGATCAAGCGTAGGCATTGACCATTTTGCCGTCTGTTGAGGATGAAGATGATTCGTCGGTTTTACAATTTTTCTATTGAACATATCCATACCTAGTATGGGTGAGCTGTAAATTTCTGCTTATATATTTGGTTTAATCGAATAAATCGGCCCACGTGCTGGTTGATGCTTCATTACAAAAATGGAAATTCTTCATAAATTCAATACCTGATGAAGAGTTTTGGTTCACCTGTCGTGGTAAATCTTTATCACGGTCCGCATTTTTTTGACTCTACGATAGATACCGCGCAAAGGACACGGGCAGGAGGTGTGTCCTCCTGCTAGTAGTACTACTTACAAATTGATGCTGCATAACCAAGTAGAGGGTCTGTCTCTGTGTCAGCAGATGAAATTGACCTCGTCTCATCGGCCATCATGAATGACCATGGTAACAGAAAATACCAATACAGCATATATCCTCTGGAGAGATTGAGAAGAAATGGACGCAAGAACACTGTTCCTTTTACTTCCATTCAATTCTTTGACCATCCAATTGCTGGCCAGAAATCGCTTGAAGAGAAAAGAAAACTAGTGTAGTGTCGCTTTATTGATGTGACTAGACTCACTGCGCGCTTTTATATTTATATGTACCAGGGAGGGAGGGCCCCACCCTGTGAGTGGATCTGTGGTGGCGTCGGCGCGCCCTTTTTTCCGCGGTGGTGACGTGTGAGGATTCCCGGGAGCGAAGGCCTCAAAAGGCGGAGCCGGGGCCCCCTTGCGGATCTCCGCGTGTACCCCACAGGCGTCCCGACTCTTGGGCCCTATCAGGGGGACGGCCTCCGGGGACAGATGGCGGCCACGGTGGCGAGGCCTGGCCCGTTTGGCCATCATCCCCCCAATTGCTGGCAGCGTCAGCCGCCACCAAACGCCCTGGGGGTTCAGGACCAAAGGCGAGGAGGAGTGGGGGCAAGGCGTGCCCGTCTGGGTTCTGTCGGATACATGTAGCACGGCGAAAGGGGTCAAGCCTTGCCACCTGCTGCCCTCGGAGGCCTTCCACCCTTCAAGGGACTCCCCCCGTGAGGAGCTTGCGCGCGGGAGGTCTGTAGGCAGGGCACAGGCAACACGGCAAGGGGGTCAAGCCTTGCCACCTTTGCCGCCTTCGGAAGCCTTCCACCCCCGGCCGTCGCTGCTTGAACGGCTTCAGCATTTGGGCTCCCTCTGTGCGGTACATGCAAGAAGCCGCGAGGGCGCGAAGGAGGACGAATGGAGGCCTTCTCGCCCGGCAGTCTCTCGAGAGAAAGGGCCTGGGGCTGGAGGCCCCCCGCAAGACGAAGCGGACGCCGCCCGCGGTCTGTCACGCGTTACGCCTTAGCGTGACGCATAGAATAATAGGTGGGGATTGTTGCTTTATTACAATGCGCATAAGTGTGTCGCCGGGCTGCATTAGCGGAGGCCTTGAGCCTCTCCCGCGTCAGAGGTGGCTGCTCTCGTAGTCGTCCCCTGCAAAGACTGGCCGCCTCGCACTGGCGCGCCGCTTGCTCGCCCGTAGCCGTACCAGTAGAGCCCATTCTGCTGCCCGCAGCCCCTCCTCCTCTGAAGACTTTCAAATGACTTGCCAGGGCTTTTAAAAGTCCCTTAGAGAGTCTTTCCCTTTCGAAAGACTTCCCCGTAAGTTTGGCCTCGGACTGCCTAAGACCAGCAAGAGCCACGCGCCATCCGGACCTGCAAAAAGAGGACCCAAAGGGCGCCTTCCACAAGTGCTGCTACCCGCGCCCAACTGATGGAGCCCAAATCTCGCCCTAGCACTCCAAGCGCCTTGCCTTGAGATGCCTAAAATGGAGATAGATAGACTACAGCAGCAGGCTGGACCTCGGTAAGTCTGGAGGGGACACGCAGCCCGAGCGCCACGCGAAGGGCTTTCGCGTGACGCTCAAGCCGAGAAGGGCCCAGGCTTTGAGTAGTATACCTGGGGGAGAAGGCGTAAGGCCTTAAGTAGGACCGCGGGGGGCGTTCGCTGACCTCCCTTACGGGAGCCTCTCCCTTCAAAAATTTGGATCGGGGGGGCCTTCAGCCCTGAGCCCTGGAGTATATATTGTCTTAAATTTAAACCAAAATACTGGCTATCAGCTACTTCTTTTTCACCAATGGTTTTGCGCGTCGATCATGAGGGTAGAGGAACTAGGTGTAGGTGGCGCCCTACTCGCCACGGCTTGTGTGTCTGTGCTAAGAGTGTGGCGCTCGGCATATCGCTGGGAATTGTGGCGTAGTCGTTCCCTTTACCCCCTAGGCACTCGATCATTTATAATCGGTGGGCTCGTAGAGAATAGTGTTGGTAGAGGGGCTAAGCTGCTCCGCCTGCTGCCGGTTTGTGAACTTGATAAAGCTCAGGAGGTTCTTCCAATCTACCCGAGGTTACAAAAAAAACAATTTCTGAAGTCTACAAATCCAAAGCCAGGCGGCAATTGTATTAAGCAACGATGCTCTCCATGCTCTGCCCGTAGAGTTACAGCGAGTGCAGTAAAATTCATCTTGGATGAATGTGGCGCCAAAAAATGTAGACGACCTATTTTGCTAGTTTGAAATTGCCTTAGATTCCAAATTTGACTATGTTGCAACGTATTGGGGGTTCGTTACATGCCATTTTGTTACTAGAAATTGATGTGGAGAAAGTAAGTCCTGGCTAACAAAAATGAAATGCAATCTATCATGCGCGCAACAATCAGCAAGAGGCGAAACTATTCGTTGTTTGCGAAATAATCAGGATGAATACGTGATTCATATTTGATCGGAAAGAAACAGAAGAAGAACGATTTCTTTGATTTGCAAGATGCAGTTTTTCTTTTTTGCGTGGTGATTTTCTGCTCTTTCTTTCCACGTCTATCGCGCGGTCTGCCGCTGATGCTTCTCCTCTAAAGGATCATCTTGGTCGTCTAGACGGTTGTACTGGCTCCAACTATAGACGGGGGCAGACGGCAATTATTCTTCTGTGCTGGGAAGGTGCTGGTGTATCTTTCAGCGGGTTTCTTGTCCCGCTCATCGTCCATGTGGTGCTGACTATAGTCGTTGCAAGTCACTTGCAGCTGAAGCGGAATTGCGAACTACAATAGAAAGAAGTTCAAGCTCTTGACCATCCTTCACGACTGGACGAAGTCAAACTAGGACCGAAAAGATCAAGCATAAGGAAGCACCCGCTCCATCTCTCGAACGGAAGTAACGGGTTGCTAGACCTTCTTTCTCCGCCGAGAGATTCACTCCTCGATCAAGGCGATTTCTCCACTGCGGTTCCGGGAATAAAAAGATACAACCTGACGGAGAATTTGGACGGTGCGGCGCTTGAAAAGCACGAAATTCGTGCGAGGCAACGTCAACGTGGAACTCAATAAAGTTACTTCTCAAAAAAACATATATTTTTTCAACAACTGCTCGCAACAAGTTGTAGCCATGCTCTGACCTGACTTCATCTACACGACGGAGTAGAAGCGATAAATACCATCCATCTACTGAGTGCTTTGATGCGCATGCGCCAGCGAACTACGCATGCCATCTACCGGGAGTGAGGCGCAAAGCTGATTTTGCTTTTTGTCTCCTTTCGAGAGGAATTCTCCAGGAAGTAACTTTCCGTCGCGTCTCTGCGTCCACTACAGCAACGACGTCACGAACTCGTTGGAAGGAAGGAAGACGAAGATCACGAGGAGTTTGCTTCTTCTTTATCGGATTTCGAATTAATACTGATCGAAAATGGGAAAGACTGCCGGACCGGGAGTCCTTCCGGAGACGGACTTAAAGGAGACGCACAAAGTTTTCGTGAGTTTTATGAGATGAGTATAACGTTACAAAGTGGAGGGTAGCCCTGCGTTCCCGGCAGGTCCCCATCTAAAAGTCCATAGCCACATGATATCGTTCAATGGAGTGTATGGTTTTTTTTTGTCACTTGCAGTCAGGCAGCACGATGAGTTTGTATGTGAGTATGAAGTTGTTAGTAGATAAGCTACTACTAGACGTAAGTTTGTTAGTAGACGAGGCCAGCGCCAGAATGACAACCACACGACCTGCTGAGCTGTCGCTGTCCGAGGTACAGATATCAAGACATCAAAAATAGAGGCCTTTTTTTCATATCCTGCGCAACATGTGGGAAGGAAGGACCGTTTGGAGAGCTCCTGTGCTACTACCACTGCAAGTACCACCAGCATCGGGTATACCTCTGCTCGCTACAATGCCAGCAGAAATTCAAGAAGCTCAACGAAAAGAAAATCAAGGAGCAAACGTATTTATTGTATATTAGAGTAGTTTATAGACGCTGGGCGGCTGGGCACGCTGGGCTACGCTGGGTGGCTGGGCGGCCTCGCTGGGCGGCAACGCGGGGCACGCTGGGCGGCAACGCGGGGCGGCAACGCTGGGCACGCTGGGCGGGCGCATGGATGGCGCTTAGCGGACTTGAGGGCCACACATTGGGCGTGCCGAGCCTCCGCGGCCGGTGGATTTACTTGCGCCGCGGGGACGCGGTGCAGCGCGTCCTCCCCGTGAGGACAAACAAAGGCGGCGCGCCGCCCTCATTCAAGGTTCAGAACAGCGCTGGCGCAGTGCTGCGCCAGTTTGCTCAGCAGCGGGCTGCGCGGCATCTGCTCTGTTCAGGCTTCGACGCGTGCAATGCTGCGCCGCTCCTGTGCACAACGGTAAGCTCGCCGCCGTCGTTGGCCTTGCCCTACGCTAGACTAGCGCCGCCGGTGGGGTTCTCAAGCGGGCGCCCGAAGGGCGCCCCGCAATTGGAGACGCCCAGCGTCACGCTGGGCGCAGAATTCGGCAGATCTGGCAGATTTGGGTCGCCCAGCGACCCAGTGTGCCCAGCGTGCCCAGCCCAGCCATGTTGGGAACCCTTATAAACTGTTCTAGTATATATTTTTATACACAGTCACAGATTATACAACTTGTCTCTGTTTCTTTCTACATCCATGATAAATACTCGACACGATGATCACGTTGGTTCGACTGCGTGTACTAGAATCATGTGATTCTTATTTCGAATATTTTTCCGAATCTACTACGATAACAAACTCCCTGAATATTTTGGATATTGATATTCGTCTTTCACGCTACAAAAAGCCTCTCACTCCCACATGCACATGGCAGGCGCATCCACCGTTGTCGGTTGTCTCATTTCCAATTGTCGAGTCTGGAGGAGATCATGAAAAAAAATTGTTTGATGTGCGTCGAGTGCGACGGCCCATACGAATTCCATGAAGTAAGCAAGGCGAGTGTCAGCTTCCAGTGCGATGACGATACGGGGCAGTCCTCATCAAGCGGAGCAAGTGGCTCTGCACTCGGTCCACCGCCTGGTATATGGATGGTGATGTTCATGAGTAAGTACAACTATGCCAATTTTTGATCTAGAATATGAATCATCAACCCCCCTATGCTGCTTACGCGTTTTTTTCTGTGGTTCGTACATATTATGAGTGTTGTTGAGTAATGATTTGTACTCGCTCCTGCTTATCTCTTTTGTGCACAATGAAGTATCAACACGGCAATGGCATTTGTGGTCTCAACCTCCACAGATACGGAAGGCATGCCAGCAGCCGAACAGGATCGAAATATGCTAAAAGAGATAAGGACATGGATGCTGGAACAACCACCTGATGCTCGAGACGGAAAGACAGAAGAAGCAGTCCATGATTGGGTATACGAAAATATTCTTCATCTATTTTTCGACCGCTATCATTGGACTTCCGATTTTTAGTGACTGAAACTGCATCGCTTGTTCGTCTTTATCACGATTTTACTTTTGGGGTCGAAAATGTTCTACTTCGGCTTTGGCTTTGCGTCACATAGCTAGGATGTAGATTGACTGTTTCTACGTACTTCTGCTAGATCAACATGAGTCCTCGTGTATTGCAAGATCTAAAAAAGAGACGTCTACCACCAGGTTGATGCTCTGGTGGAGGAGTATGAGAGCGCTGGCGCTGACAGCGAGGAGAAGATGTCGCCGATCGTGGAGGCGATTCATGCTTTACCGGGTGGCGCGCTATATAACCTTATGAAGTCACGGTGGCGGCGTTTCCGCGAGGAGGGGGAGCTACTCATTTTGAGAAAGATAAATGCGAAATTCGATTTGGAGAAAATGGTTGTCAAGAAAAAGGACGATGACGACTTCTACAAAAACCTAGCAAAGTTAAGCCCTGACGCTGGTCGTCGTGGTTGCGCTGTTTTCAAAGTCCTATGTATAGTATACGATAAGTACAAATACATAGCAGCATCGTAGTAAAATTGTTCTGATGCTGATATCATCCTGATTTACGGCTAGCACGTAGTATTGCTTGCTGATCATGGTCGACAGCTATTTTTTAGTATGCTTGTAATATAGCTTTTGTTGAGAATCATACTCCATTAGTTACTCGCTGGCTTCGCTCCCGCCCAGGTGTGTCATTCTCGTTGGATTTTCGACGAGACAACACAAGCAACACGCGCCCCGGGTTTTCTTTCACAATATAGCAAATTGCTAGTCTTTGCCAAGGCCCTGCGCCTTCTTTCCCATGCTCTAGCCCTTCGCGTTTGCTGTGGCTATCGCCCCTTTTGTTTCACCTCGCTGCCCCCACGTCCTTGCTTGCGTTCACCTTCCTTGCCTCCACTCCCTTGTCTTCATTTCCTTGTCCCCACCTCCCTGCTTCCACGTCCCTGCCCTCACCTTATCGCCCCCACCTCCCTGCCCTCACCTCCTTCCTCCCACTAATTTACCCCCACCTCCTGTTCCCCACTTCCTTGACTGCACCTGCGTGCCCCCACCTCCTTGACGGCGCCTGCGAGTCCGCACCTCCTTGACAGACTCGACTGCACCTCCTTGACCCCACCTCCCACCTCCTTATCTCCACCTCTTTGACTCCACCTCCTTGACTCCACCTGCCTGCTCCCGCCTCCCTATACCCATCTCCTTACTTCCACTTTCTTACCCCCACCTCCCTGCGGTATCTGCACTGTGTTTGCTTTCACTGGTGTGGCCTGGTTCTGTGCTTGGAGATAAGCCCCAACGAGTGAAACTACAACTGGCGCACCAACCGGATACGTTTCAATCTGTACGTGGACGCCTGTCGCTTATCGGGCCCCCAGGCAAGCAGACCAGGCTCGTTCTGGGGCGGTTCCAGCGTGTTTCAAAGCTTAGGCTTTCTGATACGTTACAGGAAATCTGTTGCTGTTTCGCTTTCGTGTAAGGGTTGCGAATGGTTGGCCATGGGTAGCTATAGGCTGGGAATATAGTTCAGGGCTGTCATTCTCGATCTTCAGAAAATGTTGAGTCTTATGGTTAGCTAGGTAGTACTATTTAAGCTAAGGAAAAAGTTTTACGCCGTAAATCCTCTTCGCTTTCCGCAAGCAGCCCACGACCAGATCGGCTGACTCCAACTAGCTGCTTCGTGTTCTTATTGTTGATTCTCATGCGTCGCTCCTATTCTTAATTTATTCTAATTCTTACTAGAGTTAAGCGCCTGGTAGCACTCATTTCACTAGAATCCTCCACCCTCTGCACGCACTTCCCCCGCCATTGCGTGGCACCGCTTACCCGGCCCCTTGCCTGCGAAGTTGATCGATGGAACAGCACAAGAGCTGGGCTCTTGGCGGCCTGGCGCTATTGGATAGGCATGCCTGGAAATGGCAGGCCCGGGAGCTTGCTGATCTTCCGCTGGGTTTGACATCTCTGCGCTTGCGGAAGGCTGAAGCGTTCAGCTTCGACTTTAGCAAGTTTGTCCGAAATTCAATTCCTTGGATTTGAGAGTAGCAAGCCGCTCAGCCACGCAACTTCTTTGCTTTGAATTTCTCAAATCCAAAAGCTTTCGACTTTAGCGGGCTTTTCTCAAATCCAAAACTTCCTGGACTTGAATTTCTCAAAGCCAAAAGTTTCTGGCTTTCGCTAGTTTTCCTGAGATTCAATTTCTCGGATTTTGACAAGTTTGCCGCGCATTCACTTTCTTGGGTTTGAATTTCTCAAATCCAAAAGCTCTCGGCTTTGACAAGTTTCCCGAAAATTCAACTTCTTGGATTTTGAATTTCTCAAGACCGAAAGTTTTCGACTTTAGCAAGCTCCCCTGGGATCCAACCTCTTGCCTTGCGTTTAAATTTCTCAAATCCAAAAACTTCCGACTTTTTTTAGCCAGTTCATTTTTCTGAAATTCAATCTCTTGGATTTGAATCGCCCAAATCCGAAGACTTTCGATTTCGGCGAGTTTTTCTGAGATTCATCGCAATCCTTTGGATTTGCGTTGCGATTTTCTTTTGGCAGGTTTTTCTGAAATTCAGCCTCTTGGCTTTGAATTTCTCAAATCCAGAAACTTTTGACTTTAGCGAGCTGCTCTGCCATTCAACTCCTTGGATTTGGATTTCTCGAATCCATATAGGTTATCGACTTTGGCAAGCTTTTCTGGCATTCAATTTCTGGGGTTTGAATTTCTCAAATCCAAAAGCTTCCGACTTTAGCAGGCTTTTCCGGGGTTCAATTTCTTGGATTTGATTCGCGAGCCCTTATAAGTTCAGAGGAGCCTGCGTAAGTTCCTAAGTAAGTTCTTAAGTAAGTTCCTAGGTAAGTTCTTAAGTAAGTTCATAAGTAAGTTCATGAGTTCGCGGGTTCATGAGTTTGGGGTGAGGGTGTCGGGGCGTTTGCATTTGGAGACATTGACTCTGGAGAGTTTGAGTTTGGAGCGTTTGACTTTGGAGAGCTTGAGTTTGGAGAGTGCAAGTCGGGGGGGTTGTTGTTAAATTTTTTTAGGTCTTTAATATTCTTCGCCCTTTTTCTTATTCTTAATTTTTATTCTGAGCTTTTAGTTACTTGCCAAAGCTGAACACTTATTAATTAGCTAAAGCTGAACACTTACTAGTTAAAGTAGTTGTACATTTACTAGCTAAAAAAGTTGAAAACTTACTAGCTAGGGCTCGACGCTTATTAGTTAAAGTCCGACGCTTACTCGGTCGAGTTCGACGCTTACTCGTTAAGCCTCGACATTTACTAGCTAAAATTCGACGCTTACTAGTTACAGTCAAACTCTTATTATTATTAGTTAAAGTTCGACGCGGCTTACTCGTTAAAGTTCGGCGCTTACTAGTTAAAGTTCGACACTTCCTAGCTCGACTCCGATAGTTACTATACTAGTTAGATACGTCCGGCGCTTATGCTACTAGATAAAGTTATATGTTTACGAGAAGTTAAAGGTGTACACTTGCTAGTTATAAAATGGAACTTGCTAGCTAATATAAGCTTTGCAGTGGTTTTTTGTGTTTTTGGTATGATTTTGATGAGACTGCGCAAAAGTTTGAAGTTGTTTTTTATGATTATTTTCCATGATGTTGATGAAGATATGATTTTTGAGTGACGAAAAACTGAGGAGACGAAACGAAACAAGGAAACATGTATGACATGACGTGACTCCATGATAATATTTCATCAAATCACTTTTGCCTTGTAGTATTGGTTTCTAATTTGCGGCGTGAACAAGAAAGGAGGGGGGATGCAGAAAAACAACAGCACGAGCTCCACAGGTTCTGGCGGACCCGCGTCATCGAAGATGCAGGCGCCTTTCTTATGACAGTCTGGTGATTCCTGATGAGACGTCAATGTAATTAGAAGGAATACAGATGTTGCTTCCTGTTCTTCCTATTGCAATTGCGCGGAAGATCCGGAACATCATACTTGACTAGTAGATCATTTACGGAACCTTTGACAATTTTGAACTTTCTTTCTAGACGCTCTAGTACTAGCAGCACGTTGACTTATATTTTTTGATAATTTCTCTAGACTACTTATTAGCTCTTAGCTGCATTTGGTTTTGGAATTGGATATCATTATGATTACATATATGAAACAAGATCAAGATCTGTTGCTCTAAGCGTTGCTCCTCCGGATAGAAGTGAGCCACCACAGCAGCGAGCCGGCAACTCAGGCGGAGGCGGAGATCAGACGCGAGGACGCGACTCGCCTAGGAAAACAAGGGAAGATGAAAGTTCGATGCACCTGACACCGTCGACAGCGATAGGAACCGCGAGTGTAACCCTCGCTGACCCCGCCCCCAGCGTCAAGGGCACCGCCACAGGGACAGCATCCAGCGATCATCAAGTTTTATGAAAGAAGGAATTGGAAGTAGTGTAGCAACTCTAGCAGAAAATGTGGACATGATTATGTAAGTGTACAATTTCAATCGCAGCAATATTAACAAGGAGCAACAAGAAGAGTCCTTGACTTTTGTTGTTGTAAGGATTGATTTGTCGCAGTCCCTCAGGTTTCTCCAACTGGTCAACATCGGAAATAGCAGCACATCTTCATGATGATGAAGATATGTCTTACAAGAAATGCCAGATATGGTACAACGAATACAACTAGCACGACCACGAGTGCTCTTCACTAAGGAAATAGCACTTCTTTCTAGTACGAAGATTGGAATTATATAACGCTCGGCTTTCATATCCTCCTTCGGCGTTAGCCACCAAGCGTGCGGCTGCAGCTGCGCGGCGCAAGGCGGCCGCTAAGGAGAACGCATTTAAGTATAATCGAAAAGTGTTGAATGTTTTAGCCCACAAGTTGCACGAGGCTTTTGTAGAGGCAGGGTTTGAGGAGGAAGACGAAGACGCACCTTGGATCGAGGCTGCTGAAGACCAGTTTCTGGAAAATTGGATTCTTGATCAGTGCACGAGGCGCGAGCTGAAGCTTCATGCATTCGTCACGGAAGTCGTGGTACTTACGACCACTGATCGATGCATACTAGTGCTGTCATCCTGCTTAATTCTTACCTACTTTTTGTGGATGTTTTAGTACAGATGAATTATAGCCTTCGCTTACTAGTATCACGCTAAAAAATCTGATTTCATTGTTCTTGAGCGATATCATCATTTCATGATGAAACATTTCCAGTCGGGCGATCTTGATATAGATATATCACCTGGTGACAACCAACCCACGAAACCCCAGTAGCAAAATTCGTTTCGGTCCCCCCAACATTCAGAGTGAGGCTGGTAGCATGCAGTGGGATGCGTTTTGTATGCAGTGTGCTTTCGGAAGGGCGAAGCTTCCACGACAGGTCGACTCAGTGTACCTGATACATTTTCTAGCTTTCGTTGGGGATCGCGCACCAGAGACACTGTGTCAGTCGGATGCCGATGGCTTACTTCCGACTGCGATGCGGTTAGCGGGAACGGATTTGATGGAAGGCCGCGGCTTAGTTCCGGAAGCAGAGCGCCGAGCGCAAGCCGAGATCCTTCACCAGATGGCGCAAGATCGAGAGAAAGAACTCGAGAGAGCTCGAAAAGAAGATTAAGAATGCATTATAGTTTTTTGATGCTTTTCTCCTGAGGGGTAGCAGGTGACTACATACAGCTAGTGACTCTGGCGAGCTTCAATAAGAGTACAAAACCTTGTGAGTTTTTCCGATTTTGAATGCAGCTGAGAATTGTGTATTTTTGGGAGAAAAATCATCCATCACTCTAAGTTGCGCATGAGAGAAGAAAAGCAGAGCAGCTTGCGGTATGGAAGGTAATTCGCCTACGAAAAAGCTTCTCGTAGTTGAAGCCAAAAAAATAATTCTGCTCAAGTAGATAGTTGTCTAGCTATTTAAGCTGTGCTATGTGAATGGAGGGAGTGGGCGGAGACGTGTCGGCCTGCAGTTCGTGGGCGGGTCGGCTGGGTGAGTCGAAAAGCAGCCGAGAGGCTGCTGTGCGTGATGGGATCCCCGGGATCCGCCTCAGCCCGCCGGCTTTGGGTGTTTCCTTGTGTAGCTTTGTGGCTATCATATTCGAGGCCCGCCGCTGACGGTTTGGCGATGACCTGGACAAACTCGAGGCTTTTCGATTCTTTGGATGGGGCCGAGCTGCGACCTTATAGAAAGTGCAACACCGAAGGGGCCGGGCCGATTGGGCTGCCTCAGTTTGTTCACACTTTCTGCCAGCTCGACGCGTCGCGATGATTGTGGCGAAGCTTTCAACAAGGGGCTCCAGGGGGTCCAACGCTTCAACCAGTTTGCGGGGAATCTGTAGGCCGTACGGTGTTGCAGGCCCGTCCCTACTAGTACTGTGGGGATTTTGCTGGTGAAAAATAGCCACGTGAAGGCGCCCAAGAATTTTCTGGGGTTTTTTGGGAGGGCTCGAGAGGTCCTCCGCTGGATCATGCGGCGACGCTAGAGAAGCGGCAGCCTTTGAGAGCTTGCGCCGCGCAGGTTCCCCCTGTTTTTCTTTGCTCCAGAATCGGCCTGCTTCGCTTCGTCTCTAGAAGTGGCGCCCACGCTCACGCCACTTCGTTCTGGGCTGATCGTTTTCTTCTGCTTTTTATCTGCCATTGCCAAAGCCGCACGACCATAGCCGCAAAGCCAGGCACCGCACCCCCCAAGCAACGCATTCGTTAGGAAGGCCGTTCGCCTATGGAGTCGGTTTTGCGCTTCTCACTCGATTGGCTCTAAATCTGGGGGGTTGTGGCAGTTGTGTCCTGCTGTGGCCTAGGCTGTGGGAGTTGTATCCTGAGTTCGTTTTGGGGGCTGCGTCTTGAGTTGCGGAAGCTGTGAGCTAAGTTCTTTGCTGCAGCCTTATGAAAAAGTCGAGCTTTATTCTTTGGCAGTTCGAATTCGAACACCATGAGACCCCGGGAAATCGCGTGAGCTTTGTGGTGTTCAAATTCGAACAGCCCGAGAGCGGAGCTGGGCCTCTTCGTATGCTTTCTGTCTGCGCACAACTCGCCACAACTTTCGCAAGAACTTCCACAACTTAGAGAGCAGCCGCCACAACTCCCACAACCCAGGGCGCAACTTTCACAACTTTCCACAACTGGAAAAGAATAAAGCGCAGCTTTTTCGTAGGGTTTTGGTCGTTCTAAATTCGGCACGCGCCAGGGGCCACCGGTCACGCCATGGATGCGCAGCAGCCTCGCGTCTGCTCTTCGACTCACCCAGCGAGCTGACCTACCCACGAACCGGAGGCCGACACGTCTCCGCCGGGTCCATCCATGGCACAGCTGAAGTAGCTAGGTAACTAGCTAATTATGCACTAGCGCTTAGAAGGTGCTAGATCACGAAGTAGTTTGCCGCTGGCCGCCTCAGAGACTCGACGGAAGTCCTCCTTACAATTTCACTCCATAGAAATACTGACCTTAGAAAGTAGTCCCAGGTTCGTCTTCTAATTATGCAGAATTTTCTTTTGGCTTCAACTACCTAGTAGGAGTAGCGAGTTTTTGTAGGTGAATTCCCTTCCATATGCGGCGGCGCGGGAAGAAGAGGAAATCGCAAAAAAACGAGCGCGCCGCATCGAGGAAGAAAAAGAGTCAAAAAAGAAGTCTTCTTCACCTTCACGTACAAGCATCGACATCGCGAGCTCGGGAAACGGAAGCTTGAGCAAAACAGTAAGCATGGAAGTGGAAACAGACGCAATAACTAGCGGGAAAACAAGTTCTACTAGCATAATTAAGGGCGTTGGACTTGGAAATGCATCTCTCTCCAAACTCATTTTCTGGAGGAAGGTACAAGAGGGAACAGGCATCCACCAGACAATTTCTCAGATGCATTTCCTACTGCTTTAAGATAAAGACGAGCAGCAAAGGAGAGCCACAGATGAAGACAAGCGGCCTACTGGGAGAGGAGTGCAATGACGTGTTGCGTGGAGCTGGTGCCGAGCTTGTGTCTTACAGGCCTGGAGCCTGCCCGCCCACGAGTTCGTCGTCGTCTAGTAGTTCCCTCCTCCACAATTATGCTGCAGATTCGATGTTTGCGCGTCCACCCTTCGAGCATATTCGGCATTTGTCACTTGAATTTTACCAGTATCTGGTGGTCGTCGAGGCGGACTATTCGCACACGACGAATTTTCGAATGCGGTGGCGCGATTTCGTTGGCGTATTGATCGCCCCACACGAAGAGGCACTGCGCCAAAGCGTCGCGGAAATGGCAGACGGAAAGGAAGCGAGCGTGAAAGCAAGTGCACTATTCATGCGGACGCGCAAACGCCTGGGTATATCGTTCGAAAACCCATCGCGGTGGAGCAGCGAAAGTCTGTACCTGTCATTTCTTGATGTAGCGCGACTTCTTCCCGAACCTGGATGGAAGTGCTGTAAGAGCCCCAGCTCAGGACGAATATGGTGGATGAATCAGGCTTCGGGAGAGTGGTTCTTCGAAGACGCTCCTGCGCATGCCAGCGGCTGGGTTCGCCGCCGATGTGTTCTGCTCGATAATCGAGTCGAGTACTGGTTTGAAAAAGTCGCCGGCGCAGAGAAAGGTCGATGGTTCCATGCAAGCATGTTCTGTTCTGCGACTCGTCTGCAAGCGACCACTTCTGGTATCCCTTGTGGTTAACAAACGACGTGATCTACTTTGTTTAACATTTTATTTTATCTTTTTTTTCAGTTTCAGACCACCACCACGACCAGGTTGTTCGACGATGAAAAAACGTTGGTTTTCTCAACTAGGTAATAAAACTGCCACGGTGGCGACAGCGACAGCGTAAACAACATTACGAGCGTCATATTGATATGAGCAGTTCTGACGTGGTGTCAGGACGAGAGGGCTCACAGTGGCGCTACTAGCAACGTCGAATGTTTTCGAGCCCGGTGTGGGACCGGCTCTATACATGATCGTTGCACCAGCTCGAGAAGTCAATCGTGTGGTGACAATGCTGAGCTTCTTCTTGTTTGAATCCGCTTCCCAGGAGAGGATGGGTATGGGATTGGCGATGCTCAGCTTGTAGTATCGTAAAGATTAGAAATCCACCACTTGTATCAATATCTATAAGATTAGAATTTTTAGTTTTAATAGCTGTTCTTACAACTATATTCTTCTTCAGTATCGTCGAACAAAGTGTCGTCGTTTCTACGTAGTGTATTGTTGATCTTTATAAGAACGTCGTCGACTGTCTTGGTGTTCATCTTAAATCTTTATCCACTCCGACTGGTCTTGGTCTTGGTCTTGACTCAATCTCAAAGTTGGTACTTAAGTATCCCTAAAATCCCTTGACGGTTTTTAAGGACCAATCATATACAGCAAAATACACACGCCTGGTCCGTTCCTATACAAAATCGGTTTTCGTCAGTCTTGTGCGACGACCCGTCTTCTCCTAAGTACTTTCTTTGGTCAGCATGCAGTCGACGTTGGCTGCATTGTCCATTTCGGACAACTACCCCATCTTGATGGTCATATATTAATTGATAAATATTTATACATTTTCCCCGTCTCTAACTCTATGAGGTGTGCTGCAAATCTTGACTGTCTTTTCGCTTTCTATAAGGTTGAGGCTTAAGTCCAGCGGCGCTCAACGCACTAAATACAACAACCGGCTCGCTTTTACCTCTAGCGTGTAGCCCTTCCAACAGTTAACGTTTAAGTAGGGGAAAAATGTAAATGGTTTGTCGTCCTCTGGTGATGCCCACGACGAGGTCCTTGTGCTAGCGTTCCAATTACGTCATCGTGTAGTAAAAGAACCGAAGAACAATTATATTTGTCCTGGTACACCAAGGTAGCTCCTGCCTGGTTTTGAGCGAGCACACCTACTTAAATATGACCCAGTACACCAAGTTTCACTCAGCTACAAACGGCTGAATATGTTCGGAAGTTTGATATGTCTCATGGATTTGCTGACAGTGAGATCTATACATAGTTTTGTCGGGCGACGGTTGGGAACCTAAAACCTGTAGTCTCGGGTATATGCCGCGTCGGCCTCGGCGCATCGTTCGTGAAGTGTAAGACTTCTCTGCGCCCACCCCACCTGGTGCGCTGGCCCTTTGGCCGAAGACTTTGAAATTGGAAATTTTTATATAGTCACAGGTGAAAGGCAAAGGGACTCTTCGTGGTTTTTTTTGAGTCTCTTGTCTTCGCTGAAAAAGAACTCGAAACCAACTCAGCACAAAGAGTTGAAACAAGTACAAGAGAGGCACCAAGCGCATTGGTTTTCTGCCGATTTAGTAACGTAAGTGCCGGAGTCAGGCCGAGAGTTGATGCCAAGAAAAGTCGAGGTGTGTTGGAAAAAGCGGTGTGTTGACTCTGGACGATATTAAAAACATGCAGTTGCTTTTGTGTCGTCGTCGACCATCACTACGCCTTTTATTGACCGCCGCGATACGTGTGCTGAGACGTTAGTTATCGTCATAAACCGTGTAAGCGTATCTGTGACCATAAAGTCATGATGCCACATAAGTAAAGATTTTGAGCGGTACAACCAGAAGAACTAGGAGGTAATTAGGTAAGTTCACGTTTGAGTTGTATGTGCGTAGGATCAATCCCAGTGATGGACATCCTTCATCTTGAGCGACAGTGACGAGGGCAAATATTTTCCTGAAAAGAGTTGGGAGAGACGCAGGTCGTTTCCCCTGGGAAAGGGAAACAGCTTCCGGTTCTACCGTACCTACTTACTTTGGAGCTGTATTGAAGTCAGTGTCAGGTACAACAACTGGATATAACAATCTACAGCGAATCCTCGTGGCAGCTAGTGTGACATTACTTTTCATTCATGTCCACAGTTGAAATTGATTATCTTTCACATGATCACGTTTGCGCTCTTATACGTAGAGTAGTCCGCTTTTCGAGTTGCGGGCTGCTCGTGTCCTCTCGAGTTGCCACGAGTTGCCGAAACGCACGCGCCCAATCCGGAGCGAGTTGCTAACGGGTTCCTCTGGGCAGCTTGCCACTTTGAAAGCGCAGCACTCCGCAGCGGTATGGCGGGCCAAGATGCCACGGAGTTCGGAAGAAAGCCGCGGCTTGCTGTCTCTTGGCCGCTCTGCTGTCTGTATTGAAGAGACACGCCCCGGCTGAGCTCTTCGGGGCTTGAGCTTCGCGAAAATCAAAATAAGGAGGCGAAGCGCGGGCCCTTTTTTGTTTGAGTGGCGCGAGCCCGTGCCTTGCGAAGTGCAGCCTTTTCTTCGTTGTGTCGGTGTCTCTGCATAGTCGTGCGCCGATGTCGGTCGCGGTCGGGCTCCGCTGGTTTTTTTTGCTGATGAGTGGCCAGCTTGTTCGACTTCTTGGGGCCCGAGATTTGCGAGCGTGTGTGGGCGCCCGGCTTGATTTTTTTAGAACGAGGCCCCCTTGAGCAGCCAGCCTCACGCCCTGGCGCCCATTTGTTTGCGTTGTAGTGGGCTTACTGGGTAGCGCGCCGCCTAGTGAGTAGCATCACAGGCAAGGGGCTCCTGAGTAGATGCATCTGAATGGGGTGGCTTTCTTTATTTGTGTACTTGTTTTATAGGGCAACATCAACAACTATCCTAGGTAGGCGCGTTGACTTAGTGACGCAAAGCGATGAGAGCAGGGGCCGGCCCTGGGTGGTGCTGCTCTTGTCTGCCCCGCGCCTTGGCAGGGAGGTGGCCTTGCTCCAGGCTGGTCGCTGCCCCACACCCAGGCAGGGGCGGAAAGCATGGGGACTGCGCTGCGCCAGACAGTGCGGGGAGATGAGACCCCGGGGAGCCCTCCGAGTAGCTGACGGCACCGCGCCCACGCGGTCCATCGTGTGGCTCAAAAGCCTGGCCATAGCTGGGCGGCACTGGTCTGCCGCGTACTAGCTGGGTCGGGTGGCTGATGCATAAACACAGGGGGCGCCACCTGGGCAAATTCGCAAGGCCTCGAGGGGCTGGCCGGCTGCGTGTGTTCGGAGGGGAACCCTCCGCACCCAAAGCGCCAGCTGCAGGCCAGACCGGGAAGGCCACTCGCCCTCTCTGTCTCTTTTCTCTCTTTTCTCTCTTCTCTCTTTTCTCTCTTTTCTCTCTTTTCTCTCTTTTCTCTTTCTTCTCTTTCTTCTTTTCTCTTTCTTCTTTTCTCTTTCTTCTTTTCTCTTTCTTCTTTTCTCTTTCTTCTTTTCTCTTTCTTCTTTTCTCTTTCTTCTTTTCTCTTTCTTCTTTTCTCTTTCTTCTTTTCTCTTTCTTCTTTTCTCTTTCTTCTTTTCTCTTTCTTCATTTCTCTTTCTTCTTTTCTCTCTCTTTTGTATGGAACTCGTTCAGCTCGCGCAGCTCGTGGAACTCGTTCAGCTCGAGCAACTCGACCTGATACTGGGCAAGAGAGTCTAACTCTCTGATAGGTGATATAACAACGATACGAATTCTTGACATACTTTACAGGCAACATGTTCATCACGTTTTTGTTCGATGATGTTAGCAAGTCGTCCTCCGATGAATACAGGAATCCGGTAACCCTTATCTGATAAAAGAAAATTTATTAGATTGTGGCAACTCCTTCTCCTTCTAATATACTAGTGGAAATTTGTGCCACAGTTCTAAGTGTGTTTTTTCTATGCTTCTTCTTGAGAGAGAAAGCGAAAGAGGTGAAATCTCTCTTATTTTTCTGTCTTCAATGATCGGCTGTGATGTCCACTTTTAATGCCAAATAATCTCCATTTTCTCAGTATCTTGTATGGAGTGAATCAATACTGATGTCTGTGAAGAGCGGAACCCAGCGTGAGACTGTTTACAGTAATGCGCGTACGGTTCAAGTGAGTGCGTCTATCTGTCAACATACGCGAGATGAGTGATTTTTTCGAGAAATCAAGAGAATGAGGCCGAGTCGATATCGTTAGAGGGTTTCGAACATCGTGAGGAGGAGACTCTGGTTATGTTTGTTTTCGTATGAGTCAGATAGTTTTTCTTTCGTGTGAAATGTGAGCGAATGACTTCTCGCGCGGACTGCTCAGGTGGGTCTATAAGTGAGAGCTATCCTATCGCCTATCATCTGAATGGCTCGCGACTCATGTAGCGTAATTAAAAGGGGGAGAGCGTCCCATCGCTCTCGCTCGCCGATCCTTTTATCTCCCGCCCGATTGTGGCAATCAGGCATAAGGTAGCCCCTTTGGTGGGAGTAGCCCTCCAGCTTTTTGCTTTTTTTTTTTTTTGTGGTCTTTGCTATTTTTATCTTCGTCTGTTCTTTGGCAGTTGGACTGCGGCATGAATGTTGAGGAGCAGGACATGGTGAGGGCTGATCGCTGACGGTGGAGCATTGAGGACTGAAGACGCAACCACACCGGATCCAACGTTTGGCAAATTGCGAGCCTTGAGCGTTTTCGCTGTGACCCACAACAGCGCCATCGACCCAGGTTGCCGTCTTCAACATGATGGACCACATTCACAAAGATTAGCGTGGACTTGTCAATCGCAGCCCTGACAGTGGCGGCACACCTCTTCTACTCTGCTGCCCCCAGATGGATGCAAGACCTACCACAGACACGAATGCACGGCGGGCAGGTCGAGGCCATCACCGTGGAGCCGCAAGACGATGCTTGGCTATGGGTGGACGAACCTCCTCTCAAGATCAAGAAGCATGGTGGGCCACTCCCAGAAGCCAAGCCTTAAAATCGTGCATCCATCGACCAGATGCGAGGAGAAAGAGCCACACCTGCAAAAATCCGAGGACAGATAAAAAAGTCCTAGATGAGCATGAAAAGGCTGAGGAAGAAAAAATGGAACAAAGCACAGGAGGACTATTTCTACCATGATATGAGTAAGCAGTGCATTGTTTATAACACAACACTCCTAGATCAAAGACAGAGGAATAAGCTAGACATACGTACCAGAATAGTAAGACAAAAAGCACAACTCCACACTACGTTCAACTATTGTCCAAATTACTTTTAGGCTAATGCCTTGAGAGTAGCATATTAGAAGTTGAGTATTATTGTTCACCTTTTCCTAGACATGACGACCAAACATGAAAAAGATAGGTCTCACATATTTGGCACATAAGACACACAGGAAAAACAAGGACAGTGCAAGTTTAAAAATAAAAAAAAAAAAAAAAGAGAAGAGAAGAGGCCACTGCACTGAGCATCCGCCAGATACCAAATGAAACCAACGATAACCTGTCTGCGCGCATGATGCAACAGAAAACGCGAGACAACGCTAGAAACCCGAGCTAACGGTAATAACACGAGACAACGTCAGAAATCCCGAAGACAACGGCAGAAACAAGGGAGGAGTATTTTGGTTTTCAAACGTGAAAGTCCAACAGTGATCAGCTGGGCCATGCGTGAAGCTTGCTGATTCAAGGCACTCGATCGTTCTCGAAAATCGAAAGAAACTCCCAAAAGAGACGAAAAATAGCCCAACAGTGATCAGCTGAGCCATTCGTGAAGCCTGCTGATTCAAGGTGCATGATCGTTCTCGACCAAAAAGATGCCATTGGCACAACAGCTGTGAAAGCAGCGCTGTCTAGGCTTGTATCCTAGGTCGCAATGAATGCCCGGACGTGTGGCCTGATATCGATAAATAAGATACCGCTCGCGTCCCGCATCGAATGCTTCGCCCCCTCGGGAAGACGTTTCATTCAGTAGAGAACTCCTCTAACCAAATTAATACGGTGCCCTTCTTCGGGAGTGAAGTACTGTATTAAATCGTCCCATCGACAGTTTCGAAATACTGCTCAGGGCGAAATTCCATTCTACAAGATACAGGGACACATCGTCCCCAGCATACATCGTACTTGCATCTGCATTCATTTATTTCCGCGATCAACATCATTATTCTGATTCTCCTGCAGGTTGTTCTGATTCGTTTTTCCACTCAAGATTCTTTCTTGCCCTTATTTCCGATTGGGTTTTTTGCAAAAGAACCATATTCCGATCGTCTGATATCGATTTCATTTAAAGCTACCTGTTGATAATTTCTTAATTCAGCAGCTCCTCCACCTCCACTGGGGGAGGTGATAAAATTATGATTAAGAGTTACACACTCACACTCACACTCACACCAGCGATGGTCTGTGCAAGTCTGCGCCTGAACACGTGATGAGTATTGATTTATGCTCGTGGGAGGTAGATCCCAAGTGCAACGATAGATACTAACTAAGAGACGTTCATCGTCTCAAATTTATTATGTGATTCTGAAGTCTCCAATGACCCATGAGCATCTATATTAATGGTACGCTTTGTGTATGATGGGAAGTCGGCAGGTATCTATTGAATGACACCCCAGACTACCAATAGCAGATACGGCACAATGTTGACAATTGTACGTGACATTTTATCGGCTGTGGGTGCACGCGACATCATGCGTAAAAATACATAGATCATTGAACAAAGGGCTCGATGAATACTATGAAAATATTCTCGTGCTTGGCTATTTCTATGAACAAGAAGAGGAAAATAGAATAAAAATAAGATGAAGGTACTTATAACTGCTTCTGTCCTTGTCGTTCATCCACAGACTCGCTATGAGCTATTTTTGAGTCACTTACTAGCGACTACTTGGCGCCTGACATGATGGAGATTTCCCTCGCGACTGCATTTTCTTGCGAACCCAACAGACGTGCTTCAACACCAGCGAACTTGATGTTGAGTTCTGTTCATCGCAACATAATTTCTTCGTGTGTTGTTATTGTTTTTTGATTTTCCCAGATGATGCTCGATTTATTGTGTCGTAGGCTCACAGTCAAGCTTCTCGTCCACAGTGACAGCACGGAACATACGACTACTTCTAGTCGTAGAAAATATATTTCAAAATTCTTCTCCTTTCGCAGAGAGATGCTCAATGCGCTGCAGGGCTGAGGCGGGAGCCCTGTTAAATCTAAATCTAAACTTTCAGATTCAGAGCTGCATGCATTCGGTGATTGCATTGAACGACAGCTCAACTTCGGTTTCTGGCTGTGGTTAATTACCATTGGTTTATCTGAAAATCAATGCTAAACCTGTCGGTTATTGTCTGTCTAGCTCGGTGTTTTTTCATTGGTACCTGTCTGTTCATTCTCGGTCCTTTTCTTCAAGTTCTCGTTTCCTTTTTTTGATTTAACGTAACCAAGGAGAGTGTTGAAAGATTCAGAGTATGCTGACACCCTTGTCCTCGACGTCGTATACCTCGTCCTCGTTTTTTTTCTCGTTCCTTCACGGTCGCTTAGTCGATGTAGAGAACTGAATATTTATTGTGCAAAAATATAGCGTTGAGAAGTGTCATGCGTTTCATCTCTATGTAAGTACTCTGCGAACAGGGTCGGGCTAGTTGTTTCGCATGTTTGTTCAATTTTGTGTAAACATGCTTCATGCTACTTTTTGTAACCGACCATACTAGAAGATCAATTATTTTTTTGTGAACTAATAATTTTTTTCTCGTCCATTCAGTGAATCACGACGTTGATCATCTATCTTCACGTCGACCAAGCAAGCTTACTTTTCTCTCAGAAAATTATTGCCAAAATAGAATCTGTTGATTCATCTGGTTTTCTTCGCGGAAGAAAAGATCGCTTACACTTTCCTCGTTTACTATCAAGAAGGCACTAGTACAACATCAAACATGTCGTCATCTACCGGAACAGATCAACAAAGCGAGTTCTCGTATTTTACGGCGGGCACTGGATCGGCTGTTGATGCTGCCACAGCCAGTTTGACATCCAGCATAGAAGAGAAGCAATTCTTCACGCCAGGTGCCGACACTACCAGTTCGTATGGGAGCTTTGTCGATGCAGCTAAAGAACCCTTTATGTTCTTTCCGGAACCATTCTTAAGGGTTGGAAGTTGTCGAAGTGGACTTCTCTATGAGCATATCTATGGCCTTTTCAAGTAGGACAGGAATAGTAGATATGCGAGATAGAATAGATCTGCCAACTTGTTGCGACCCCTAACATTTGAGGAAGTGAATCCCGACTTCGACCCTTTCAACTGGAATACTTGGAAATACGCAACGTTTGGGGATTTCGTCCGTCGCACCTTTGCCTTCGAAGTCCTCGTCGACTTCATCGCCTTGGCTGTTATTGCCCATGTACTGCTTAGCTTATTGAAGGTCTTGTTGATCATATTGATCACGCCTGTATTTGAGATTTAACAAATACCAAGTTGAAGTTCAACTGGTCGTTGTACGTGATGTTGTAGCTTCGTTTTTTTCGCCTCCTTGTACTGCTCCCTTCCGAACGAACCTTATCCCTACCCCGTAGTATATACAATCTCAACACCAGGCTCTCTACGCTCCTTGCGACGGTGATTGGAAGTATATGTGCTGGTTGCTAGTCGGCATTCTGGGAAGCATACCGACGACGATGGTTCTGGATTATTGGCGCAAGATTGGGCAAAGTTTCCGTCTAATTTTCGTCAAGGAAAGTATTGCAACGTCTTTGAGCATCCTGTGGTTCTGCACCGGCCTTGTGTGGACAGCTCACTATCCGGCTAGCTCATGCGGAAATTGCTTGTGGACGACGGTAGTTTTTTCTACGCCAGGATCGATTGGCTAAGTACACTACTGCTACTACTTCAGCATTCTTGACGTGGATTGCTTTTTTTGGGCCCTTCTGTTTGATAGTTGCATCTAGTTTGATGTTTAGAGAAACAAATTGGTGAAAATTTTTAACGCTCCCGTGTTCCTTAAATCATCCGAGAAGTCAGTGTTTTTTTATTCTTCCATCTCCTGCGCAACGTGACGACCCTTTCCACTACTTCCTAGGTCGCAGTGATCTCGTTACTACATCTGGTAATGTTCGCTCTCATTGCTTTGAGTGTCTTGCTTGCTGCGCTGGTGCCAGCGCTGATCAAGTTGCTGTTTCAAGTTTGGAGTGCGACTTCTCGTCCGTTCACTACAGCGAATAAGCAGGTAGCGAAGCAATCTACGGAGAGTAATGAACCGGAATATGGATTTGCAACACGTCCATCGCAAAACGCAGCTGAACCATGATCACGATATTGGAAAACTTTACAGCACGGTTGATGTAAATCTGTTAAATTTTTGAGGACTTTTGAAGAAGATATTAATTATAGAAAATTATGAGAATATCATGTCATTAGAAAGACCACCCGACTTTGAACTACATGAACTGAAGAGGCCAAGTAGATGTACCAGGAAGAAAAAGCATAAAAGTTAGTGAATCAAATTCAGGATGAAAATTTTTGAGATACTATCAGTTATACTAAATACTCGAATAGAGAATGTATTAATCGCAAAGTCTATGTTCTTCAGTAGTGCACAAAAGTAAGACCTGCAGAAAAAGATATCGCGCGGTTGAGACCGTGAAAGTCCCAAAGTAGGCTCCCTCGATGATACTTCTTTAAAGCTTGACCATCTTGCTGTTATGTTAGCCTTTGTCATTTCTGAGTCCTTGTCTATGGTATTTTTCCACCGAGCGTCGTTATTGCGAATTATTTCGGAAAGAACTATAATCCTCGAGCGGGTTTGATTTTGAGCACTACATATATAAATCCGTGTTGAAGCACGACTTGCAGAGCTAAGAACAGGAGTATTTACAACTAGTGTGTGAGCTTCTATTTTAGTAGTATCTATTGCTATGGATAACGCTAAGGCAGTCTCGAATGAACTTGTTTTTTCAGAAAGTTTTGAAAAGATATATGCAGCGGTCCAGGGTGGAGCTGGTTCAGGCGGGGGCTCGCTCTGGTTCAGGCTGGAACGCTCGCAACTTTTTAACTTGCTTTCACTTTGATCCCACCCTGGCCCAGGTTTTTGCAAATAGTATTCTACTCCGCCCCAAACCGGTTCAGGGGGGGGATTCTCCCACCCTGAACCAAGTCGCGGCCTCGATAATTATGCCAAAGGTTGCGAATGTTATGCGCCTACTTAGTGATAGACAGGAGACGGGCGCGGGCAACCCTCTCGAGGGAAAGCGCAAGCTTGGGGAGCCTTTTGTTTAGGCACCTTGGTACCCCGGCAGGCTTGCCACGGTTGGGCCTTGTAATCGGGGCGGCAGTGCCAGGGGAAGCGACTGGGCGCCCGTATTTACATACTGGCTACTGAGTGCCTCCGGGCGGCTCAGCGCAGCTTCCATCCCTGACCGGGGGCGAGCAGCCTGGGGCGGCAGGGAGACAAAGACGAGCACCGCTCGGCGGCGCTGGTCTGCGGCCGCTGGTGCAAGTTGTTGCGCCGTCTGGTCTTTGCTGTCTCGCTCGCTCTTCCACCAAGATCCAAGCGCCAGCAATGAGAACGAGGCCCAAGCGATGGAGGAAGTGCCCGCGCTTGAGGTTTGTCAGTCGCTCGGCGGCGGCTTCGCTGCGTGTGGCATTCCGACCATCGTGAACGGCCGCGCGCTGTCGATCTCAGAGCGAGGGAGCGGGCCTCTGCTCTTCGTTGTCATAAGTACTCATAGGGGTGCGGCCGCTTGTGGCCTTCCATTCATTGGTCGACCTTGCCGGCCAGGAGAGCCTTGCTGCGTCCTTGAGATCGCCCCCCCTTCCCCGCCAAATTTTTGCAAGGGCAGCGTGGCGCAAGTACTTAAAATTCCGTCTTGAGATCTTCGACCAGCGTGCCGCTTGCGTGTCTCTGCCGTCTTTGCTTGCCTCTTCGCTTCTTTCTCGCGTTCAGTTTTGTCCGCGCTCGCCCTTTTCATCTTGGTTCCTCCTCCCTCCCATCCCTCGGGCCGTTTAGCTTCTGGCGTCCCCCTCTTCTTTTTCTCATCTCCCCTGCCTCTCTTGTCTTTGTTCATCCCCTCCCCTGCTCTTCCGGCGCTGGCTTCCCCCTCGTCCCCTTGCTTTCTCCTTCGTCCACCGTTCTTGATCGCCTTGGCTGCCACCAATCCGCTCTTCTGATCTCGGCTTTCCACTCTGGCCCACTTTCTGCTCTGGACCACTATCCCACCCTGGGCCACTCGATAGATTTGTATAATATATATAATAATATGATGTATCGAATGACCTCTATTCCTCGGAGTCGAGCCAGGTGCCGGGGGGCTTAGATGTGCAGGATTCACACCCTAACCTAACCTCCTCTATTCTAGTAGATCTGCACGAACGATGCTGACCCTGAATACGAAAGCCGTCTGTAATGTTGCGAATCAATCTCCTGCTTGTCCGTCGGCACGGTATGCGCAATAAGCCGAACTTGTATACATGCTATCATGCTGTACTAGCTGTAGTTTCACTTGCTGCAAAGTTTGAGAAGCAAGTATTTTTGTCGAAGTTATTCAGCAACTGCATCGTTCTAATCGAAGAAGTCCTTTTCGTTATTGCATTTGCACCGATGAGTAAGTGGGGAGATGACCAAGTATCTGCCAAAGTAATACATTTACATAGCAATAGGCCAGTCCTCTGAGCCAGAGTGTTGGAGCTGTAGTAGCTAGTCTACTTTAAGTAAATGGATTAAATTGCCATCTTCCAAGAATTGCAACAGTAGATATGAAGCGGATAGTGGGATTGAAAAAAGGAAAAAATTACAGTGGATTCAGTCAAAAGACGTCGCTCTGAAAGGGTTGACAACCTCATGTTGTACTTGTTCTTAGTATATTTTCCTAGCAATGCAGTCGTCGGAGCGGAACTACTTCTCCTCGGAGTCTTTAGACGCGAAAAAAAGGAGCAAACAGCAAAGTGAGCCGATCAAGAAACCAAAGACGGAGACGAGATATGAGAAAATGGATGTTACTCTTACTGGGTGCGTCAAAATGAGCGTGAGGAGTACTTCTAAGATCTCTGCTGGTCTCGTTTATCTTCCTGTTCCAATGTGCCTCATTCGCCTTTTGTGTTTCCAACGTGTCTTGTGTCTTGTGGTCAGAATAAGTGATCGTACTCGTTGTAGTGACAACTAGATGACGAGGAAAAGGATAAGGAGTACATTCATCCACATGCTTTAACATCCAATCACTTTTCTGCGGCTGCGGCCACCAATTTTATGATCAGCCTTGTGAACAAACCGTAAGAGACGACGCTGATCATCTCCTGGAAAGTAAGTACCCTCATCTGTTGTACTACCTACGCATTGATTCGCGTTCTAAGTTGTTGCTTTGCGTTCATCACCTGAATTTGACTGTTGCTTGTTTTTCTTTTTCAATCAAGAAATTTTGGCGATCCAACTGTGTGATGTAATCACTACATGATAATTAACTGATGATGCGGTCTTCCTCTTTTTATCTCGACCCCCACAAACACAATATCAATAAGAATAACATCTAGAAAAAGCAGGATGGGGTATAAAAGGCAGTTGGTATTGTCGTGGGACGAAAGAGGGTGTAGCAGTACTTGCTGTATCGAAAATTCGCTATCAAGAGAGCAACACACACCTCGCTCCACCAACAAGGTCTAATAGTTGGTCTAATGAGTTTTTCGTTCCAATAATATGCTGCATGTGTCGCGTATGCCAAGCCCGCGCGTCTGAGCGAGCCCCTATGTGTTGGATTCCGCAACGACGGTTCGCATAGTGACTCAAGCCACGTCTACTTTGGCATACTCGCCAGTCCTGCTTCAATAGCAACTCTTGGGGCGTCCCTGTTGTTCTTCTTGCACTCGCAAGAACTTCTACGCATACGTTTTTACTAGTACACGCACGTTCTTGTCGTGTTTCCGCCTTGAAGTGGATCAAGGAGTTGGACTTTTACGACTTGCTCCAGACATGGCACAACTCGCTTGGTTCTGAGAGAATCACATCTTCAAGTTCAGTGCAAATCGATTGACAACCACTTTGCAATCGAGGAACACTGACTAGAACTAGATTCACCTTGTTCTCGCCAAACTGCTAGTACTGACTGTCGTCACGACAAGGACTCGAATTCCCGGCACGATGGTAAAAAAAAGCAACGGCAAGAGTGAGAGTAAGTGGGCTCGTAAGAAACACACCGAGCAGCTTCAGGCCGCGGGAGTGCGCGCAGAAGCCACCGCAGGGGGAGGACTGGTGTTTACGGGTGTTGTCCATGACGATGCACCGAGATACAAACTTTTTTCGAGCGAGCAGCAGCCTCATCAAAACACCACCACTGCAGCATCATCCGCGGCTGTCGGTAAGGCTGCTGCATCATCCTCAACAAATTGGTCCGGACACGGAGTCACTCATCTCCACTCCTCGAAAGTAAAGACGAACAAGCCAAAGCCAGGGGCCGCGTCCAAGGCATCTTCTAGTGGTGGAGCCGGTAAAGCTGTGAGAAATTACAACACTATACCTTCTTTGTTTGGTGCTGGCCATGCTACAACAGCAGTACCGCCAGTAACTACCTCAATTGCGACTGGAGCTGAAGGTGGGATTGCAGGGACTTACATAACCCATCAATACGTCAAGCCAGGAGCTCAACCTGTTCAGGACAAGACAACAGCTTATTTCCACTCATTTCAAAATGAGATACTTGAGAGCGGCAACGCTGATGCCGGTGTGGTGGATGCGGTTATCATCGACGCTCCCAACGTCATGCGCTGGACCGAGGAAGAACGAAATGGGAAATCCACTGATGATGGCAGTACTCCTTATTGATGAACAAAAACTGATTGAATATCACCATGCTGCTCAACATGGTCTTAGTCGATCGGCCACCTTGGTGTTAGTAGAAAGATCGAGATTTCGCTGCGCCTTCAACCTAACAAACGGGTGGCAAAAGATATCAAAGCTTAGATATGAATTTGATTTTCATGATGTTTCTGCTTGTTCTTTTCATGATCTGTGAAAATACCAAAATAATCTCTGTTTGCCTGCCTCCAGATAGCAAATTCCTGCTTTTGGTGATCCAGGAGGTGCGTGCCACCTACGGCCCTGGTGTGTTTATCGAAGTGGTGACGTATCGGCCTACTAAAGAGAAGCTCCACCGCAATGACGTCACATTTCGGGAAATTGAAAAGATGCAACGAGTTGCGGTAATTGCAACGCCCGCCGGTGCGAACGTGGACGATTTTATCCTGACTTCGGCTATACGCACCTACACCCACCCTAAGAGCATTACGGAGGGTCACGGAGACCAATTACTGCAGCGATGTCAGTGGACTGAGGACGCTGTCCTCCGCGCCAGAATCGTCTCGAACGACCGCTATAAAGAATTTCTAAGCAAGATCTCGAATTCGGCGATGCGAAAGGCGCTCTCACGCGCGCTCGTCAAATTCGTTATCAAGCCGGGAGCACGAGGTACCTAGTCTGATATCTTCTAATTCTATGGGATTGTTGTAATATTTAACTATCGTTGATATGATTATGATTAAGAATGATCTTGAGCTACAAGTACTACAGCTTGCCCACGAACACAAAAACAAATTATATCTTTTTCGCCCAGCTGCAGGAGCTTGCTGGAGCGAAGTATTGCGATACGTCTTATTGCCATCATCTATTGTTGATCGTGATGAAACATTCTGTACACTACTGGTTTTCTTATTTCATCTTGTACTACACCCGCAGGTCCGCAAGCCTTGCTAAACATGATGGGAGACGACCTGCCGGAGGAGCCTGACCCCGAAGGAGAAGAGAGCGCACAACCAGGAGGATCTAGAATTACGAATCCAAAAAAATGCATGTGCAACACTTAGATGAACTTCTGAATTTGACTAGAGCTAGAGGTGGGTCAATCTTCCTGATGTTGGATCATTGAAATGATTTTTGAAATGGTATTAACTAATTGATTTACTTAGGACAAAAGCATAGTTGGCCTACGCGGTGCATCTGGGATACTCATTGCCAATACATCGATAGCTCCACCTCCACTACTTCTAATGCAAACAAGGGCAAAGTCCGGAGTCAGTCGGCGGCCGTCCGCAAAGGTGGGGATGGAGGGGCTGTTGGTACTCAGGGCAAGGCGTCTTCGAATTCGAAGCGAGAGCGGAGCCGCACAGCAGATAGCAATAGTCTTAAAGGAGGGAAAGTGAACAAGAACAAGACACAGAATGTTACCGACGAGAAACTGCAACGGAGGGTAGACGAACTGAAAAAAGGGGCGAAGCCTGGCGGCGAGCGCCGTATGCAGCTCAACAATGCTCGAACTGCGTATGTTGTCGAGAATGATGACGATGCTGTTGAGGAAGAGGATGCGGGTGTCCTGCCAGAAATACGTGCTGCTGCTGCGGCCGCTGCCGAGCGCACCGGAGACGCCCTATTTGCTGCAAGCATGGTCACTGCGCGCTCACATCTTGAGGGTCTTTCACCTCGCTCCGTTTCCTACAGGAGTGACGATCACGTTGCTCAAGAAGGAAATACACCAAGCGGCGCAGACGCTAGAGCAACGAGGTCCGACGCATTAGCCGCGGCAGCCGCCCAAGACATACTTGGCATACCATCGAGCACCCCAGGAGCAGGAACCAGGCGGCGATCGGTTGGCATTGTCTCGGGCCGGAGCGGTTCCTCAATGGCCAAGCGAAATCTAGTGGACGATCCGCGCGATCGAGATTTGCGTATACTAGGGACGTCGCGCAAGCGCCGCCACGACCGCAAAAGTAAGCATTCGAGCTCAAGCAAGCGGAGGCGATACCTGAGCGACAGGAGGGATGAGGAGCGGCGTCGTGCGAGGCGGGAGGAACACAAAAGAAGTAGAGCACACGCTCGCAGCGGGACTTTTGTTGAACAGTCCGCGGACATGTCGATCTCACCGGCAGAAGACATCCACAGAGTATCCCCGGATGATGCAGACGTCAGCGACGAAAGGCGGACAAGCGTGAGCTCTAGCAGCGGCCAGCGCCGAGCGGGGAAAAATTTTCCGCGTATCGCAAGTCGCGACTTGGTTTTAGAGCATGCCGATATCTTGAACACATTGAGTGATAACGAGCAGGGGGACTCCGGGAGAAGTGTTGAGAAGTTACAGCCCAACCTCGGCACCATTGCGTTTGGCGATGGAGAAGTAGATCTGGCTTCGCCACAATTGTCGCCGATCTGCTTAAGGGCGGGAACCGAGGACAGTGTTGTAGCGGCGCTGGAGGTGACGATGCGCGAAGGGGACGGTGAAGTACCGAACAAGGCTGGAACAAGAAAGGAAGGACATGAACTTCAGAGTGTTTCAGACATAATGAGCAATATCGATTCTAACGATGAGAGCGTGTTGCAGCGACCTGGTTTTAGGCGGAGAGCAGCTGGGGGAAGCGACATTAAGCGAAAGCTTGTCTCGAAAGCACCTAGCTGGCTGATTGGGCCTTCTTCGACAGCTCCCGGCTCCGGTGAAAAACAAGCTGCGCGGATCGATGAACATAAGAGAGAGAATGGCGCTGATTTTTCCGGTAGACAAGTAGAGGCGACTCACCACTCTCGGGCAGGCGAAAACCACATTGCACCTGCTACCACAACGGATGCTGTCGACAAAATCCGACCTCCACCAGCGCAACGAGATAAAAACGATAGCACTTCATCAGGGAAGCGACCTCCACCAGCCACATCGTCTCCGACGCGCGATGGCCGTGCCATCGGTAGGCGTTTCCTAGATAGTGAATTGCCCATCTTTAGCGGAGAAGAACACGATCACAGTTTGGAAAGGAGACACAACTACAGCAGGCTCCCGTCAGATTTACCGCGGCTGGAGAAAGTTAATTATTCTAGTGCGACCGGAGCAAGAAGAGGAACAACGAGGGGTCCACCGGTTCCGCCTTCTGACATCAACAGTGGGCAGGACGGAGTGAACGCCATAAATGAGAGACGAGTGCTGGATACCAGCATGCGGCTACGAGTGCCACAAGCACAAGCCCAACCCCATCAGCACGAGCAGCATCAAACACCGGGGGCGCCGTCGTCGGCCACACTGTCGAAAGACTTAGGGCTTGCTATCGGAAGAGCCAACGAGCAACAGGAGAGCAGAGGGGCGACGTCAATTATGGTCAGGAGAGATCATGCGGCTCCTTTTGACGACCTGCCAAAGCTGTCTGCTCGGTCGAGGGCGACCAGTAATTACATGAGGCACGAGACAGCGTCGCTCCTTGCCAACGACGAAGACGAAATAGGGCGCATTCATAGGGTTGAGAGCTTACATTGTATGGCAAATACCGGCGCACGCCCAAACAAATTATTTTCAAGTGGTGCAGCAAGTTCCAACGAACACGAAAACTGCAGAGGCGGAGACAGAGCTATGACGAGGGCAGTCTCTGCACTACATCACATAACAAATATGGACGGTCGCGGTACTACCACTAGTTCTCGTGGTACTATGTCTGCTCGAGATGAGATGCCGGATCACACACATGGGAATGTTTTTGGGACTATAACTACAACCATTGGAGGACGAGAAGGTCTTGGACAAAGTAGGCTTCGACGAGCTTCATCTCCGCGCAACATTAGGGACCGGTATTTGCCTCAAGAGCGCAACGCGGGTCAACAAAGCTACACAGGTGCGCTTGCTGCACCTCCGCCACAAGCACAGCAGGGCCTGTCGTCGGCAAGCACGTCGCGAACGGCGACAGCAAGACGAATCGTGCGGGTGTCTTCACTTCACGATCAGGAAGAATTGTTTCTTTCGGGCTCAGAACGCAGAGCTCCCCCGCCGCAACATTTTTCTGAGACGGCTGCTGTTCCTGCGTCTGCCCGAGGGTTTACCCTTGGCACCACGCGTCGTGGCTCCGCTTTCGGGACGCTTTCGCCACTACCGTCGCGTGCGGACGACCTCCAGAATCTCGCAGTTTCCACGAGAGAGCGTAGAGAACCTCGCGGCGATACGAGCCTCCTTCTATTGGGAGAAGCTGCCCGCTCAAAAGCGCATAGCAGAGTCGCGTCACCTTTTGAGCATTCGTCGACCTCAGATCATGAGCTTGCAGCATTTCGTTTCGAACATCGGATGTCCGAATCAACAGCAGCCAGAATGATACCCTCCGCGTCTTCGTCGTCTACTTTGCTTCCAAATACGTTGGGCCATGAGAGATCTAGACTCGGAGGCGCTGTATCAAATTACAGCACTGGAGGGAGTGGAATGGTGCGGGTTCAGGGCGATCGGAATCCATCTTCAGCATCGTATGGCAACTTGTCCTTTGAGCAGAGTTATCCGGTTGGTGGGGTTGCCTCGCAGATGCGCGCGAGCCACAGAATCGATCGTCCTGGTCAACGCTCCGGCGTCACGAAAAACATAGGACAAGGAGACGTCCTCCAGCGGAGGTCGAATATTGACCACTACTATCGCAGGATGGACGCCCCGAGCACCATAACTGGGGAGGCAAATCAAAGAAGGACCCGAGCGCAGACCCTCGCTGACGAAGAGGAGGACCGCCACATCGAAAGGGTTCTGGAGGAAAAAGCGGCTTTATTCGCGCCCCGCCCGCGAGCAAAGAGACAAGACGAGAGTACAGAGCAATCACTTGCCATTCCATTGAATGCAGTGCTCACGCCGGGACGCGACGTAATTCGACCGAACAGGGACGGGAATTTGTTGCTGCAACAAGACCACGCGCGCGGAATACGCCATGAGAGTGATAGCACTAGCATGGCGGCGCCCGCGAGAAAGCGAAGTATGATTGGCCGCGCCAGCGAACATCAGCGCGGGTCGCCTAGAATATCTCTTGTTTTTCAGGAGGACATTTTGATGGAGCAGCAAACAAAGACAGGCGAAAAAAGAGAGAGACAGGGTGCAGAAGTTCAATTATTTTCACAGGCCCAACCCCAACGGGGAGGGGCACAAATTGAAGTACCACAAGAAAGGATGCCCCTTCTTCCGGGACCACTGCAGGAAACCAGTGCGCGAGCTGGTGTATTCGCGTCAAGGTTGGACACGGACCCTCTCGTCAGGGGTCATGAGACGCGGACCCCTGCTGATGCGCCTGTGCTGAGGCAAGGAGGGGAAGGAGGAAGAGAGGGATCCACATGCATCATCGCACCGCTCGAGCCAGCCTCGAACAATGAAAGTATGCGCACCAACCTGCGAGGACGTCAGAAGTCATTAGATAGAAGTGAGCCAGCAGAACGGAAAGAGTATGAGAGCCACGAGGACCCCCGGAAGAGCAAGAGACGGTCGTTAGGTCAAGAAAGTGAAACGCACAGGACGCGGCAGAAAGAGGCAGTCCCAGGGGCGAATGATGTCTCACGTTCCTCTCCACAAGATAGGGTAGATATTCTCCGCGTAGTAGAGCAACAAGCATCACAAGAACATGTGAAGTTCTCATCAAGTGGAGACCATTTTTCACCTCCTGCAGGCAAGCAGCGGAGCTCTGTCATAGACCGGCAAGGCCGACAGGATGCTGCTGAGACTCCTCCCGCATCCGCTGCGAAAACTTTAACGAAGCATGTCGAGCAACAGGAACAAGAAAATTACACGAACCGCGCACCGACCGCATTCATAGGTGCTCCTGGCGCTGTAAGGTCCCGCGCGGCTTCTATGAGCGAATTTGAATTGGACTCGTCTATCTCCCCTTCCAAGGAACCCGAGGACAAACGGCGAGAACGCAGCAATTTGCAAAAAGCAGCGAATCGCAGGAGGATGAATCGAGCGCCAAGCGACGAGGGCTGCCCTCCCCGGCCGTCTTCAGGAACACTCAAGACCATAATTGCAGACAATATCCAAATCTTTACCGGAGGTACTGTTCTGGGATCTCCCACTCCGTCGTCATCGGATATGAATGAAGATGCGGATCATTCTGCATCCGGGCAACCACGGCAAGCCGCACCGCTGCAGCCTAGCCCGCCTACGACTACCCGCTCGATCGATAACGAGAGCCTCCGGCGGAGGCTTGAAGAGCTGAAGAAAAAAATGGGCCACCTGCTCGTTGAACGAGGTGGAGCAATAGAGGACATTCGCGCCGATCGTGAAGTGCCAGTTTCAGCAGAGCGGCCGCCAATGGAACGCAGTGAGTCCGCACGAGACGAATCATCTCAACGTCCCGTGAAAAAAGCAAAGCTCGTCGCGTCGTCCGAGGCCGGCGGCTTGGTGTCCGCAGGGGCTGCTGCTAGCGACGTTGCATCTCGTTCAAGCGTAGAGGCACCATTGCAGCAAGCACGAGAATCACCGCCAATTTCGAGTCCCTCATCTTCATCTGCCATGCTTTCACGTGGTACGGTGATAGCCTCTAGTCGAAAGAACGCAACCGATCATGTGAAGAGGGGGACGACAAATATTGCCACCAGCGGGAATGCTGCGTCTTCGTCGAAAAGTGGAAGTCTGCGTGCGTCAAACGAATCTAACCTTCAAGTGGGTGTCTCATCCGTTCTGGCAGGAGCGAAAGAACTCCCCCGGTCTGTCGGGCCGCCTCCCGGAATGTCCGGTAACGCGCCGGGATCAGCCGGTTCTTCTAGCTGTGCTCGGGGTGAATTGATCCTAGTGGCGTCAAGTAGACCCGTCATGGCTCCTGCTGACCCTTCTCCGTCCGGTAAGCAAGTGGGCTCAACGGGTCATGGTCAACCGGCGCCTGGCGCAGGTGCAGTGCCTGCGGTGCGTGGTGATGTGGGCCAGCGGTCAGCGAATAGAGAAAGAATTGAGGGCCATGCTCATGCTGATATTCCACGATCTACTGCAGATGAAAAACAATGCGAGGGCGCTCGATCCTCATCTGCGGAGAAAGGACTTGGAAGGGAACAGCCAGAGCAAAAACGAGTGGCGATGGGAGAAGATGGCAATTCCGAAGGAGATATAGACCTCGACTCGGACGATGATTATGATTCATAGATTTTTGCCTTGTTCGTGAATCGTGAGCACTGTACTCAGGTTTTTGGCTGCGCCACAACGAATTATACTTGAAAAGTTTTCGCATTCGCAACATCCGGGAGAGCCCAAATTTTCTTGATCAGCGTCCTAAGAGGAGGCATTCACGTTGTATGTTTAGAGAGAGGTAAAAAAAAAACAGTGATGCGAGGACTGGCCGCCGAAAGCTCCTTTCTATTCTCTGTCGTCTACTAAGATAAAAAAGAGGACGAGGATGCCCAAGCAGAGGGGCAAATATCGGCGAAGAGGCCTCTAGGCTTTGAAGGGAGGAGCGGAAGTCGGGACGACAACGACGGCCCCGATAATTTTGGAGGGGGGCGTCCTTTCTTGCGTAGCGCTGCAACGGGGAAGGTGACATCATCGAGCACTGCTGATCTGAACACTTCTGCGACTGAGAAAGGGACCGGTAGGACAAGTGGGACCACTACCGGGGGGAAACAACATGGACGAGAGCCGGGCGTAAATTGTGACTCTCCTTGTACCACGACGCCGCCACGGTGCCGTGGAAGTGTCGCGGTTAACCAGCAGGAAACCGGCTTCCATAATACAGGTTCAGCATTCACGCCGCGGGACTCGCAGAAGGAGTCAGCGACCCTTCAACTCGAAAAGAATCTTACCGGTCAGAAATATCATGGAGGGGGTGCGCCGAAAAAAAAAGGCTATCTAGCCTGTCCTAATTCGCAGACCTGTGAAACTACCTGGAGAACTGCAAATCAGTATAGCGGAAAAGCGGAACAAACACAAACCAATACCGGTGAAGCAAGTGGTGCGCCTTCTGCTAGTGAAAATAATGTAATTATTGGGGTTGTTGAGCATGGCGTAGAAGTAGATATACTTGGGGTAGCTGGGACCGCGGCACGATGTGCACAAGATGGTGCAGCTACGGATCGTGATAGGCATGTCGACAACGGGGCCGACCCTGCAGCTGCACCGGCAGGCTACCAAGGAAGTTGGGCATTTGAGACGAGAGATGCAGCCAGCGAAGCATATTCACCTTCATCTCAAGCCTTGTGCTTGTCGTGGTACTGCTTCCGTCCAATCGTTTGTGCTTTCACAGCTTCGCGTTCTCTGGTTGCCCTGTAATTTTCTGATAGTTGATTTTGTGCTGTATGTTGAAACTTGACCAGGTGGGTGCGTTAGACATGAGGATGAGATACATGACTATGATCATGACGATGCCCTTGGTGACAGCCCTAACCCCACAGCTATAATGAACCGATGATCGCTTCTGATCGTAGCCTGTGCTCCCTCATGCTCCTCACTCGATCGATGTCATGCCCTCTCGGTTGAGCTGAAACTGACACACTCACGTTAGCGTCCCCTGCTGCTGTAGTGGTCATCTCTGCTGTCTTCTTGTAGGTTTTGCTGTCTTGTTGCAAGCTGTAAGTTCTTACTCGCTCCTACCCGCTGCTCCACCGCCCTCCCATCCTTCGTCATCCGCCCATCCTTCGTCCCAACTCTCGCCAACTCTAGCTACGGCGGACATCCGTAACGCTTCCGACGATTCTGTTGGCCCTAGTTTTATTTACTCAAAGAATCACACGACTTTCTCCATGATTAAAATAAATGAAATAAACTCAGTGGGAGCGCCGTTGGGCGTCGAATGCCAGGCGATCATCGGATCCGCCAGATGCAGCAGGAAGATGAGCGAGGTGTTATCGTAATGGATGGAGAACCGGTTCAGATATCGCAATCGTCCTCAGCCTCATTGTCCGCTTCAAGAAAGGTGGGCATATTGACTAGAGCTGAGTGCAGGAACGCGATAGCCACGCTGTGCCCTGATAGTGATTTGGTTTCATCGTATAAGCGAGATTTTATGGATTCGGATGTGACAGATCACGGTGGCAACAGGGATGAACAAGAACAAGGAACCTGCAGCAGCAGCGCTTTGGGGGAATATATGGCTTTTCTGGATCTTTTTCCTGAAGCAGCAGAAAAACTGCATGGTATCGGGGACGAAGCCAACATGGCTTTTCGCTCAGAAAATGACTGGGCGCAGAGACCGATAAACACCAGGAACCGGGCAAGACAAGCGGCGCTTAGCATCACAGAGGTAGGACACAGCAACTATCCAGGGGCCGCATCAAGCGACGATGAATTTGACGATCATAGAGAGGAAGGACAAGAAAGGATGAAGCGCTGCCTTCAAAAAATTGATGACGATTTGGAGATGATGAACAAGAGTGGAGAAGCTACAGGGTCCAGCACGAGAAGAACGACGACCACACGCTCGCCGCATAGCGAGGAGCAAGAGGAGCTTGACGAAGATCATCACATTAATTGTGGTATGTTGATTGATCGTCGACCTCGCCCTCGGCGTGCTGTCGATTCTTCTACATTGGTGGAGGGAGAAAAGCGTCGTCTGGACCACCAGAGCCTTCCAAATTTGACGCTTCTAGCAGCAGGTTGCGGTGGAAGGACATTGAAAAGTATGCTGGAGAGGCTGGCTGCAGGCTTTTCTTCATCTGGTGGAGATGAGACGTGCGTGGCGGTGGAGAATGTTATTCTCAGTGGGTCCTACGACATTGCCCGTTGTTGCTACGATGATGCTGTTGAATACGCTCCTCACGAACAAGAGGAACAAGAAGAGCGGCCGCGCTCCCTTAGTTTCTCCGACGGTGGTGAAGGATCATGTGATGAGCGCAAACCACAGAACAACAACAAAGCAGTGGCGGGTCTAAGTCGCAGCTCATCTTCGAAAAGCTTTGTGTTTCCCCCATTGTTGCCCAGCGATGAGGAAATAAGGGTCCGGCGGGAGAGATTTAAGGCTGAGTTCTACGCCTGGCTTCAATGGGATTTTTCGGAGGAAGTGCAGAGACGGGCAGGGGAGAGCAGCACTCCTCGACCGCGATTGTCAGCGACCCCCATTGGAACGGCGGCGGGAACAAGCGAGGGACGCAAATGCCTTCTGATTGAGGGATTGCCACCGCGATTAACTATGGCCGACCGCGCTTACCTGTGTAGCCTTGTGAATGCCCAAGTGGTTGCTTTGCTGTTGCCTGGAGGTGCAAACTCTTCTCGACAGAGCAACGCTCTTGAAAAAAAGCAAGTGCACGACATAAACCTTCATCAAACATCTGAGCGCATTCCAGGGTCGGCGCCAAGAATGGCAAAATCGCCTCTCTCGAAAGCAAGCGTACTGGCTTTCTAATATGTATGCAAGTAAGTGAATTGCTTACAACTACTTGCTCTCCTAGTTGTACGGGCATTGCTGGCCTCTTCGTGCTAATGGTATGACACGAATATCCCGAATCAGAACTCGTACTCGACCACGTTTTAGTGTAGTTGTTAGTACCCGTTCGATGTCCTCTCGCCACCTCCGTGGTTGAATAGATAATGTCAATCTTCTTGTCACGACATCTTCAGGTTCGAGCTGCGACTTTTCAGAGAAGATGTCATGTGTATTCCGTAACAGAAATGTCGGAGCTTTCTCTGCCTCGCGGTTACGCGAGCGATGAGTGTGGAGATTCCGATACGCCACTGTCGCGTATACACACTCCCCCGGAGCGGTTAGAAGACCACCAAGAGTACCAGCATGATACTGCTTGCTCGGGGTCGGGCGGGAGGAGCCGTCGCTCAACACGTACCGGGCTTCAGAGGCAAACTTTAGGAGGCATTACCGTGGAGGAGGAAGGAGTGCACGATCACGTTGACGACGGCGAGAAGGTGGAGGAGGAGGACGACGACGAGATCGAACGGCCAGTCGGCATAGCGTATCCCAGGCTGCAGCATAAAAAAGTGGAGAAGAACTTGAGGAGGAACAAAAACTACACTTCACGTCGTGGCCACCGGCGCAGAATATGGCAACAGAAGCAAAATGGAAAGATGACATACAATGCCGCGAGACCTTCGCTGCTACATGAGAATACTAGAAAAACGACAACCGCTTCTAGATCAAAGACGAAGACGACTAGTCAACGTCAAGTAGCCGCCGCTTCGGGCCGTGAGTATGGTTCCAACACTTCTTTTACTACATCGTCTAACAAAAAAAGAAGTGATTGGCAGCAAACAGCCCTAGCGGCTCTCGAGAAAGAGAGTTTGCCAGTGTTGAAAGCGAGCTCGGGAAGTGGAACTGACAAGCATCTTCACGCACGTTATGTAAATAATAATACATACCGTGTTGATGAAACCAGAGCACCAGGAGGTCAGCCATCCTCCACAACGAATAGTCGTGGGCAAGGATCCTCTTCTTGTTCTACGTCTACCGCTTGTAACCACAACAGGACCAGTCGTGACGCGATAATTCGTTCTGATCATCATGGTGCCAAGTCGGGTCTTAGACGACAGCAGGAGAAACTTCAACGTCTCCGCATCCAAGAGATCAGAACCCATCTCTTTTCCACCGTCACGGTATAATGTTTTTTTGTACTTGCTAGCTCATCTACATCAGTGCTGTAGCTTTACTTACTTAGCATTCAACGACAACTAGTACTCTGTGCAGTCGTTGTACTTGTTGTCGTAGCTAAAGCTAAAAGTCACCAAGTATATCTGTTCATGCTGCTTTTAATAAAAATATTCTTCACACACATTGATTGCTCGATCTGTTTTTGGGAAGCGCAGTACCTACAACTAATTGCCCTTTTTTTTCGTTCGTTCTCCTTCTTCATAGTTACATCATCATTATGAACTTGGCAAGAAAATAACAATCTGTTGGTTGTTCCAGATTATTGTTTTTTAAGTTTGCAAATAAATTCTACTACTCCACAAGCAGAAGCATGACTCATTCATTATGAATCAATTGATGACGTTGATGAACGTGTTGACATTCGCATTCTCATTCTTCGTCTCCTCTAAATGAGTGAGCCATCACTCATCAAGGAAGAGAAGAAGGACGTATTCTTGTGGATGCTGTGGAGGTGCGAAGAATAGTGGACTTAAAAACGTTGGCACGGACCTTGGCAGAGTCAAACGTATTTTTCTTAAAAACGTGGATCAACAACAACATGACCATATCTTGATCTTGCGCTGCACATGATGAGGATGAGTGGTCCATGCATCATGTTGCTGAACTGCAAAGCACAGTTCATAATCAATGCAGAGACTGCTCGTCTGCAATAAGTACATAGGAACGTGCATCAACAATTCAAAATTAGTATGTATTTGGGAGAAGCTTACGACAACGACTGACAACTCCATCTGCTGCATATTAATATATAGAAATATATGTTTTATAATTGTCAACAAGCTCTACCTCTACCTCTAGTAGTTCCAGCTAAACCTAACTGGCGATATACTCCACTTGTGGCACCACCATTTTATTCGCCGTGGTTGATCGTAGTTGTCCCACACCCAATTCATCCACCCCTAGTGGATTGTTCACCACCTGTCTATCCCGTCACCGTCTTCATGATGGCAACAACCAATCATGTTTTTTGCTTTTTTAGTCTGTGCGAGTCTGTGAATATGTAAAAACACGAACAATAATTAAATATAGTGTAATGTACGAAACCAGTTCTGTACCTACAAACACATCAAAAAGAAACCAACGACTGAGATGAGAGAGCACCCGCTTGTTCGTAATTTATTCAAGGCTTTTCTTGAAATATATAGCGTTTCTGTATGAATGTTGTTCGGCGGGCACGGGTGCAGTCCAAGGCAGCGCGACCAAAACCTACTTTTTCTTGCCTTCATCACCTCAAAACATCTTCCTTGCCCAAAAGCATTTCCATATTTATTCGTCTGATGACGAGCGGGACCACAAGAATGAGTGACGTTGTACTATCTTGTCTTCGGCAAGAAAACATTTTGCATCTTCTGCAGATGATGAAACAGAATATCACATCAATATTCACTCATGTTGGTCATCAAGAATTTGCGACGAAATCGGAAAACACACTTGAGTTTGCGTAAGGAGATGAAGCAGGAATCCAGCCTGGTCATACTTACATGCCCAGCCTCGTGTCTTTGCTTCCAAAGGAGGTATTTCGTAGATGTGGAGAGAAAAACAGAAATGTAGCGCTTTTTGTACATTATTCGTCTCAAAATGGAAGTTTTTCATTTTGAGACGAATATTGCCCAGCTGATCCCTGCGCTTCATGTGCGTTTTTTGGCGAAAATGCCACTTTTCTATATTCGCTTTTGGCATAATTTTACTCCATAATGGAAACCCCTTAAGGGATGCCATTTCCTTTTCCTTAAGGAAGCCCCTGAAGGGAGGGCCTTAAGGATTTTCGGGGAATTGCTTACGCTATAAATACTAAGATAAAAAGAGTAAGTCTAACAAAAGTACGAAGTTGTGTGTAATACCGCATCTTTGCTAGGGATAGGATCATCGGGCTTCGGCTTCCCTACATTTCGCTTATTGCTGCTTATGGCCCGGCAGATGGCGGCAAGCTTGGCTCAGGCGTCTGTGAGGCGTTTGACGTGTTCTGCGCGGACTCTGCTGCTGCCCTTGCTGATATGCGTTCGCCCCTGCAGAGGAAGGCCCAGCGAGGTAGTGGGCTTTACAATGCTGGATGGTGCAACTCTAAGAGGTCGCAACAGCGTTGCCCAGTAGTGTTCTATGGAGACAACCTAGGTGTGCTAGGCTCGCCTGATAGTCGTATGAGGGTTGGCTACGCCAATGGCTCGACGTCTGGTCCTTGCGGTACTGATGATAGCAATGCCAGGGGCGCCCACTTCGCGGCCGAAGTAATGGATCCTGCTGGTTTCGCTCTAGTGAATGCTCTACACAGCCATGACGACTTTCAGCTACCACGAGACTGGCCGAGTGAGACGGTGTGGAAAGCGACAGACAGGTCCACGCACTGGTCGCGCAGGTGCGCTAGGTGGAGGGAGCTGGATCTAATCTACTTGCCTGGTTGTGACTGTCCCAAGGTTCGTTCCTGCGGGACCTTCTCGTCGTGTTTAGAGCTTGACCACAGACACAAACTAATCTCGCTGGATGTCGAGGAGCAATACCAGTACTCGAATAGAACTGAGCAGAAGCGATCTGAAGACGAGGAGACTAGGAAGGCGAAACTAGATCAGCGGGACAGGAACGCAGCCCCACTGTGGCGTGCCACTGACGAAGAGAAAGAGAGGTACTCGGCCGAGATTGTCCGTAGGTATGAGGAGAAGGAGGCTGAGGTGAGTGAAAGTGGTGGCTCAGTGACTCTGATAGACTTAGTGGAGACCATTAAGGCGGCCTCACCTATTGTCCAGGCCTCTGCCGACCTCCAACTACAGAAGTATAACCGATCACATGACTACCGCACGCGACGCAAGCTGCAGGACAGGATACGTCTACTACGGAGGAAACAGCGCGCGCTGGTATTGGTCAAGGACGAGGGCATAGCCACTGCGCGCTGCGCCGCCATCCAGCTTGATCTCGCTGAGGCTGAGAAAGCTCTGGAAGCGTTTAGGTCGAACCAGAAGTCTGATTTTAATGTCGATCTTCACTGCAGGGCGCAGAGGAACATCAAGTCGCAGCATTCTGACGAGGTGCACTTTGACCCAGATACAGCTGCAAAGCATTTCCAGAAAGTCGCTCAGAATGAAGTTGTTCCTGACCTCGAGGCACTAGCAGGCGTCGTCCCTCCTCTGTCAGACTCGTTGAAGGAAGAGCTTAATCGCCCATTCACGCCTGAGGAGATCCGCGACGCTGTTGCTCGAAGGCGCAACTCCAGGCAGACTGACGAGAGTGGAGATCTTATTGCTTTCTACAAGTGCCTAAAGGGTGAGGCGTGGGAGCTCATAGCCAGAGTCTTCAATAAGGAGTGGCAGTCGGGGTTTGAGTGCCTGGAGAGTGAGGAGAATAGGAATTTGCTAATGACGAACACAGTCAGTCTCCTCTACAAGCGTAAGGGTGACAGGACGGAGCTTGACAACTACCGAGGTATAGTAAATGCCAGCATCTTGACCAAAGTGCTCTCCGCGTGCCTTCTCGACCGATTTGAATCCATCTTGCGTAAGACGCGTTTTCTCTCGCCCCGGCAGGGTGGCTTCAGACCGGGGCATCAGGTTGATGAGAAGATTTTCCTATTGAGGCGCATAGCTGAGGACGTAGCGAAGTTCAAAGGCGCCGAGACTGAAGTAGGTAAGCTTGCAGTTGCGATCCTCCTGGATATAAAAAAGGCATACCCCTCTTTTCCGTTCAAGATTTTCCAGCGTTTCTTCGAACTGTGGGGCATCGACGGCACGCCATTTGCAGCGACCTGCGTGCGCATCCATCGCTCGACGCGATATGTTGTCATCACTGATCTCGGTAGGAGCAAGGCGTTCTGGCTTAGCTCTGGCTTTGGTGAGGGCCAGATCACCAGTCCGAGCTTCTTCAACTCCGGCTATGAGATTTGTCTCCGGATATTCCGAGTTGCTCTTGAGAAGCATCTACCTGGCTCGTCAGCTGTGATGTTGTACTCTCCACGTGCTCGGTTTTCCTTCATCCCGCGCGAGAGAGTGCTGGACTTCGTCAGCCCTGCTAATTGTTCGGTACAGACCGCCAAGATCTCTGACTTTGAGTTTGCTGACGATACTGTAATCGCCTCTGTGCTGCTCCACGCTGTTTCGAATTTTCTATGTTGGGACGCGACTGTTGGCAGGGAGATGGGTGTTAGACCAAATAAGAAGAAGACTGAGTTCATAGCCCTCTTCAATCCAAGGCTGACGTCGTGGGTCCGTTATCTCGGTAACTGGTTGGACATTGAGGAGGACGGTCGGCGCAGAGTTGGTCGAATGATTAGTGCTCTGACAGAGGTCGACAGAGTGTCAGGCGCCGCTGATACGTCTACCGACTTTACGGTGACCCTCACCTCGCGGGTCCGGTCTAGGGGCTCCTTCGCTGTCGGTGGCCGGCCCTCCACAGCTCTTCAGATCAAGCAGCGACAGACGGTGATGAACACTGCGGTGTGCCGACTATCTGGGATGCCCCGATATGCCTTGCGCAGGTACCATTGCCCTATCTCCCGGCTTATGCGGTTGCGCCGTGTTCCATCCGAAGGTGACTTCACGAGGTACTCACAGTGTTCTTTCATTGGGCATCTTATCCGTACCGACCCGAGTAGGCTTTCTCGTCGCGCTCTCTTTGGATTTTGTGTTGCCGGCAGACCGGGCTTTGACTGGAGGCTCTTGCCAGCTAATGAGAGGAGGCGCCCTGGCCAGGTCGGCCCCCGGATCTGGCAGGAAGTAAAGGACAGCTTAGCGCTGGTTATGGGTGACCGTGATTCGTCACAAGTGGTGGCCATTGCGCTGAGCAGGCGCCACTGGAACACTGTGCTCTATGAGTTGCGCATCAAGTTGACCATGGACCACTACGCCACAGATAAGGGGGCTTCTCTGGAGTCTCTCAGGGTTGCGAGGTTGTACTGGCTTGAGCAGTACTCGAAGAGAGGTGACGCCCTTCCCGATCTTGACCCACAGTGTCGCACTGGTTTCTCCTGGTTCAATGAGGATGGTAGTTTCGCTGACACTGCACTAGACAAGGTTTGGCGACAGAGAGTTCTCCCCGAGTACGAGCCACAGATGCGCTGCCGCTTCTGTCCATTCTCTCTTCCGGGGTGGGATGAGAGGTTCGCGCTACAGTTAGTCCAAGCAGAGGGTCGTATTGCACTTCGCCCGTCTGACGCTGCTGCTGCAGCTGGTCTGTCTGCCCTAGCGATTGTCGACCATGAGGCTAGCTGCCCACACCGCAGTGGTGCGCTGATGTGCGACGAGTCTAGATTCATCTGCCCGGCATCGTTTAGATCTGGTGACATCTGTGAAGTAGTAAGTAGTTTGCATGTGCGGTCCACTCCCGAAGACAAAGATCTGCACTCTGTCCTACGATTGTTCAGCCCGGACGAGATTCGTTCAGTTTTTTCTCCAGCGTTGTTTGCGGGTGGGCTCGACGCAGAGCATTGGTCTCGGCTTGTCGGCGCGGCTCCTCTTGAGTGGGAGCGAGAGGTTGTCGCCTTTTCTGACTTTCGGTTCCCCTGTGTTGGCCCTCAGGGCTCCGCCGCTGGTAGTAGTAGCTCTAGTGGGGCACTTGTGCCGGGCACCCAGTCCCTACTGCTTGGTGGTCGAGTTGAGTGCTTCTGTGGTGAATGCAGGAGGTGGACTTCGAGAGCACAGCGCAGGGACAAGTCTGGCCGCGGCAGGCTGGGCTCTCTTTTGTCGCCGACGTCGTCGTCCTCGATTTTGTTTACCTCCTCTTCTTCGTCGTCAGTTGGATCAGAGTCCTCTGCCGACAGAGGCGCAGCTGCTTGCGCTCGCGTTGGTGATGACGAGCGTAGTGGGATCAGAGCAATTGGAGGTAGTTTAGATGACCTTTTGGCGGAGCCCGGTGTCTCCCGGAGGTCTTCTGTGCTGATTAGCCCAGAGTTTAGGTTCGGAGATGGTCGTGGCAGACGTTTTGAGAGCTTCCTAGCGGCTTTTCGCCACATGAGGAGACTGAAGTATGACCGGTCTGCTGCCACCTTTATGTCGGCTATCACTGTGCCGTCTGCCAAGAAGCCTGGCGAGAAGGTGTCGAAAGTTAAACCGCGGCCGAGGCTAGCGATTGACGGCGGCATTAGGAAACCAAAGGCCCTCCCGCCTAGCGTAGTATCTGTGACTGGTGTTGCTCCCAGCTCTGCCGCATCGTTAGGAAGGCTTCCCACTGGAATTCAGTGGCACACTACGTGGAGCGGGGCCTCCAAGAGCGTGTTCGGTGGATGCTTCAGGGTTTACACCAAGGTCAAGCATGATGGAGTCTCGCGGATTATCTTTGAGAATGTCACTGCTGAAAAAAACGGGAACGATCTGCGGCTAGCTCTGCTCGAGGCTAAGGCTATTCTCCAGAGGATGAAGGACGAGCCGGGCCCCTTCTTGGCCTCTCGAGCAGCATGGAGAGAGAAGCGGCGAATCAATGCAGCAACCAAGCACGATGGCGCGCCGAGAGCTTCTGGAGATCTGTCCACTAAACCGACTAAGAGGAGGAAATAAGGAGTGCTTTAGAGAGCGGCGCGTCCCTTGAATAGTCGCCAGTAGAAGTGGGTATGACTTTGACCGAAGCGCAAGTAGGTAGATAAAACAAGCAGTCTAAACTGTTAACGAGGTAAAAGTTTCAGAAAGTGGCTAAATGAGTAGTAAACAGAGTCAAGGGAGTAAGTTAGCTTTGAAGTGAGTAAGTCAGCGCTGAACCGTTCAAGAACAGTAAGCAGTGTCTTTATTACGGAACTTTGCCAATAAAGAATAAAAGAGCTGCCGCTTTTTTATTTTTCTACTTTTCTAGTCGTTAATTGGTAATTGTCTCTATTGAGTTGGTCGCTCTGCGGCAGATTCAGTCTTTCTCGTTTACTCAGTTTCTCAGGTACTCAGTTGTTCCAAGTAGAAGCTGTCCTTCCTTTATTTAAATTTTTGACTTTGTGTTTACTGATTCGTCTTGCAATACAAGTGGTGATAAGTAGTAGTCTTGCTTCTAGGTAGTGCCTACAGTCCCTTCAATCTATAGTTTTTAGTGTGTGACATTGAGCTGTGTACTTTTCTTTCAGTTATTTGTGCTTATCCTTCCTGAGCTTCCGCCCTGCTGGGTGTCTGTTTTAAATATTAGCTTTCTTTCTTCTTGCCGTTACCTAGTGGCCTCAGCTATCTAAGTAATTGTGGTTCACTTACTGCTGTGACTAACTTGAGTAGGTAGTTGACTGGTTGGCTTGTATCCTAAGGTGAAGTTAGCCTGGTAGTCCGGTAGCAGTTAGTGGTAGGTGGTAGGTGGTTGCTAAGAAAGTTCTTCAAGTTGTTTCTTCTGTGTGGTGAGTCCTTCATGCTGACTCCCTCCACTCTGTTGATTGCGAAACGTACTGTGCCCCTTTTGGTGGCCAGAAAACTTTTTTTCTGAAATCTCCAAATCCAAATCCAAATCTCTGTTGTGAGTGAGAGTACTAAGAGTTGGAGCCTCTCCCAGATTGGCGCTGGATGAGTTGGGAGTGAGTTATTTTTTGTCTTGTTGTCAACTACAACAGGGAGGTGCATGAGAATGATCATTTGATAATTCAATTTCAACTACAGGTCGTTTTTCGGTGTTTTAAATTTAATGATGCTTGCATCACTTTAGCTTTATTCTCGTTGCATCTTATCCTCCTTGTTACTTGACCGAAATTTTCACTTCGCTATCGCTTTACATGATTTGATGTCTTGAGGATGTACTCTGTCTTCCTGGCACGTAATAAGTACTCTATCAAAGAGACTATGATGTGGACGTCGGTTCACGTAGTTGATTTACTAGAGGTTGCATGGGTGTGAGAGAACCGAGTGAATTTGATGCATCGAATATTAATATCATGAGGGCTAGGGCCCGAGTAACTAGAATATGATCAGTGACTGCGGCACCGCCGATGAACATTGACTAATAAAAGAAGGCACTTTCCTCGCTTTCGCATGGTGCTACCTGCCCAGATGTCTCCTAGATCTATCACGCGCCAAGCAGTCGCTGTTACAAATACTTTTCGCCCGATGACGAAGATGAAACCGACAGTCTGAACTACGACGCCAGTGCTTTGAGGACCATCTTGAAAGCTGGCAACGGGATTAGAGGATGAAGACGATCAACAAAACTACGGAGTCGGCTGGAGCTTCGTGGAGTGTCAACTTTTCATTTGTGGAAGTGCTACTTTCAATCCGGGTACAACAGGACCAACGACCGCCGTCACTTCTTTTAAGGCTACAACCGCCAAAGCATCCTCGGCGTGAATCATCGACCTCGGCCTCTTTATCAACGGGAAAAAGGGTCCAGCGGAGATGCTCGCGAGAATGCGGCTGCGGGGGCTCTAATTCTTGGGCAGAGAATGAAGACTTCCTGTGGCATTCCGTTATCAATGCCGCGCATCGATTCAACAATATGGAGCGAAAATTTATGTGTGCTGGCCCAGTGAAACACACTCTTTCAAAGGATCTCCATTTGCGGCACTGGCTAGGATTGTATCGCAGAAGGGAGAAAAGTGGAGACGACCGTGTCTGGTTCGGGTTCGAGGCGACTACTACATCCCCAAGTGCCTCCAATACAGCTTCTAGTGTAGCCGCAGCCGGCACAACTGGAACTACTGCTGGCTCGGGAGGTGGATCGTCCATGTCCAGCAACACTGTGGCTTGCATGGATGCTCGTTCGAGATTGCAAGATCCAAAATCTTCATCGGAGTCCCTTCCTTGGGCTCGGACTCGGTACGAACCGGATAATCGGGAGGATGGCACCATCGACATCGAGAAACTCAGTTATCCGAGAGCTCGAAACTGTCACGACTGTAGCTACGCGATGCAGAAGCAAGAGGACGCCGAAATTTTGTGGTACGACACTGATTGATGTCATCGGAATCTGCCATGCCTGTGTCAAACCAACGTGCAAGTGAACTCCGCTTTTGCAAGTGATGGAGGAGACCTCGCGAGAATATCGAAAGACAAAACAAGAGTGACGTTCTTACAAAAGCTGTAGGAGAAGAGGCCGTGTGGACGACCTTGAAGCAACCGCGCGCTATGGGATTGGCAATCGTCTGGTTACTATGCGGAATTTGGTATGGGGTTTTCTTTCATTACTGTTACAGACGGCGGGGGCGGACGCACGTGCTGCGAGCGATGGCGGAAGCCGAGGTTGTCGCGATGAGCAGTCGTTTAGGTCAACAACCCCGTATCACCATGGACGAGGTTGAACCATCAAAGAGCACCGAAAGTGTAGAGATGAACGTAAAATCAAAAGTCGCTCCCATGTATGAGTTCTTTAGACTCCAGGAGCAGATGAACTTAAAGCTTCTAAAAATGAGACTGATGATTGATGAAGAAGGGACAACAAGTCGCTCGTCGTCGCCTCTAGTGATGCTAAAGCCAATGCCTCGGGAAGAAGAACTGCTGCCCAATTATGTGCTATGCTTCCGGGTTTTCTTCATGCTCAACACCGCAGAATCGGGTGAGTGCCTGCAGGAACAAGTAAAGGAATTTCGATCTGCCTATAAGCGGGTGCAGAAAAGCGACTTCTTTTCCATTCCCGAAAAAACACCAAAAAGACCAGAGGGAGATAAAAGTGAAGGGCATTTTGACAACACCAACAAAGAGTCAGATGTTGCCTTATACGACGAGCACGAGAAGAAGACAAATAAGCCGGATCGTGCGCCGGCAGGAGGTAAAGGACGTCAGCAGCAGGAGGAGGCAGCCTTTCGCGGAAGAGAACAAGAGCAATAGCTGCAGATTTACACCCTGGAACCAAAGAGCGAGGATTATATGGCCGATGTTGGTATCGACGATGTAGAACGAAACCAGTCCTGTTTGAAATGGATAAGCGATTACATAGGAAGGTGCTGTTCTTGCAGGAGCTGCTGTCCAAGTCCTTCGTGGAACACACTTGTGCGCTTTCTTTGGCGCTTAGGTGACACTATATGTTGCCTTTTGTTGTTTTACGACATTGGGATCTACCACGGCGGTCCGCCGGCTCTCACGTGGGCCCGCTCAAGCTTCTTTCTGGTGTTCAACGTCATGAATGTTTGTCTCCTGCATCTTTTTTTGTGCGACATTTGAGTATTCCATGTGAGTCACTTCCTCGTTTTACTTGCCTTGATGCGGGACACACTTGGTGAACATGATTTTCAGAAGCTGAAAGACAAGTACTATCACAGGTTCATTATCGGAACTTTCGTCTCCTTCATCATTTGCTGCGGCTTACCGATTGCGAATGGTAAGCGCCCTCCGCCGGGGCTAGGCATTGCATGGGGATTTATTCCGGTGGTCTCAACATCAACATCTTTTCTCTTCATTACCCCGCCAGTGTACGTTGTCTTCCTCGTCGATTTTTTCTCGCATTGCCACTTAACGTACGCTCGAAAATGCAGAGAAGAGATCATGCAGGTCGTACACGAGATCATGTTCGGAAGCGCGGCGCAGTTGTCCCGCATTAGGGATACAACAGAGGAGATGACGAAAACGCAAGACCAATAGGTATCAAACGCGCAGGACTTGGTCGTGGAGAATAAAGAAGAAAGCCCTTCTCCGGCAACATCAATACTACATCAAAGTGGGGAACCGGAGCAGGGTGGAGATGTTTCCCTTAGTACTCCTGCCAAAATAAATGGCGCAAGCGCAACTGTCTCTACGAAAATCAAGCTGAGGAACTAACTTCCACTTTTTTATATGAATCAATCCTCGCGTCGCAATAGAGAGAAACTCCAGCGGCTCGCCCAGACGCTTCGCACGTTCGATCGCACGCAGCAGCAGTTGTTTGCGAGAACCTTGAAGCTGTCGGGAACAGCCTTCGGCGCACCCTTGTTCTCGTGTTCTGTGGTCGCTCTGCAACTTGCTCTTCCTTAGCGGATCACCGATCTCTTCTATCACCGCAATCTGTCTCTACATTGTGTACCGGTACTTGAGTTCGCTCGCACGTCTGGGCGAAGAGATCGAGCTGCTGATATCGCAGGTCAGGCTGACGGCAAATGCAACCATTAGGCCAGACTTTGAAGTTCCGTCGTCAAGTAGTCCTTCTGGTGGACGAACAATGATCGATGACGCCGATATGGCGTCCTCCGTTCAAGGAGGTTCATCTGGGGTGCCCACTCTTGTGCGAAGAAGAAAGCATGGTAGCACCAGCTCGCTTGATGACGCAGGTGGTGGAGGTGGAGAAGACTCAGGAGGAGGATCGACTTCGAAAAACGCTAGCCAAAGAGTCGCCCAAGAAATCATGCGCACTACATCTCCCTCGTCGTCTTTGAGCCAGACCATGCAAGATCTTGCATTACTGCACATACTACTGGATCACTCGGCAGCTTACTTCTCGGACTGGCGAGTTGGCGAGAAGGAGAAACACTGCTGGAGCTTACTCGGGACTGTGTTGACGCCTGACATCGTGCGACAAGCAGTTGCATTCGTCATCGTTTCAGCAGCGTTTGCGATTTTCCCTGTTGTAATCGAAGGAGGGATTTCGGGTGGAACTTGACCTCTGTAAATGGTCGACTCAAGTCAGATGAGATAAAAATCTTTACAACTCTATTTTGTTTGACAAAACACTTTCTAATATTTCTTGGTACAATACTGCCACTGAATACAGCCATCTTCATGAGACGAACCTCTCAGCTCCAGGTGCTGCTGCTCCGTGCATTCTTCCACCAGAAAGTGTTTAGCAGCAGTAGACGAACAGGAACAAAGTCGACAGAGCAGAGGAAAGAGGCTAATGTGGGTTCTTACACTTCCTGCTGTCGCAGCTCTGTGTAAGTAAGTAAACATCTGCGAGATGGATGAGAGATGATGTCGTGGTCGTCGTGGTCTCATCGAAAGTGAAGTATTCTGTCAGAGACTGTCTTGAAGCCTCATCGTCATCGTTTCTTGCACATTAGTTACTCACAAAATATCACCGTAAAAACAAGTGTTGTCCATCACGGAGGCGCCAAGTCATCTCGGAGGCGTTTCGGTCGAAGCATAATAGTACTCGGTAAAGTCGGTACTAAAACTTAACACGTACTAGTGCATCTGCGAGAAATAACGCACAGAAATTATACTTGTGATATTGGTGCATGTGCAATTATGTGCATCATGATTCGCAAAATGGAAGGAGCATCTAAGTCTAACAAAAAAATCGAAGAAGGAATTGCTCGAGCTCGGAGTGGCCACTGAAAAGCTTGCGCCGGCTCAGATTACTGACCTAGACCGCGTACTTGAACTTGCCGAAGAAGGACGGTTGTCTGTGTAATGTTAATTTCTCGCTTCACTCCTGTGAAGCCTTCACATGATACAAAACATTATCCATAGGTGCCATTGAAGACCCCGACCCACAGCCACATATTTTTTACCCGCGCAAACAGAAACACAATCATCATGTTCGTGTTCCCGGTTGTTCCGAAAAATACTCTCACTCAGCGGGAGGTGTGCGCGGGGGAAGTCGTATCCGAGGACCTTTTTGATCGGTCCCATTCGTCTCGCAAGCAGTTCAAGCCTTTCACAGCGGCATGGCAGGTTATAGTTGGAAAGCAAATGCTGCGAAGAGGAGAAGCCAAAGCCACGTGCGACGGAGAAATCATCTAGCGATGTCTTGCGAGCAGCAGTGTGTAATGGGTTTAGTAACGACGCAGACCGCGGAACACGTAGAGGTAGATCTTCGTCACATGATTAAATAATGTTGTCCTGGTGGGTCCTACACGCCGATCGAACAAGACCAGTGGTTGTAGCTGAAACATGAAGTCCACCACGGAGCAGCTTCCGCACAGTTCTTCTGCGGATGCAGGAAGCCGCTTGAACTATGCTGGATGGGGGGTGGACGCATCAACTCTGACTTTGAGGCCTACCACACCAGGAGTAAACGGTGCAAGAACGGCTGGAACTCCAAAAACTCCATTGGCAATGAGGGCCCGCCTCACCCCAGGAGCGGGTGGAGGGGCGGGAACAGTCGCGCCATCCCCGCTGGTGCCGCAGCAGAGAGGACAGCAAAATGTTATGTCAATGATTTCGTCCATCCCAGTGTGGTACTTACTTACGTTTAATATGTATGAGCTTCACCAGCTAGCGCTATAATCGCTACAAGATCAAGAACAAGTACAACTAGGCACTTTGGACTTCTCCTGATACTTGCCCCACCACAATTCACAGTGCTGAAGGAAGTGAAGATTCTAAGACCACTGCGACTCCCGGCAGGTGTGGGGAGCCAGATCAGCAGTCGGATTCTTCATCTGATGGCCCTGAACCGTTAGAGTGGCCAGATGAGTTGAAGGCTCTTCCGCTCATGCGCGCACACGAACAACCACTCGTAGCGAGATCCGCTCTACCCTGGCCTGCGCCGGCATTGCGCAAGATGGATATACCTGAGTGGGAGCTGGACCCCTCGGCTGTTTTTCCACTCCTTTATGCATGGGCGACGTGTAACCTGATGTGATTTGGATGCATTCAAATGGATTTGGATTTGTTCTTGAACTTGAATCCGATAAACTTCGAATTCGATAAGGTGCTTGTGGTCTTCGTGATCTTCATCATTCTCTTTAACAGTTTTCCATCGATTGTCAGACACGACAGAAACGGAATTGTCTTCGACGTCTGTCTCCTGTAGTTGTTCTTTTTTGGCTTCATGCTGCTTGCTGAATAAGATTATAGGTAGAAGTTCTTCAACTCGAGTAGGAGGAGTTTATCTGTCTTCATGTGAACCTTGACTTTTCGTTCCTCTAAGTCGTTGACGAGATTCACAAGGACTCCGGTCATTCGCAGTTCGTTGAGCGAGTAAAGGAGCTCGTTGGCGCCAGCGATTCGAGCACAGGAGGAGGAGGAACTGTTGCTGGCGGGGATCATTTTCTTGGTTCAGTCTCCTACACTTTCACTCATACAAATACAGCTGGTGGAGCGGATCATACATTTTCGCCATTGTCGCCCAAGCACGCGCGGTCGCCAACCGATCTGGTAGGTCTTGAGGACGTCGGTCCCGCGTCTCTTCAAGCGGGTGTGGTGGTTTACATCCGGCCTGGCACGATGTCGCACCTTCTACCGAATCGGTACGTGGACCTAATGCAGCTGACCCAGGGCGCAGACGGGGAGGTCGAGGAGCTTTGCGTGCCTCTGATTGAGCCCCAGAGTGCAGCGGGGCGCAAACTGTGGATCTCCTCGAACTTGGCGTTCTCTGGTGCACAGGCTCTGGCGGATTCGCAACCGGAGAGCGCCCTCGCGGGATGTCGCGCGTCTTTGACGGAGTCCCCCTCAACTTTGGAACAGAAGCGAAACAAACAAAAATGCAGAATCGATGCTTTGCTGTACGCACAAGAGAGAGGAGGCGATAACTCAGACCCGGAAGTGGATGCTTACTCATCGCCATCGCTCTTCGGAAAGCTGAATGTCGTTGAAAAAGCGGCACAAGCAGACAGGTTGTCGAATTCTTCAACTTCAGCAGGTGCCGCGAGCAGCTCCTCCTCGAGTTCGATCTTCCCTGGTGAAAGCCTAGGCATTCCGCGAAACGTGCTGGACCGCCTGAAAGCAAACAACAGGCCCGTTTCGGCACAGGCGACAGGTAAACGCGGCAGGTCCATGATGGAATCGCACCACTGGATGGATCGCGAGGATCGCCCAAAGCCTCAGCGGCCCTCTACGGCTGGCGGAAACATGACACCGCAAAGCTCGTCAGGTGGTGGCGCTTTTGGCCTCGGCAATGGAACAGCTTCGAGTGCAACACCAGGAGGTCGTGCAGCAGGAGGGGACAAAACAGTGTCGGAGATTTTAGCTGGACACAGCGATATCTACACATCGACCTCGCCAAAAAATACGAGTCCGCTTCGCAACACGACAGCGAATCGAAGGAGAAACTCCACATCTGAAGTTGACCGTCTCCTTGCCTTCGATTCCCATTTTGAGTCTGGAAATTTGGCCGCGGCAGTGCTCTCACTGGTTCCAGGATGTGGTTCTGGCACACACGTCATACCGAAGTACGAACTCATCCTTGACGAGGATACGAACAGCAATGGAAATACGCAATGGTTCTTCTTCGCAGTCCGGAATGCACTAGCTGGAGAGGTATATCGTTGTAACTTTGTTTTTGAGACTTCTGATTTCATGACCCTCGTCCATCATCTTGTAGTTGGAGATGGACGAGGTTATGCAGATGGCAAAGATCATAGAAAAGATTTTCATCAACATTCTTCATGATCTCGACCTCCCAAAAACTTCAGACCATCGATTTTTCGATCGTGAACCTTGGGAAGCAGGATTCGTTGTACAAGCAGGGAATGCGTCCACTTTGCTATTCGCAACGCACTGCCGAGAGCAAGAAGCGTGAGGTTGACCACCTTCGACGGAAAGCCGAGCAAGAGGCCGCAAGCGGAACCGGAGCTGGGAAAGGCGGCGCCGGAAACTCGAATGGCGCGCGGCCAAACAGCTCTGTTGGTGCGAGAGGCGGCGCGGTTGGCTGGCACCGCAACTTTCGCAAGTCGTCTGGAAGTATTTGGCACTCCGCGGTTGGACAGCTGCTACAGCGCACGAAGACGGTTGGCGGCGGTACGAGCAAAAGCCGCCGTGCAGAGGCAGACAACGCGGCACAAAACGAACAAACTATCCAAGAAATCTGCAACCTGCCTGACACCGGGCCTGTGCCTCTGTGCGGGTGGACAAGGTGCGGAGAGAAAGTGACCTACGAATCTGCCCACATCACAAAGAAACAGATACGGACGAAACTCCACAAGCTACGCACCGGGGACTACATTGGTGTAGAACTCCTCAGTGACGACATATTGTGGAAATACGCAACACCGGATAGCAACTTCGTCACGGGACAGGCGTACATAGAGGGTCCAGCTGCTGGAGGCATGTCATTTGGAGCCGAGGGAGCAAATTCGTCAGGTACGACCTCTTTTCAGTTACGGTTACCGTTTATCGTTGGATTCCAACGGTTGGAACAGCAATACCGATGAATATACAAGAACTTGAACTTTTGTATAATTTGTACGACGTGAGGACGTGAGGTGCCAGCTCGTCTGGTGGTGCCTGTTGTAGGTGTTGTAGATCTGTCTTGCACCTGATCGTGCTGCGTATGTATTTTGCTTTTGTCTCGCAGATCATAGTGTGTGTCTTTGTCTTAGGATATTCGAATCATGATTTCTCCCTGCCCAGTTGTTATTGTTATTGTTTCACGACCTACAGAGGGGGAATCTCGCGAGGACGCTGGTAGCGCTGACCGTCGCGTTCTGCAGAGGCTGAATTTTCGCTACACTTTCCAGCACGACAACGACACCGTTTACTTTGCGTACACCTATCCGTACACGTTCACGCGCCTGAATCGATTCCTCGAATCACTGAGCAAGGAGACTTCGTACACCACAATGCTGTGTCGTACTTTGAGTCACAACTGGGTTGACGTTGTCACCGTCACCGATCGATCCAAGCCGTCTAAGGGAAAATCCGTCATTTTTGTCACTGCTCGGGTACATCCTGGGGAAACGCCAGCGAGTTACATCATGGAAGGCTTCCTCAAGTTCCTCACGCATCCACATGTACTAAGTTTCTATGGCTCCTGGGAAGTCGAACATGATGAAATGTTTTGGAGATGAAGGTTCTCAAAACCAACGACAGCAGTGTCGTGGCATGAATTATGCAGATCATGATCATAGTAGATACATTTTATAGCAGGGGTAGAGTCATGATAATCTTGCTCTTCACGACTTATTAACTTCTAGATCGGTAGCTGTCTTACGTGTGTCATCGGTTTCGATGTTGTGACGCCTCGAATTTTTATCATACTTCTACTAATTTCTGTTACAACATGTACTATTAGAAAAATCGTAATTTGATTATCTAGTTTAATCTTAACCTTCCTTTCCCCTCCAACCATTGTAGGACAATCATCTTTCAACGCCACCCATAGGAAAACAATGATGAAAACAAAAATGGCGCTTCTCTGTATAGTGAAAGCTATACTTGCGCTTCTCTGCTGTTGCATCATGTTCTGAGTTCTAGGCTCAGAAAGATTCTGTTCGTTTGAGAACATACCAAGTTCTTTGGTATTCCTAGGTCCGCCTCACTGTCACAACATGAACACATCACTATCAGGATAAGCGTGCCGCGGAATTGCGTAAGTACTTCATTTTCAAGTGCGTGCCGATGTTAAATCCGGATGGTGTGGTTTGCGGCAATTACCGGACAAGCCTTGTCGGCTGTGATCTTAACCGGCGATGGCGACACGACTCCAAGACTCTACATCCGAGTATTTGGTACACCAAGCGACTCTTGAAGCGGCTGCACAAGGATTTCGGGAACGTATGCTGCTTTGTCGACCTGCACGGCCATTCCCGACGCTTGGGCTGGTTCACCTACGGATGCACGACGCAAGATATGGGTACAGCTTACAACATTTCTCATAGTTAGACGACTGTATGAGAAAATATTAAAGAGCTAAAAAAAAATTCTACAACAACCCCTCCGAACTCTCACTCTCCCACTTCCAAACCCCAAACCCATGAGCTTACGAATTTACGAATTTATGAATTGATGAATTTATGAAATGTGCTTGCGCGAGATGCGTCCATAAGTTCATAAGTTCATAAATGTGCGAATTTATGAGTTTACGAATTTAAGAGCTTAGGAATTTAAGAATTTAGGAATTTGCGCATTTGTGTATTTATGTATTTATGAATTTAAATTCCAGGGAAAGCGCTTAAAATCAAAAATTTTGGGATGTTGCCCCTTCGTACTCGCAGAATTCAACCCCAAAACGACGAAAAAAGGCAAAAAATTTTAGAAATTTGAAAAACGCGAACGCAAGAGGATGGAGCTGAGGCAAAGGGCTTAAAGTCAAAAACTTTGGGATCTTGGCGGTTCACAATCGCGGAACTGAATCCCAAAACTACGCAAAAAAAGCTGAAAGTTTTCGAAATTTGAAAAACGCGAAGCCAAGTAATTTAATTTCAGGGAGGCAATGGCTTAAAGTCAAAAACTTTGGGACGCACCGAATTGAGTTCCAAAACGGCGGCAAAATGTGGAAAATTTTCGAAATTTGAAGAATGCAAATCCAAGAGATTGAACTTCAGAGAAGGGGCCGAAAGTCAAAAACTTTGGGGCTTTAGCTCTTCACACTCGCGGAATTCAGTCCCAAAACGATGCGAAAACGTGGAAAATTTTCGAAATTTGAAGGACTCAAATCCAAGAAATTGAATCTCAGAGAAAGCGCCTAAAGTCAAAAGCTTTGGGATCTTAGCACTTCACACTCGCAGAATTCAATCGCAAAACGACGACAAAACGTGGAAAATTTTCGAAATTTGAAAAACGGAAATCCAAGAGATTGAATCTCAGGGAAAGGGCTTAAAGTTAAAAGCTTTGGGGCCTTAGCACTTCAAACGCACAGAATTCAATCCCAAAACGAGGACAAAACGTGGAAAATTTTCGAAATTCGAAGAACGCTAATCCAGGCAATTGATTTGAATCCCAGGGAAAGGCCTCAAAATCGAAAATTTTGGGATCTTAGCCCTCAAACTTACGAGATTCAAGCTCACCACGACGAAAAAACGTGGAAAATTTTCGAAATTTAAACGCGAAGCCAAGAGATTGAATCTCAGGGAAAGGGCTTAAAGTCAAAAACTTTGGGACTTTAGCACTTCAAACGCACAGAATTCAACCCCAAAATTGCGACAAAATTTGGAAAATTTTCGAAATTTGAAGCATGCAAATGCAAGGCATTGAATCTCAGAGAAAGGGCCCAAAGTCCAAAGCTTTGGGATCTTAGCACTTCAAACGCATGAGATTCAATCCCCAAACGAAGACAAAACGTGGAAAATTTTCCAAATTTGGAAAGCGCGCATCAGTTACATCTTTGCCGTGCTTAGTTTCTTATTTTGGGGAGGAGGGGGATCTTAGTGGGAGGGATGTTATCGGACGCTCCAAGCTAGTAGGATTAATCTTGCGGATGTGGATGCTGGTGCTGCTCCCGTGGGCCTTTTTGGAAATCAATGACTTACTACATCTACATCATTTACGAGGAACATTAAAAAAATATATTGAAGATTTCAATCTCTTTTCCTTTTCGTCATCCTCAAGCACTTGCACTTACGACTACAATTTGATATTTCCTCCTCCACCAATATCTTCCTCCAGGTAGTGGAAATAGCCGCGATCCCCGACTACTGCCTTTTGCGCTGCGAAGAGTAAGCAACACATTCTCCTTGCAGAATTCGAACTTCGCGATGCCGGCTTGCAAGGACACAACAGCTCGCGTAACAGTTGCAACAGAGTTGGATGTGCTCGCTTACACAGTCGAGGCAAGTCTTGGCGGTGGTTGCAAAAGACCAGAGCACGGGGAACCAGGTACAACGATTTTTTCAACAAAGTTTAATCTACCTTGCCAGAATGGCCTTTAATATTGTGTGATAGAAGATGTGACAAGAATAAGCTGTGATTGTGAAGATACAAAATCTGGATGTCACTACGACGAGATGGCAGATGGACACACTCACACTTTTCCTCATTCTCATCCATTTTTCCAGACTTCGCGCGACAGAACGTACATTTTACTGCATCCGACTACGTCCGAATGGGTGTGGATCTTGCGCTTAACTTTTTGACGAGAATACCCAAGCAGCAGAAGACCACTGGGCCTAAGCCAGTCGTTCGCAGACGCATAAAGCAGATGACTAGTTCGGGTGGTGTAGTGACTGAGGTAGACGGCGACGAGGAAGGAAACACCTCAGAAAACCAAACTAGTGGCATCAAAGCCGCGGGTGGCAAAAAAAGTAAAGGAAGGAAAATATCGGGCATTTTTTCCGGCGAACCTGCAGGTAGTGGTAGTGTGACTGCAACCGCTGAAGATGCAAGTGGCAGCGCGAATGCTGCTGGAGGTCTCTCAACACAACCATTTTCGCAAATCTTAGATCCAGCTGCGTTTATGGATCCGACAGACGCCACGAATAGTAAACAACACGCCGACCATGGTAGCGCAAGTATAATTCCCGCAGTTACTAAGAACGCTCTAGTAGGTGGAGGTGCAGCCGTACCGACCAGTTCAGAACCGACTTCCGAAGTTGAACGTGCCGGGCCCAATAGTGAAGTCGAAACGGTTGACCAATCACTGGTGCTTAGCGGAGAAGAAGGAACGGGGGCGCGGCAGGAAAAAGGAACGTTTTTTGATCCTCAGGATCCCAATAGTGATTTGTATCACGCCGCTCGCAAACCGTTCGATGGACATGCGTCTTTGGATAGCAACGCTTCTGGTGGTGGGATCTTCGGCGCCGCAAATATTTTAGGCCAATCGTTACACTCAACAACGATTCTGGATACAAAAGTCTTATCCGGTATACTAGGTGGAGCAGGTGATGATCTTCATAGAAAGGGCACCACCAGCCTCGACGCAAGCATGAAGACGCTTCGATTGCTGAACGAAGATGAAGAGCATGGAGGCCGAAGCCGAGCGCAAAGCGGCGGCCACGAGATCGAGGAGGATCAGCTTGACGGCTTCGCTGCCGCTGAGGCAGACAGTGCAACGAGTGATGAGAAGCAGGTTTTCGTCATGCCCGCAGAGGAAGTGGACTTTGATTTCGGTCAACTAGAGGAGGAGCTCGGCCACGAGGTCGCGAACGTGCTAGGCATGTCCACGCACTTGAGCGCCAGCGCATCGGGCGGACCGGCCGGGTTGGGCCTCTCGGTTAGTGGTGCCGGCGCATCGTGCACCGTGCCAGGCCATGACTCCGAGTCGGACCCGGACGTACAAAGTGAACACGAGGAGGAAGACGAATTTCTGAATCGAAAGCGACAGCGCGAGGCTGAACAGGCAAAGCTAGCAGAGGAGCGCGCTCCACGTGGGGAAGCTTCAGGGAAAAAGCGAAAGCGCAAACGCAAAAAGCCACAGATAGTGCGAGCCCGTTACATGGAAGCCTACGAGCAGGGGCGGAAGCAGTCGGGCCAGCAAGTACGATTACCCTCGCCCGCAGAGGTTGTTTTGGAACAAGGCGGTGAAGTCATTTTTTCCGATGGCCGAGTGGCACAACCTAGTAGAGGTGCAGCAACAGCGTCTTCGAATTCCACAACAACCACACCAGGAGGAGTTAGCAAAGCCGGGGATAGTGGAGACGCTTTGTCGGTGTCTACGACTTCGTCAGTGGCGACTAAGGTGGGCGCACCGTCAGCAACAGGAGCAGGAGGAGGACCTTCGGGATCAGGATCAGGACCTTCCGGGCTTTTCTCAGCGTCGACGGGTGTCTCGGGTGGTACGCCGGCCACACCAACGCCAGTGCCTATCCGGACGTATGAGCCTTCCCTTCGAGGGACTATCGTTCTCGGCGGGTCGTCAGGCAGTCAAGGACGACCCTCGTTGGCGAAGCGACGTGGTGACACCAAGCGTGGCAAAGATCCGACTCATCAAGTCGTGCACCTCGTTCCAACGACACAGTCACTGACTGGTCCACAAGCACTGCAGCAATCGGGAGGTCATCTCGGTGCAGCAGGCCAATTGATCGGTTCGCATCCTCCAGCTCTAGTGGATACACACACTGGAACATCCTCATCGTCATCAAGCATCAATAAGATCGGCAATTTCAGCGGGAACCAGCAGCAAATCATACCGACGCTGAGTCCGCCGCCGTTGCCACCGAGCGCAACGTTGCCGCCAAGCGCAGCAGCGACCACGCGAGGATCCTCGTCTGGCCCCACCAGTGGTTATGCCGCATCATCGGCAACCCCTCCAAGCAGTAAATGGTCGTCCGCAGCCACAATAAACGCTGCTGGTACAACGAGTAAAGGTTGGGGTCCGTTTTCAATGACACCAGGAAAAACTAAGGCGGGGCCGTTACCTCTTGCGACGCTAGGCGTGGGCGTCGACCAGCTGACTGCTTCGTCCGCATCTGGAGACAGCAAGGCCGGCCTTTCCCCCTCGAAGATGATCATCAATGGCAAAGCCGCAGGAACAAAACAACAGCAAGAGCCGGCTGATGACGAGCTTCAGATAACAAGGGAGCAGGTTGTCGCGACTGCGACTTCAGCTCTACTCAGTTCAGGAGATGAGAGAGCTTTGCCAGAACGCGTGGTATTCGGTGGTCTCGATCCAGCGAAGTTACTGGACATGCAGCAGCTTCGAAGCGCCGGCTTCGCACCGACCTTCGACTCTGAAAGCGGATGCGACGTAGCCACGGAAACAGATGCTGAGCGTGATGCTCTGTTGAAGTCGAACTGCAGCGCTTCTTCGCGTGCAGAGACCGATGTGGGCAAAGTGGCCAGTGCTGCGCTCTCAGCAGTTTCATCAAGTTCAACTAACCCGGTGAGGCGCCAACGCAGCAGAACACCTGGAGAGCAAGTGGAACTGGACGTAAATTCGGCAGCCGAAATGGCAATGAACCCTTTGATGCGTGGAAGTGGAGAAGTAGAGACGCCTACAGGAAGCAGCAAAAAGCGGATCTTGATAGAACAAGAAGAAGAGAGCGATGTCAGTCACAGTGTGGACATGACTGCCTCCACTCGCCCAACAACATCCTCAAGTTCCGCTTCTTCGTGCACTGCGGGAGATCAACCACAACCCCAGGGTATAAATACCAGAGGTCTAGTCGCGAGAACCGCAAAACGGGCACAAGAGGATACATCAAACAATAACTTCATCTCCCTCGCGTTTTCCACGCCGGGTGAGATTGAAGCTCATCTTGCCTCCAAACAACGGATTGGCAGTGGCATCATAACGCGTCCCACATCAACGCGAAGGCGCAGTAGCAGCGGCGCGTCGTCCGTTGCCTCGTCAGGTGGCGGCGCTGCCTCTGCTGGGCCTTCATCTGCATCATCGAGTTGTAGCGGCGCTACTTCCTCAACAACAACGCAACTGTTGGCCAAGCAGTTGCGCACGGTTGTTCCTGGGGACCCCTCAGCAGAGCGCAAGCAGCCCAAGAGTGGCACGCCGTTGCTCCTGATCGAAAATCACCGGCCTGAGCACATCCACAGCATGCAGATGAGTGCCGGTGGGGGAGAGCTGCTCGGAGGGTCAACGGGGGCGGCTTCGAACTCCATCAGCGACGCAGAGCAAGTACATCAGCCCGGTGGCCGCGATGCACTTCTTGAAAGCGGAGCTACTAGCGCGGCTGAAAGGGCAGCGGCTGCGAGTTCATCGACTTCCGGCGAAGAAGGCGGCTACGGCACAGTGGGCCTAGACCGAAAGCATTTTTTGTCCGTTCATCATGACCCCGGTCGTGGTGAGGCTGATGGCGCAGGCGCTAAGGACGTAGTCGACCAAGCCTTGTCAAAGTTGAATACTGCGATGCAGGATACTGCAGCGAACGCACAGAGCGGTAGTACCTCCAAAATGTCTGGGTCAACAACATCAAACGAAAAGAAAGACCACATCAAAGAAAACATCGAGCGGGTGCGAAATTTTCCACTGCGACAGAAACAGTGTGCGAATTTGAGTGCAGTAGCCTCGCAGTACGGAGGATCGGAGAGCGTGAATAAGGATCCTGCGACGAGCAGTCCTAAAAGCAAATATGAAGGCAGAGAGTCAGCTAATCCAAACCTTGTTGTGTATCCCGCACCTGCAACGGAAGCCTCAAGTTCACAAACAGGCGAGAGGTGGCTCGCCTCGACTTCGTACGCCAACTCAGCCAAGCTTCCGTTTTCGCGTAGTATTGGTGCGAAGCCCGCAGAGTGTGAAGGGCGTGTGGCTCCTGGAGACGCGGAAGGGAAAGGCGCCGCAACCACGGACAGCATTGTGTATGACGAGGGCGTAGTGGACGGCGGATCTTTGATGCTGCCTACCACATCTTCAGCAGTTGCCGCCCAGCCTACGACATCTGCCGCAACCGCCGCTCGTCCACTAACTTTGGGCGCCACTCCTTCACGTCCTCCTGGCATCGTTGCTGGCCCTCGGCCAGTTTTGTTGCGACCCGAGCTCGTGCATGCGGCACAGCCACAAGCGCCGAAGCAGCGGATGTTCACTTCTGTGCATGCACAGGCACGCAGTACGCAAGCCCTGAATCTGCAGGAACGCGCAGGCGGTAGTCGCCCGAGCACCGCTGGAGCGACATCTCAAGGAAAAGGAGCGAAGCGGCGCCCGAGCACATCCGGGAACACTAATTCACGTTCTAGCGGCCCACAACTTTTTGCACAGAGTGAAGATTTTTCTCAGGCGGAGGATGTCATGGGCACCCCGTTGTTTCCAATCGGAGCGGCAGCAGCACTAGACGTTGCCACCTTGCCCGGCGGCGCAATGGGAATTACCTCCCCCGTGCGACCTGTCAGCGCTGGTGCAACGGTAACCGCGGCTTCGTCCCGCGCAAAGACTGCAGCCGCAACTGTGGCTGCTGGTGCTGCAGCGCCCATGAATACGGTAGAACAGGGGATGGATGAAGAGGGAGGATTGCAAATTGTCAATCTGAACGCTCGTACAGGACGCGCCGGGGCAGGTGCAAACGGATCTTGGGCTACTCTCGACAGCTTTCTCGTGAAGCCGCCTACACCAGATAGCACGTTGTCCTCCAGTAATAGGGCCGCCATGATGGTTCTTGGGGCCGCTGGAGTAACCGGAAACGCGGTAGTGGGAGCCGCTGTTGGGAGCAGTCGTGGAGTGGGCACTTCTGCATCACCAAGACGAACGGGGCGCGTCAATCGTATCATTGCAGCTCGAATCGACAGCCGAAGACAGCGTCAAAAAGATGATCAAAAGACACAACTTGAAGAAGAGGTTGTCGTGATTGACCACGCCCCGGAAGCCGAACAACATTTTGCTCCGATGACAAACAAAATTGACGTAAACCTAGGAGAAGAGGTTGTGTTGGAAAAGGGTCCTGCCGAAGACGCTGTTGTAGGTGATGCCCTTCTAGTAGTTCTTCTTGGGGAAAACGTGAAAAATCAAGATTTTCAACCCGGATCAACTGAATTTCCGCCCGAGTCGAGTACTGCAGGAGGTCTAATGCCAGGCGTCAATAGCGTTGCTAGTAGTGTGCTTATCGGTACGCAACAACCGGGCCTGAAGTTTTTGACGCTCGCGGGCCCGCCAGTGGAGCTTGGTCAAAATGCTGGCGTGACTAATCGTCCCGGGCACAAGAACAAAGGCCGACCGGGGAAGCAGACGGGGAGTGTGTGGGAGACGGATAGCGTCAGTTCTCGACCGAAATCCAACTCGCCGCAGAAGCAAGGAGCATCCCCAAAGACCAGAAAGTCGCCTAACGCATGGGCGGGAAATATGACTTCTCCGCATTTACTAGTTCGTTCTGGACTGGGGGTCGAAGTGATGAAGACCACACGCGAATCGGCAGCAAGTGCTAAACACGCAGAAGATGGTCGTGGTAGTTCGCCTCTGAAAACCATGGCAACGACGCTGCCTGCAGGCTTCGTACCTCCTGTGACAACCAGCAGCAGCACCTCTGCTGTTGGTCGTACTTCGGATTCCCAAGCCGCTTCACCTGTAAAAGTAGAGGAGGGGAAGGTAAACGGTAACGGGCCAGTCGCGCAAACTCTAGGTGTCCAGCCAGTTGCGAGTTCCAAGACTGGAGATAGCGAGAGCGGTGTCGTCTTTTCAATAACTGCAGAAAGTAGTGCTAGCACCGAACAACAGCAACAGCAAGCACAAATAGAGCGGGATGCCTCCGCACCTTCAACGGGTACCGAAGCTGCTGGCGTCGTCGTGATGCAGCTGTCGGACGATCATGCCCTCGGCCTGAATCTAGTTGCACCAGCTGATAGCAAGTTTGGAAAGACGCCCTCGCCGAAGAAGAAGACACCAGGTGCAGGCTCTACCACGATGACAAGAAAGTTTAACATGACTGGAACCGCTGCCGTCTCCGGCGGCTCTTCTCCGTCCAAGAGGTCTCCATCGAAAGGCGACGTGAACTCTGTGCGTCCGAGCACGTCGCCAACCATAGGAGCCGTGGGCTTACTTAGCAGCCTGAAGGAAGAGGGCGGAACTGGCGAAAGTGGAGTTGAACATGACGAAGAGCTCCGTCAGCCTGAAATTTTCGGCAGCATCAAGCATCATATGCCAGCAAAAGGCGCGAAAGTTGAGAAGCTGGGCGATGGTATGTGGATCGAGGATACGAGTGTAAATATCACTACAACTACGTCTTCAAAAAAACTATCAGCGCTGAGGTCGGTCGTGAACCTGAGTAACGCTGCGAGTGGCGCCAGACCGGTGACACCGAACAATACAGGAGCTGTCGGATCAAGAGCATCTTCGTCCACACTATCTCGACAACACCAGAAGGGATTTTTGCCCTCACCGAATACGCTTCGCACGACAACATCGAGCATAATGCGAAATCTCGGCGCCAGGGGAACGCCTAGCCTAGTACCGAAACGCGGGAAAGAGCAGACCTTCCAGGTAGCAAGCCTGCAGTCGGTTTCGAAGCTCGGGCATTCGTCTTCTCTCGAGCTCAGTGAGGCTGAGCCGGTATTTGGTGTCGTAGTAAGCAAGACGGGTATACATGCTTCTGCTATTAAGAACGCGGCTCAACAGGATGCAGCGGGCTCGCCAATGCTTGCCGCGGACACGCAAGGCGCACTAGCTCTCTTGCGGGAAGCCTGTTCGCCGAAAAAGTTAGAGATCAAGTCGAGCCCCGTAGCGGCAGCATTATCAGGGAAGATCAGCGTGTCGGGCGCAGAGGTTACTTTTCCTGCGATGAAAAAAATGCTAGATGACATTGAACAAGCAGCACTGCCAAACGCAAGTGCAGCGGGGGTGGCGAGACCCAGCACGACTGGCCAATCTCCCCGAGGCGTGTCAGGTCATGGTATGCTAACCAAATCATCACCATCAGTCACGACGGGGGCCGTGCAAGCGGGTCTTGCAGCTTCGCCTCCCCCACCGCCATTTTCGAATGTCAATGTATCATCCAGCCGTGGTGAGTCTCCTTTACCCGCGAGCGCTGTGTTAGAAGGATCCGGGATGGGCATGCAACACGATGCCATCGCTATGACGAGCAAAATCGAATGTAGACGAAAGGCTTCTCCAGCGAGCGAAAAGAACCACTTGGCAGTTGTTCGGAGCTTGCGTGACAGTCGACATCCCTCGCCCAATAAATCCCCCGTAAAAACTACTTCTAGTGCAGCATCTTCTATCGGAGGAGCATCTTCGAGTTCTGCGGCTCCAAGCGCAAGCGCTCCCGGCAGAAGTGCAACTTCCACATCCGCATCATCGTCTAGTGCAAAAGCGCCGGCCACGGCAGGTGCCGGAGTCGCTGCCTCTGGAGAGTCCGCGGAGGCGTTTCTGATAAAACCTACTGCCTCACTTCCCCCAGTCGAGCAGAAGACATTTGGGATATACAGCAGTTACGGTCCCGGAGCCTCCAGCAGTGGTGCTGGCGCGACAGGAGATGCGTCGTCATCATCGCCGAAGAAAAAGCAAGGAGGTTCTTCTGGATCGGAATCTGAGGCGTCCTCAGGCCCAAATAAGGGGCTGGAAACAGAGGAAGCGTCTATGTTCTTCAATTTTGAAACTGAGCCTGATGAAGCAAGTCAACATTTGAATACTAGCAGGTCAACGTCAAGAAAGAACGCTCCCGGCGGACGAGAAGACTCAAACGTTCTGGTCATGCAAACAAATTCCATGATTTTGGAGCCTGTTGTGGGCCGCGAAAAGAATAAAGATATGGTAAGCGGTGCCACTGGTGCTGCAGTTGATGTCGTCGCTTCTTCTTCGTCAAGCTCAAGTGGAGAAGAAAATGATTTTGAGCAGAAAACGAAAGACAACTATGAAGCCCCAAAGGGACAAAGTGTAGCTGCTGCAGCCAGCAACGTGTCTTCCTCTCCGTCTCGAGGGACACCAGTAGGGCAATTAGTCGGAGGGCAGAAGACCACGTCGTCGTCCTCACCCTCCACCTCCAATCAGGTTCTTGCGTGGATGAAGCAGAACAGACCAGGGACATCGCCGCACGAGCGTGCCTCCCCTCGTTCCCGAGGCTCTCTATCGCAGAGGCCCAACAGTAGCTCCGGTGCTGACGGTGGTTCTGGATCACCAGCATTGGGTAGTCGAGGTGGTGGTGCCTTGTCGCCCAAGAACAGCAATCACCCTGCTGGCGCCGGTGGGTCGCCTTCACAGAGACAGCAAATTCTATTGCCAGGGTCTGGGATGGAACTGGGTGACCGCAAGGCAGTAGACGCAAGTAGTTTGTCCCCGCAGGTGAGTGGCAGGCGAAGGCGCAGTCGCGGAATGGCCGGCTTGCTCTACGTCCCCGACAGTGCTATTGAGCAAGTAGGAACAGGAGGTGAAGTGGGTATTTCGCCTGGCGGGATGTCGCCTGGAGAGCCGTCTGTCGCGGAAGTATTTGGACTGCAGCGTCTCGCCTCTGCACCGTTGCCGTCACCGCCACGCGGGAGCAACAAGAAGAAACAAGAACTTCTGGCTGCCATGGGTATCTGTATCTCGCCTAATTTAGAAGAACTAATCGACGACGATGAAGGCCTTAGTCCATCAAGTAACGGTGGTGCCTCGTCGCCTCCGACGTCGTTGCCACGTATTACGACTAGTACGCTAAACCCTCCACCTCCGCGGCCGCCGAGTGCCACCACCCGACACCTGAACAATCCGACCGTCGTTGGCAGTGGCTCTGCGGTTGCCGAACAACGCAGTACTTTAACTTCTGCAGGCATCTCGTCGACGTCCTTCGGAGGAAATGGGCCATGGGCTGGCACGTCGTCCGCTCGCGCTGCTGAAGGAATGACAGTGTGTGATCGGGAGGACCTGAATGCACTCGCGAGGATTCTGCGCAATGACAACAACATGATCATGGGTGCTCCTTTAACATCCAGCAATGTCAACAACTACAACAATAATACTAGTGGAGCTAATCTTTCCTCAAGCACTTTTGACAATGCGGATGCGTCTTCCACGATTGCGGGTTCTGTCCCAGCCTCTCCGGTGAAGCAGGTGTTCAAGTCCGTTGAGTTGATGTCGACGAATTTTACGGAAGTGATCAGCCCAGGCCGCCGCGCAGGACGCAACGGCGAACAGCTTCAGCTTCTGGGACCCGCTGCCTCCCTGGGTATGTTGCCCTCTCCCAGTCCTCCGAGACCTGTCACGGCGCCTGGAACATCTGGCGCCTATGCGAGTGGGCGTGCAGCTGGTTCTGGTGCAGTTGGGGGTTCTTTGGGTACCACGAAGCTTCCGCCTCCAATACCAAAGCCTCCCGCGGCTCTAAATCCCGACTTCGTGGAATTTGGAGCCCGCGACTTCGAGGTGGCGCTTGGCGAATCAAGCCCGGTCAAGGGCCGCGCATCCTCGACAAATCGCACGGGTGCGCATAATCCGCGCGGCGGACCGCCTCTGTTCTCTAACAGAGACCTCAAATTGCTTTCGAGTACTGCTGGCGCGATGTCAAAGAGTAAAGGCTTTGGTAGCGGAGGAAAATCGTCAACAAGTAAGAGCGCATCATCGGGCACACCCACAGGAGCTGTAGCCTCAAAAAAGAGCAAAAGCGGGAAAAAAAAGAGTTCGTCCAGTGGTGGGACTACTAAGAGCCACAAATCTTGAAGACAGACACCATCTTGTTATTTATGAATGTGGATGAGGATCGATACGCTTATTTATTTACGAGCAGCGGCAGTCGCAGTCGCACGTAATACCAGTTCGTTGTATTTTCTACATTAACATTATCCTTAAATGATTTCTTTTCAAAAGAACATGATGTGTTAAATGTTCTTGCTCTATCGATTTCGACTTGTTAAGTACATAATGCTACTGGGCCTTCGAAAAGCAGAGGGGTGGTCTTCGCTGTAGCTGTACTGTTTTTTGTTTTAAGACCAAAAGTTCGTACTAAATTATATAGCAATAACTTACGCACCAGGCAAGCGAAAGCAGCGCATTTGAGTCTGAGATGTCGCAGGTGTAGGAGCGGAGCTGGAGGAGCTCCTACTGGTCTGTGCGCATGCTGCTACGTTTCTAATCAATACTTTCGACTATAATAGTTATAGTATTACGGACGACTCCATTATTACAACTCATCTTCTTCTTCAAATTACTACCAATGCTGTATCGTGTATAGTTTCGCATGTTCTTTTTCCTTCTCGTTATAGTTTCGCTTGTTGTTGTTGTGGTTGTCTACATTATGATTTGAGTACTTTGAAGAAAACAAGTTGTAGAGTTTAAGCCTTGAATTTCCGTTTTTTTTTGTGTACGATAATGAAGCAAGATGCTTATCCACGAGCATGACTTCCTCCTGTAATCATGCTAAGAGAACTCTGGTAGCTGATGTCACTGGTCGAAGACTTACTTCAAATTCTTGGTTGATGGTGTTGATGTTTATGAAGTTCTTATATTATATATATAACTAGCCTCCACAAGCTTCGCCCGGCTTCAAGTTAGTTTAGCACTTTTCTGCGGCCTCCCACGGGCTACAGCCGCTAGAGTAGAGACAGCCGGCGGGTGAGCTGATGCACCTTACGAATTGACTACGACAAGAGCCGAGTGCCGGCGGTGGCCGNATGGCGGGGAGTTTTATGGCGGGGAGTTTTATGGCGGGGAGTTTTATGGCGGGGAGTTTTATGGCGGGGAGTTTTATGGCGGGGAGTTTTATGGCGGGGAGTTTTATGGCGGGGAGTTTTATGGCGGGGAGTTTTATGGCGGGGAGTTTTATGGCGGGGAGTTTTATGGCGGGGAGTTTTATGGCGGGGAGTTTTATGGCGGGGAGTTTTATGGCGGGGAGTTTTATGGCGGGGAGTTTTATGGCGGGGAGTTTTATGGCGGGGAGTTTTATGGCGGGGAGTTTTATGGCGGGGAGTTTTATGGCGGGGAGTTTTATGGCGGGGAGTTTTATGGCGGGGAGTTTTATGGCGGGGAGTTTTATGGCGGGGAGTTTTATGGCGGGGAGTTTTATGGCGGGGAGTTTTATGGCGGGGAGTTTTATGGCGGGGAGTTTTATGGCGGGGAGTTTTATGGCGGGGAGTTTTATGGCGGGGAGTTTTATGGCGGGGAGTTTTATGGCGGGGAGTTTTATGGCGGGGAGTTTTATGGCGGGGAGTTTTATGGCGGGGAGTTTTATGGCGGGGAGTTTTATGGCGGGGAGTTTTATGGCGGGGAGTTTTATGGCGGGGAGTTTTATGGCGGGGAGTTTTATGGCGGGGAGTTTTATGGCGGGGAGTTTTATGGCGGGGAGTTTTATGGCGGGGAGTTTTATGGCGGGGAGTTTTATGGCGGGGAGTTTTATGGCGGGGAGTTTTATGGCGGGGAGTTTTATGGCGGGGAGTTTTATGGCGGGGAGTTTTATGGCGGGGAGTTTTATGGCGGGGAGTTTTATGGCGGGGAGTTTTATGGCGGGGAGTTTTATGGCGGGGAGTTTTATGGCGGGGAGTTTTATGGCGGGGAGTTTTATGGCGGGGAGTTTTATGGCGGGGAGTTTTATGGCGGGGAGTTTTATGGCGGGGAGTTTTATGGCGGGGAGTTTTATGGCGGGGAGTTTTATGGCGGGGAGTTTTATGGCGGGGAGTTTTATGGCGGGGAGTTTTATGGCGGGGAGTTTTATGGCGGGGAGTTTTATGGCGGGGAGTTTTATGGCGGGGAGTTTTATGGCGGGGAGTTTTATGGCGGGGAGTTTTATGGCGGGGAGTTTTATGGCGGGGAGTTTTATGGCGGGGAGTTTTATGGCGGGGAGTTTTATGGCGGGGAGTTTTATGGCGGGGAGTTTTATGGCGGGGAGTTTTATGGCGGGGAGTTTTATGGCGGGGAGTTTTATGGCGGGGAGTTTTATGGCGGGGAGTTTTATGGCGGGGAGTTTTATGGCGGGGAGTTTTATGGCGGGGAGTTTTATGGCGGGGAGTTTTATGGCGGGGAGTTTTATGGCGGGGAGTTTTATGGCGGGGAGTTTTATGGCGGGGAGTTTTATGGCGGGGAGTTTTATGGCGGGGAGTTTTATGGCGGGGAGTTTTATGGCGGGGAGTTTTATGGCGGGGAGTTTTATGGCGGGGAGTTTTATGGCGGGGAGTTTTATGGCGGGGAGTTTTATGGCGGGGAGTTTTATGGCGGGGAGTTTTATGGCGGGGAGTTTTATGGCGGGGAGTTTTATGGCGGGGAGTTTTATGGCGGGGAGTTTTATGGCGGGGAGTTTTATGGCGGGGAGTTTTATGGCGGGGAGTTTTATGGCGGGGAGTTTTATGGCGGGGAGTTTTATGGCGGGGAGTTTTATGGCGGGGAGTTTTATGGCGGGGAGTTTTATGGCGGGGAGTTTTATGGCGGGGAGTTTTATGGCGGGGAGTTTTATGGCGGGGAGTTTTATGGCGGGGAGTTTTATGGCGGGGAGTTTTATGGCGGGGAGTTTTATGGCGGGGAGTTTTATGGCGGGGAGTTTTATGGCGGGGAGTTTTATGGCGGGGAGTTTTATGGCGGGGAGTTTTATGGCGGGGAGTTTTATGGCGGGGAGTTTTATGGCGGGGAGTTTTATGGCGGGGAGTTTTATGGCGGGGAGTTTTATGGCGGGGAGTTTTATGGCGGGGAGTTTTATGGCGGGGAGTTTTATGGCGGGGAGTTTTATGGCGGGGAGTTTTATGGCGGGGAGTTTTATGGCGGGGAGTTTTATGGCGGGGAGTTTTATGGCGGGGAGTTTTATGGCGGGGAGTTTTATGGCGGGGAGTTTTATGGCGGGGAGTTTTATGGCGGGGAGTTTTATGGCGGGGAGTTTTATGGCGGGGAGTTTTATGGCGGGGAGTTTTATGGCGGGGAGTTTTATGGCGGGGAGTTTTATGGCGGGGAGTTTTATGGCGGGGAGTTTTATGGCGGGGAGTTTTATGGCGGGGAGTTTTATGGCGGGGAGTTTTATGGCGGGGAGTTTTATGGCGGGGAGTTTTATGGCGGGGAGTTTTATGGCGGGGAGTTTTATGGCGGGGAGTTTTATGGCGGGGAGTTTTATGGCGGGGAGTTTTATGGCGGGGAGTTTTATGGCGGGGAGTTTTATGGCGGGGAGTTTTATGGCGGGGAGTTTTATGGCGGGGAGTTTTATGGCGGGGAGTTTTATGGCGGGGAGTTTTATGGCGGGGAGTTTTATGGCGGGGAGTTTTATGGCGGGGAGTTTTATGGCGGGGAGTTTTATGGCGGGGAGTTTTATGGCGGCGATCAATGGCGAGATTAATAATATAGCTTAATAGTATAGATTAATAATATAGATTTTTTTTTTGTTATGTTTTTTATCTATCAACTTATAATAATTTCGTCTCCGTCTGGCTGTGGGTTATTTGACAACTAGACTAACACAGAGGTAGTAACATTGTAGATATAGGTCGGAGCTGTAAGTCATAGAGGAAAAATATCGATTCTGTCCGAAATACAGAGCGTCAGATATTTCAGGGAGTCTACAATAATGAGTTCTGCTCTTTTGCACCGAAGAACGTAGTTCAACGATTACGGAGTAAAAATTGCAAGTAGAATGCCGGGAAGTTGATATTTAATCCACGACTTACTTCTCCCTGTAACATTGTTACAACATGAACATCAACAATGATTCTGATGTTGATAGCTGTGGCAATCCACGATCAATCTACCTTGACAAAGAAGACCCACAATCACAAAGAAGACCCCACGGAGAATCAATTGCAGGACTTACCTTTTTTCCCGGTCCTACTAGATCTGCGATAAATCCTTCAGTAAACTGAAGCAACGTGCACCACGATCAACCACGAAGAGAAGCAGGCGGATTGTCCAACGTGGTGTTCCTGCTCTGCTGTGCGACAGCCACCTTGTGGCGGCCACATAATTAGAAATGCTATGATTACACTTCTTTTGCAGCAATAAAGATTATAGCTTTTTCTCTAGCGATTGTTCTCAGAAACGAATGCCACGAGAAGCTCTCTATATCACAACAGGACCGATTTTCGAATGCTTCATCGTCGGTCATCATCTACTTTCTTGCTCCTCGACGTCGCCTCTTCTGATCGGCGCCAACAATGGCAACATCATTGCGTCGCCGAGTATCGGTCTTGCCGTATATGATCTGCTCTATCGATTGGGTGTGCGAGAACGAACTACCTGTCGTGGAGATCATAGAGACACAGAAGACGAGCAAGAATGAAGATGATCGGTTTCCTCGGTCCGCAAGTTTCACTCAGTCTCATCTCGGCGCCTTGTTCATGCGGATAATCCAGAGTCTGTCTTATCGGTCTATGATTTCAATCAACTTCGAGCCACTTAGTCTTAGAACACAAGTAGTCTTTAAGTTAGTAGAAGTTCAACTTCAAAACCAGCACTGAGATGATGATCATCCATGACTGAGACAGATTGCCAGTACCCGATCTCCTGATGCAGAATTAGATCCTTCCTCTCATCTTATGTGCAGATTCGTTCTGCTTGTCGTTTTTCAGTTCTTTCTACCACTTACATCGATGATGTATAACCTACCTAGTTGGTTGTCATTTTCGAAACAACCATAAGGTGAACCATAATTCTTGACGTCTTTTTGGGGTAATTCATGCATTAGTTTTTAAAGTACCCTCCACATCAACTGACAATTCATTGGCTAGAGGTATTAATTGCATTATATGGTTACATCATTGAAAGTAGTTTGAAAACAGTTACAGCAACTTTGGATCAACGCCAACAAGAGCAACCACGACACCGTCACGACCAGAGACCTCCTAATTCATCTGAGAACTGTATCGACTAGAAAAGATGCCGCAGACTCGTGAGGAGCTCCTGGGCGACAAGCCTGGCCTGTTTGCTCGCCATAATCGGCAGATGTTTTCTCCGGGAAAGCCTTTGCCGCAGATGCGGCCTAAGACTGCGAACCAGCCGATACGACCGATGGGCGATAGCAATCTCTGTGTGTACGCTGGTAAGTCGATGTCGGTGCTCAAAGCCGAGGCCAAGGTGCGAGAATACTCGGAGCCAGCGAAAGCGTTTTTCGTCCGTCTAGAGCGTGTAGCAAAGGCCGAACTCGAAAAACTTTTTGTACTCAAAATGCAGCACTTGTTCGTGCGCAACGGAGGAAAAACAACATACGGCAAGGAACAAGACGAATACCCGGTTGAACCTATAGCGTATGCGAACGTAACGAGGGCTACTGTACATGGCGGCTCGCCGTTCCGCGTGGGCGGGCATTTGATGAGTATTGTTATTGTTTTCACTTTCTGCCAGGCAGCCTGTTTATTTTGTTGTTGGACTTAGCATATTAATGTCAGGTGTTCGACCACTAGATGAAGGAACGTTACTACTTACTACCGTTAAGTACCAATCTCCTTCTCAATCATATTCAATTTATTACTTAACCAGAAACAGAAAGAACAGCAAGTTCTTGTAATTATCCTAATCGCCATGTTATTGTTATCATCATTCATTCATTGCTAAGAAATGTGACAAGAAGCTCGAGGACTGAGTCTAACTACGACTTTACTGATCATTCACAGCAAAAGACATTTTCGGAGCTGCCAACGACAATGATCAAGCCGAGAGCGACGTTCTGAATCGCTCTCACGCGATGTATCAGGGAAAGCAGCTCACAAGCTATTTTCAAGGTGTTTTGGCGAAACTTCTACTCGACTTCGCGCAGTTCTCAGATGCGCTGTTGAGGTACAACTCCATCTCCAGTAAGAGTTTTGGTTATTGAAGCTCGAACCTCCTTTGCATTTGAACGACGTTCTTGTGTGATAATCCGATTGACATAGTATTTGCAGGCCTTCCTGATATTCATTTGCGGGCGAAGTACCTTCTGAAGGTTACGACAAATCTGCGTACCTGCACCAGGCAATTTTTGGCTTTTTCTTCTTCAAAGAATCTGTCTCAGTATTGACTTCGCCTCCCATTACCTTTTCAGGAACCCACAACTTCTGGGCATAAATTTGTCCTGGATATTGTTTAGTCTCATATGTAGTACATGTACGACTATGCATCGAGGCTTATGCCATGCCAAGACTTTTACTATTTCGGCGATCTCCACCAGGACCAGCTCACTTCATCTAGATCTACTAAACTCTCTATTTCATCGACCTCAACCAGCTATTCGCATTCCGAAGAGCACGATTTCGATTTCAAGGGTGCAAAGAAGAAGAAAAGGAAGAAGAAAGGAGATGGAGCGAGCTCCGAAGCTGGTTCAAGCAATTCGCAGACACGGGGCGACGATGAGGAAGCCACCTCGCAAGATGAAGACGAAGATTCGGAGGAGGAACCAACACCATCAGATTCGTGCATGGATTCTAGCTCTTCGAACGACCCTGGCGGGAGCCGTGGCCAACAGAGAGGCCTAGTGGACGGACGCTTCAAGAAAAAATTTCCCGAGAAAGCAAACTTCTTAGTCAAGCGATTGGAAGAACTCAGTGCGGAGGTCACGAAACTAGAACAAAAGAACTACCTTTAAGGCTACTTTAGGGACATCGACGAATACAGCTAGACGGAGACCGAGACGTACAAGTACTAGTTGCACGTGCATCCCGATAAAGATTCTAGAGCAGTGCCTACTCGCAATATTTCTGTCTGACGAAAAAAAAAAGACCCACGATCACGATGGCATTGATTGGTTTGATACTATGCACTGAAGTTGAAGGAGGTTCATTTCATTTTACATTTACCGTCAATCCGAGCTGTCTTCGTTCTCCTCATCTAATGACTGGTAAGCGACAAGTTTCAGCACGCGAGACGGAGCTTCTTGCGACAGCAGATTCTTTGGCAGGACAAGTGGTCAAAGGTGAAGACCATGATCCCGGATACGCTCAGACGCGAGTTCAATGCTCTAGACACCGACGTGCAGTTATATGACGACGAAATGTACTCGGACGAAAGTAAGATTCACAGCATGTATCGCAAGCAAATTGCGGAGCTTGAAGACCGATACACAGATTTGGTGGACAAGCTGAAAACGCGGTGCGCATTTCTGGAAGACTCTTTGATTTCAGCGCAAAACGAGAACGAGCGATTGCTCATGCAGATGACAGCGTCACATGCCAGACGCAGTGCAAAAGGTTAAGGGTCATTGAACAATTCAACTAGCTACAACTTTCTTCTGTGTGCGATACATAGATTGTGTTTCTTTGCATGGTTCCTACAAAACAGTTGGAATTTGTAGTCTTGAAGATGAACTACAGCGTACTAGTCACTTCTACAGAGGACGTTGATCTGTTATGCTCTTCTAAAACAGTGCGGGTGATGAGGACAGCAATATGAATAATTCCACGCTAGCGGGTATGCCTTCGGGTGCCATCATGGTAAACGTAGGTACGCGGATGAACAAGAGTGACTTTAAGGACTTCTTTAAGGACACTGGCGTTGACCCCATCCCGGAACTGGCGGCCATGCAGCAAGGACCAAGCAGCAGAAACGAGAGCAAAGCACTTGTCAGCAAAAAGACAACGGTGGTGGCGCCGGGAGATGACGACGGTCAGGGGCAGGAAGAGAGCGATGGGGATGGCGCAGACGTAGCGTCGCTGCATTCCTTCTCTGCCTCGTCCGGTCGCGGTCGTCGCAGCATGATGAAGCGGCAGAGCACCTTGAGCAGCAATCGTGTGTCGTCACGGCAGTTGCGCGCTATGGGTACCATGTCTCTGCAGCGGCAAGCTACCGTAGCGCCAAGCGGTTTGAGCCGCGCCGCGACCGTGTACGGGAACCTGCTCGCCGTGGAGCAGGAACAGACCAGTGCGTCAAGCATCAAGATTGGCGCCACCGTGATGCGAGGTCCGGCTTGGGAGCGCCAAAACGAGGATCTCATCGCGGGTAATCTGGGACGCGTGGTCGCAGTTGACCCCGAGTCCCAGACCATTGAAGTAGAGTGGGACGATGTTCAGGTCGACGCGGACGAAACTTTACCTGTGGATCAGATGGATGAGCAGCAGGTTTTGGACCTCCTGGAGTTCCTGCACGCTCTGGGGTTTCAGGGCGGTTCCCTCACGCACTTACCGAGCAAGATGCTCCAGCGGGCAAAGCGACAGTTTGTAGATTTGAAACCGTTGGAGCAAGTCGTGGGAATCTTCCTAAGGAGCAGCCAATGGATGTATCACCCGCACAAACTCCAATTCGAGCCACTCAACAATGAGACCGTGCAAGGCGATCGATCACTTAGAAAAATGGTATGATTGTCGCTGCTGAAGAACAAGATTGTGTGTCCTTGTCCACCTCTTTGCGGCTGAGTCATCGGCGTTGTTGAAGTTATCGGCGTTTTTTAGTAAGTAGATTATCATAAACAAGTTCAAGTACGTAGATGCGCTATTTCGTATGTTATAACGATCATGATCCTTCAGCTCGAGGACGAATTTGGCGGCAATCTTTATGTTTTGATGCGATGGCTTGACGACCAGCCCGGCGAGAGGAACTTGCTTTATTTCAACTTAATAAAGCGCACCGCGCGGTCTGCGGATGACCTGGGGTCAGGTGACGAGGACTTAAGTGATGCACCTAAACTTTGGAACTTTGTGCGTGCGAGCTCCGGCGAGCGGGTCTTGAAGAGTCAGAAGTCAATGAAAGTCGTCATGGACGCGAAGAAAAGCCACTTCGAGGTCCTCGTCCTCGCCATGGATGTGGCAGTGCAAGTTGACGAGGATGATCTCCTTGATCATGCGATGGACGATGAGGGTGGAGAGTTACGCCTGATAGAACAAGAAGGATGGAATCAGTTTCGCTACTTCTGCTTGATATTTCATCTCGTCATCTCTTGACCACCGTCGTCTCCGGTCCTCCTGTTGGGACTTCTACTAAACACCATCAGTAGAAGTAACAACTAACTCTTGCAAATGAATGTGATCTCCATGATCTTTATGTTGACATCAATAGAGGTAGTCAATCACTTTGTCGAAGACTCTCATGTGGCACTGTTGTGCCCAGTCGAGAGTGTTGACAACTTCCTGTCAGCCTTGATTCACTTCCTGCCCTTCTAATAGCCATATCCCAGGGTGAAATCGCTGAGTCTCTGAATGGAGCGCGTCGACGATCGACAATAGGACCTGGTGACAGCGGCACGGGGTCAAACGACTCGAGAAAATACAGCAGACGGATGTCAACGAGAGGTGGAACAATAGGCGACGTTGCCAACCTGCAGGCTGCGCTAGAGCTTCTCGGTGAGGAAATAGACAAAGCTGAAGAAAGGTACAACGATCTAGCTACTTTTATCTGTGCTGCTGGTCGAACGAAGCATCGTTTCTACGAAGCTGTGATAGTAATAGAAAAGTAAGCCTGTACAATATTACGAGGCGTTTGAACGTGTATTCTCCACGAAGTCAGTTGTGAACCGCTTCCGATTGCATCTTGATGCTCTTCTTTCATTTCACGCAGGTTATCGAATTCCACTGCCGTAGCCGCGGTTCAAGCTGAGGCAGAGGGCAGCGCTACCGAGCTGGGTAATGAGAAGGATGAGATAATTATCGCAGGAGGAGGAGAAGGCGAAGGGAGCAAAGCGGCAGGGGTGGATGCTCCAGGTGGTGGAGCTGCAGGGTCCTCCGGTGATCGGACATTGTCAACCTTTGCGGCTCGCTTGCAACGTCTCGTGGGAGCACGAGAAACTGAGCTCGCAGATGTGAAACTGTTGCTGAATGAGCCAGAGCCCGTGTTCAACTCATTGAAAGACGTGCGCATGGATATCGATGCGGTTGCTCCACCTGGCGACGGCTCTCCTGGCGGATCGTCGCCTCGCGTCCCCCTCTCCCCGGGACGCGCCGTGCCGCAACCCAGTAGCAAGCGCTTCAAGAGCGGCTACCGGGATCCTGTTGAAGCGGAGGCGTATTCGCCTGCTGGCTCCCGATCCCCCCCGGGCACCGCACGGCAGAGACAGCAGAATTTGTCATCGCCGGACGTATCACCTCGGGCGTCACCGCGACGTCCGCTCTCAGAGCTGACGAAAGAGGAACTGCAGTTACTGCACACCGCGCAGACGATTGGACGACACGGGCTGCTGCAGATAGCAAAGTGGGGCTCTGTGGTAGATCCCGATGTTGGAATTTTAGAGTCATTGCTGAATCAAGGTGTCGATCTGGAGGAGCCGCTGTCGAAAAAACGGATACGAGCGGCCTTCCGCAAGTCTGGCCTTCCGATAGAGAGGCAGGAGCTTGAGGAATTGTTGCACATCGTGTCCGGCTGTCTGGGATGGGATGAAGAAGCGGATGGCGGCACCTCGCCTGCGACCTCCACGGCAAGCAAGCCAGGAATCAGCCCTGCGAAAGCGCTGCCACCGCTGTCCGCGAGAGCGGCAGATGGAGAACGAGCCGCAGCTTCTTCTGCGGCCAATCTAGGAGAAGCCGGGACCGCGGTGGGTGCTCCTGCGACGACACCGAGCGATGGGCATGTGACGAAAGTCAATGTTACGAGCGGCATAGGAGCAGGCACACCTTCTGCACAACATCAACAGCAGCAATCAGGCAACAAGAAGACGAAGTCATACTATCGTCTTTGTGATGTGTTTGACGCCATGCATCGATTTCTCTTCGGCTCCGCACATCGTAGACGAAACGCGAGCCTGCTTCCGCGACCGACGTCTGCTGCGAGTCGGTCGCCGCGCAATCGGCCACGGTCCGCACAGAGCAGTGGAGACATCAATGCGGCGACATCATCCAGTGGCGGAAATTTTAGTCAACTACACGGTGCCGCAAGCTCTTCGTGTGCAGGCGGGCAGCAGCACATGACTGGACAGCAGTATATTCGTGCCACGCAAGCAGGCGTTTCCCAGAATTTTCATTGGGCATCCGCAGCACCGGGTGGAGGAAGCTCGAGTTCTGCACGAGCAGTCGCTGCGAGCCGGTCGCCGGGTGGCCGCGGCGGGGCAACGTCTACGTCACCGCGGAACTACCAGCAGTACTGGTCGGACAAAAGCGCTCCTGCACTGCCCCGGTTCCGGCTGGCGCCATCGCGATCCCCACCCCGCAGTGCGCCGAATGTGGTCGAGATGCGTCCTGGAGTGGATATGGCGTCGTCTCCGCGGTTGAGCAAGCTGATCGGCGCATCGGGGACGGGTAGCGCAGTTATGAGCGGGTCCGAAAATGCGATGCGCAATTTGGAGAATATGCCACTCAACAAGCAGCGAATGTTGGCTGCGGCACAGCGGAGACGAACGCCCTCGCCTAATTCGTACGCCCAGCTGATCCCCGAGGAGTATCTTCACGCCCAGGAGCGGTTAAAGGAGCAGAGCCGCTCCCCGATTCCGCGCGAGTCGCCAAGACACCACAAAGTGCTGAATTACCGTGACTCGGTGGAGGGACGGCGTCCACACACGGCGGGTCCCACAGCTTACGGCAGACACGGCGCTGGCACGGGTCCGGGAACTGATCATGCTAGCGGAAATAAGCCAATTTTCGCGAGCAAACACTACGTGCCACCCGCCGAACAAGGCACGTCAGCACCTTCAGGGTGGACGCAATCGCCACCCGGAACGAAAACGCGCCTCCCTTCCCCAAATAGTCGACCTGCTAATGCAAACTATAGCGCTACTGGCAACAAATTGAACAAAACATATACATCCACAGGAGGGTTTGGCACGGGTGCTCTCAATGGCACTAGCAGAGCCGCTGCTGTCGCAAAAGACTTTATTGCAATAGACGCGCGTAATTCATCGGGTGCCGCTCCCGACGCCGGCCGAAAGCCAAACACGATGGTGCCAGCGCTTACGAGTGCAGCACTTCGACAAGAGCTTGGAGGTACCGTCAGAGTGAGTCGTTCTATGTATACTAAAAAGTGTTTTACTTGTTTCCAATTGATTCCACCTCCACGGCAAAAAAATAGTCTAGGCTCTCTGTGTTTGTGTAAAGAAAACTTATATCCAATCATCTTCAAGCCTTAGAGTTAGATATAAGTACGCAAGCAACTGCTCGTGGTTGTGGGATAATCCCACGCACTCCTGGACCTGCTCCTTAGTTGTGTAAGAACTTCTAGTTCTTCGACGACTTAGCGCAGAGCACGACATATTCTCTACCTTACTCCAGGTGCAGCACGCTCTTCGGCGCAGCCACCCGGGAAAGGATCACCCGATAAGTTTCATGGCTATCATGGCCGTGGCCAGACTCCATCCGGACCCAGACCCTCCTCTATTAAGATTTGTTTCTTATTCTTCTTTTCTTCATGTTAGTTCATGAGAGGATCATCAGACCCATCGAACGACTTCAAAGGGATCATCCTCTGTAGTTGATTTTTGACTGCTCTGCCTCACACTAGATCTCGATGTTTATGTAGAAAAATATACCACTTCCTCGTGCTCGTCTAACCAACGCAGCGCGGTCCAAGTGCCTGGAAAATTGTTTAAGAGCCCAAGCCATGTAACCATGCGTCCGAAATCTCGAGAAGCGTTGGGCCGAAACCGTGACATGAGTGCCAACCATTTCATGCCCGAAGCCTGGTACGACAAGAAATTAAACAAGTAGTTGTTGTTGTACTTGTGTGAACTTGTAAGTATGAGGATGTGTAGACAATTATACAGATGCTGCACAAGATCAAGATGTCATGCTTCGTACGAGAGCAATCTTCAGGGATAGGGAGGATTACCTTCTACGTCATCAAGGATGCTGCTCTATTTGGCGACAACTACACATTCAAAATTTTTATTTAATCGTACGGTGCCCTGTTGTTATATGAATCTTCACAATCATGCTTACAAATACTACTTCTACATGACATGCATACACGCAAAATAGCGCACGATTGCGAACAAAAAAAACTCATACAACTTTATTTACCTCATTTTACATCACTCAGCACTAGTATGTAGTATGGTGATTGGTTCTACCTGCATTTTCATTCTTTCTGATACATGATGTCGATGCTTCCTCTCTCTTGATGTGCTTGCTGATCAGATGTTCGAGGGGATTTTGATGGTCCTTGCGATACGTGTCGCAATTTATTAAGAACTACCTACCCGTAGTACGCATGTTCATAGATACCACAAAATCATCAATCACTTGGAATGAAACTGAAAGAATGGCTTCATACGTTTATATATTGATTCCAATGGCTTCTAGATGTAGATGCATAGAGATCATACGAGCAACGCGCGATTGAGTTGCCGGCATAATATATAGATACATTACATGTGCTCATGAAAGGCACTGTTGATGAATCTGTAACGATGCACATTGCATAGAATTGTACTGCACTTACATCACAATTTGGACAGTTCTTTGATCACCACTTTTCTTCGTTGAATAAAAGTACAAATGGCTTTAGTTTGCTCAGTTTCGGTACCTTTTTGAACATGGACTCACTTGAACAAGTTGCAAGAAGTAGAGGACCTCCCCGGTTAGATTCAAAAAAAATGGACACTATTCATTTTTAGAAAGAATCCTGAGAACCAAAATCAAAAAGTTGCAAGACATAACTACGCTGATGCCTTCATCTGACCCTCTTCACACGTAATAGAAATAGAGGAAGAAGAAGACGAAGAACTCGACTATTCTTGGGTCATATTATTTGCGCTGCGGGACCTTGAAAGACTTCGACGAAGGATCGCGCGGGTGCGCGGAGTGCTGGTATAAAAAACTCCATGTGATGCTCGCTGGCGACTTCTTCAATGAGAGCAGAGAGAAACAAGAGAGAGAGGATCCTTTCACTTTTTAGTGGAGAAGGGTCGAAGAGGCATCTCGAAAGATGATGTCTTTGAAAATGCGGACGACGGAAAAAAGCACAGCACCATGATTCGCTTTGTTTTTTAGTTTCTCTGGCTACATCACTGCTGTTCCTGTTGGTCATACTTACATAGTTTCGGTTTATTAAGGCTCTCTCTCCATGTCTTAGTCTTTCAACAATGCATGATAAGTAATTGAGCAGATCTAGTACTACTAGACAATCTTTTAAGTTCAGATCTTTGATCCAAAGTTGGAGTCAAGAGTGCCCCCAGCACCATCTTCGTCTTCATCATTTCGCCAGTAAGTGAAAAATATAAAAGATGTACGCGGCGGATAAATTAAGTGAGGCGGCGTATGACAACCTCACTGGTGGGCATGCGTTGCCGAAATTCGAGACGAACGCGGCAAACCGTTTTCGAGGAAAGACTGTGATCGTGACAGGCGGCGCGGGAAACTTTGGAAAGTGCTGCGCAAAGCGAATGGCCAGCGAGGGCTGCAATGTGGCTCTTTGGGACTTAATGGATGCCAGTTCGGTTGCCAAGGAAATCGCAGAGGAGAGTCCAAGCGTCAAAGTAGAGTGCTTTCAGCTGAATATCACTGACTGTGCCGCTGTCAAATTATGACTATGACTTTATCGAAACTACATCAACATGAAAATATAATTGATATACGAAAGATAATGATAAGGTCAAGCGGTACCATGGTAACTAAGTAAATTTTCACGTTGTTCTTAATCTAGTAAGCACTTAGTCTTCGCCTTCGCGAGTTGCATTTTGCTAAGCACTGCAGCTGCCCAGGAGGTGAAAGATAAGTTTGGGAAAATCGACTACCTGTTCAATAATGCTGGTTATCAAGGGAATTTTGCCTCGGCAGACAAATACGACCCAGAGGACTTCAAGAAAGTGATGGATATTAACTGCAATGGGGTTTTTTACGTTCTGCAAGCGGTGGCGAATATCATGGCTAAGGACGGCGGAGGGGCCATCGTGAACACCGCGAGTATGGCAGCGCACAGCGGGCCCCCAAACATGATTGCCTACGGGACCTCCAAGGCTGCAGTGTTCCACATGACTCGCATTTTATGATGCAACACGATTCTTGCAGTTGCACTATTTATTTTACTGCTCTTACAGTACTCTTTCGTACTATCTTTCAACAAGATACCAATCACGGTCGCTGTACATCAACTCATGGAACTTATGGTACCCAATGGCACATATTGATTTTTGATGATTACACACTTGTATTGGAAAGTAGATGAAGCAGGCTTACGCGCCTCTCAACACGACTGCAGTAAGTTAGAAGGAAGTTACAATTATTCAGCTCTGAGATGAAACTCTCCTAGTAGTTGTTATGATATGTTTTAGTCTTGTGCGGTTTCCGTGTCCCCCAATGAAGCTGCCTCCATTGTTTGTCTGCATGTGGTGGGGTGTCTTGTTGGACATGGCGACGGCTTTGCGTGGGGCTCTCCACGAAAAACGGTCTGCGTCTCGTGTCGTATCTTGTTGGACATGGCGACGGCTTTGCCTGGGGTTCTCCACGAAAAACGGTCTGCGTCTCGTGTCGTATCTTGTTGGACATGGCGACCGCTTTTCGTGGGGTTCTCCACGAGAAGCGGTCTGCGTCTCGTTTCGTGTCTTGTTGGACATGGCGACCGCCTTTCGTGGGGGTCTCCACGAAAACGGTCGGCGTCTCGTGTCGTGTCTTGGTGGACATGGCGACCGCTTTTCGTGGGCTTCTCCACGGAAAACGGTCCGTCTGTGTCTCGTGTCGTGTCTTGTTGGACATGGCGACAGCTTTTCGTAGGGTTCTGCCCGAAAAACGGTATGCGTCTCGTGTCGTTTTTTGTTGGACATGGCGACCGCTTTTCGTAGGGGTCTCCACGAAAACGGTCGGCGTCTCGTGTCGTGTCTTGTTGGACATGGCGACCGCTTTTCGTGGGCTTCTCCACGGAAAACGGTCCGTCTGTGTCTCGTGTCGTGTCTTGTTGGACATGGCGACCGCTTTTCGTAGGGTTCTGCCCGAAAAACGGTATGCGTCTCGTGTCGTGTTTTGTTGGACATGGCGACCGCTTTTCGTAGGGTTCCCCACGAAATTAGGTTGCCTCCAGGTCCAGAGTCTGTGCGTGTGGCTCTGCACAAAAGTGCAAAGTGGCATATCTTGTTCGCAATTTTTTTTGGTGGCCTGCCCTGCCTCTTCACGGTAAAGCTAAGGCTAAGCTTGTTCCTAGCATCAATTCATGGCTAAGTTTGTTCCTAGGTTGAGGTGGTACAACGAACCGCTACTTTCGTTTTTTGCAGGTTACTTTTGCAGGAGCTTTCATACTGCGCTGCGAAGGACTACGCTCCGCACAGCGTCCGCGTGAATTCGATATCGCCAGCTTTTATCGGTCCCGGGTTCATGTGGACTCGGCAGATCGAGCTTCAAGCGGCTGCAACTAGTCCCTACTATGATAAGGACCCGAATGTAGTCGCAAAGCAGATGATTGACGCGACCTGGTTGAAGCGATATGGAAAAATTGAAGAAGATATGCTTTCAGGCCTTACAATAACTTAGTTGCAGACAGAATAAAGAATCAGCTTGACCACGAGCTGAATTGTTTACGTCGTCACACGATGAACATGAAACTTCCTTACTTTGTCACATGGTGAAACCCTCTACTTGGGTCACGACCTCTTTTTCTTTCTCATATCGCTCATCGGACCGGTGACGTTTCTACTTTCGGACGATGCGTCCTACCTGACCGGAATCGATATCCAAGTGACAGGCGGAATGTAGCTGGTGTTTTGTGTAAAAATATTTCGGAAGAAGCGGAAGCAAGATGAAGAAGATAGAATTATTGATGTGAGAATCGATGAACAACACCAACGATCTATAGAAATGAGAAGTCCTACAGAAATCATGATAACCGTTATTCAGCAATTATATCTTTTAGAGCTAATTATTTGTGCCATGTATTTATGATTTTTGCGTTTTTCTACTTACTTTCTTCTATGGCTATTGGCGCACCCTCGTGCGTGTTCGTCGGGTGCAAGAGGCTGTGAACGCAATTGAATACGTCGATCGTGACTCTTCATGACCCTTAATAGCTCACTCTAATTCGAAAGAAAGTTTAAGTTCACATTCATTTGTGATTTTCGAAGCTGAACGTCACACGACTTTCGTAAGGTGACAGTTACTGATACATTGTTGAGCAATCTCGCGATCTTGGTTGTTTCTTGTACTGGGCCCGATGACGTGTGTTCTTCAACGTTTTCATCTACTCTAATTTGAACAATAAGATCATCGCTTTATCGGATCTCGAAATTCTTTCGTCGCTTCGAAGCAGTTTGACTCATCTTCCCTGTCGTGTATATGTTGAATATATTCATTTGCGATCCCGCATCTAAGCCTACTGAAAATCTGGAGCCACCTGGTGATCACATTTAGTAAATAAAGTGTTGTTGTTGATCTCCGTTGACCAGGATCCGAGAGGAACGGCATGATCGTGCCCACGTGGCGATCCCTCGTGACAGCGTAAATAGAACCAAAGATCCGCGTTGATCAGAAATCCAGAAGATCCTATACGACTTTTGGATGCCTCCGTTAATCCTTTCAAGGCTGTCTGTAGAAAACTTTCCATTTACTTGAGGTTTTGTTGCTTCCTTCTCTTGTAAGCGCTTGCCGTCGATTTTGGAAATCGACTGACTAGCTTTTCTTGGTGATTCATTGGTAAGAATACATGACCATCTTCATGATAGGGGAGGCAGGAGCAAAAGAAAATTGATATTTATTTTTCGTTCCATCGTGTTCCTGTTGATCATTCACATATTATAAGTATCCCATGTGAATCCTGTGGTTCTTGCGTAGTTTCTTGCTTCTGCTATAGCGAAGCCTAATTTGTAGTTTAATTTGTGTTCGTTTTTGCTTCGGGTCTTTCGTTAAAATGGAGTTTAAAAGTGACAAGGACTTCGGAATATGCCTTCGGGAATTGTGTGCCACTGCGTCCCAGCTCGTTGGAGCAGCGGCGAGAACGAGGAGTGGAGTCGTCGTAAATGAAGACGGAGCAAGCGGTGCGGCTGACGCGAGCACGGAAGCATTGCTAGCTGATGTCGAGGCCTGCCGCAAAGAACTGCGAGGAGAATTTTTTCGGCAGGATCACGTCGATGACGCAGTAGACCCAGGGCACAAAATAAACAGATGCTTGAGAACACTAGAACCTGAACCACCGAGGACATCTTCTCGTGAAGATGTTGATCAGCGAATTCTGCAGCTTTGCAGTGCGCGAGATGGTCAGCTACAACCACTACGTGAAGTTGCTAGCTCTACTCCTTCAGGAACGAGCAGGAGCTGCTACGTCCCTGCACATTCGTTCCTTCAAGACGTCGATGTTAGAAAGAACGGCGCAAGCGCAGCTACAAGCAACGCGAGACCTCAGGACTACTGGTCAGTGAAGAATTTTTTGCCATCAAATGACGCCCACGCTGCACGCATGGAAGCAGAGGCGCAGGCCGAAAGCAGGAGACTAGCTCTTCTGGACGCATCGAGGGAAATGAAGAAAAGGAACATGAAGAGCAGAAGTGTGCACCAGCATGTCATTCTTTCGTCTGACGATGATGATGTGCCACCTGACGGAGAGGATCCTTTGGCAGAGGCAGATGGCGCTCATGAACTACTTGATAAAAAGGGAAGCGACAAGAAGCTCCAGAAGTCCGACGCCGCTATCGCCGAGAACCATAGAAGAGAGGATAAGATCGGAAAAAGCTCAGCCTCAGATGAAAATATTCAAGTGACAGCAGCACCTGCACTAGGGGTGACGAGCACAGAAAGCAATGAAGGATTCGGAGTAGAGGAGCAAAAAGACGATGATCCCCTATCGGCCCATCTGGCCAGCCTTGGGTTTGACAGCAACTCCGACAGTTGCTCACCCAGTGAGGAGCGTCGAAACGCTACCTTGCGAACTATGAAAGAGATCCTCAAAGACAAAGAGGGCATTCAAAACGACATCAACGATAAAAGGAATGGAGGTCGCTATCCTGGTGTTTTGTCTCGTTCGTCCAGAAATTCAGGCTGTGTTGATGTACGAGCTACACCAGAAGAAGTAGATAAGCGAGAAATCATCGGACAAAATGTTGAGCCCGAAGAAGTGCAATTGCGCACCCCAGTGCATCCTCACACTACAGAAATTGCATCATTAAATCCTCAGCGTGATTGGCCGTCGCGAGACCGCGTTGAGGCGGATATCGCTGCTTACGAGCGAGGAGACTATAACTTCAAACCAAAACGGCTGGAGATTTTATTTGGAGGCTCAACTTCCGCAACCAGCAACAGTAAACAGAACAAGAACCAGAAATACAAGGCACCCTCGTCCTCGGGTAGTCGCTGTGGCAACATGAATAAACTCGAGACTTACTTCACCGTCCCAAATCTTCAAGTCGGGCAACCTGGGAAGCAAGGGAGCAAAAGTGAAACAGGTCAGCTGCAGGAGTGTCCCGAGGATTTGCAGATCGTGAGAAGTGCAGAAGCTATGCAGGCTATGGTTGCGGAGCTAGCGACCGAGGATGCAGTGGCTATCGATATCGAGCATCACTCGCAGCACTCATTCCGTGGTTTCTGTTGCTTGTTGCAGCTCTCCTCGAAAGAGAAAGATTGGATCGTGGATCTCATTCCTCCAACGTCGCATGTTTCAGATGAAACGTCCAGTTCCAGAACAGCATACTCAGAGTTTCGGACCTCCGTGTCGCTTCTCAACAAAATCACCGCAGATGCCTCCATCGTCAAGGTACTACTTCTAAATAGTAAAGTGAATCGTTGCACACCTCCATGCTCCTGCTGACGTTCTTCGCCGGAACCCTTAACTGGCAACTTCATGATGATCTCTCCATTTATGTCGCAATGCTTTGTCTTGATGCATTGCTGATGTAAAAACGGAATCCCCTCCTGACCTCTATTTCTTATACGCCATGTTGTTGAAGTTTAGTCTGCAGTTCGTTGTACATCTAGATCCTGCTAAAAGTCCAAATTTGTCCAGTCACGTTCCTGAGATGTTTTATTGTATTGAAGCTCATCGGATTTTCGTTATTTTCTTCGCAAAGAATTACTAGACTTGAGCGCCCGGTAGCACTCCTCCCACTAGGATCATCCACCCCCGGCACGCGCTTCCTCAATCCCGGCGCCATTCCGCTTCTGCGGCCCCTCCCCCGCCCGCCAACCGTCTGGCGGCGTTGATCATTGGAACAAGAGCAGGGCGGGGGACGGCGTGCGGCCATTGGTTAAAGAGGTACAGACCGAAGCCGCTGGCTTGTCGGTGTGCTCTTCTTTTGGTAGGTTTGGCCTTTTTTGCGTGCAAGTTGCAGCGCTCGACTTTGCAACTTGTCGAGGTTCTTCTTCTTGTGATACAATCAAAGACTTCGGATGGGAATTTTTCCAATTTCGTTTCTATTGGACATAGTCGAAAGCTTCGCGCCTCCAGTCTCAAGTTTGAAACTTTGAGACATTGAGGCGCGGCTTTTAATCTTAAGCGTTCAGCCTTGGGCTTTTAGCCTGGCGCTTTCGGCTTCGCGCTTTCAGCTTTGAGCTTTCAGCCTTGGGCGTTCAGTCTTGAGCCTTCACGTTTCAACTTTGAGCGTTCAGCTTTGGGCTTTCAGCTTTGCGCTTTCGGCTTCTTTTGGGCTTTCACCTTGGGGTTTTCAGCTTTGAGCCCTTAGCTTTGGGCTTTCAGCTTTGAGCCCTCAGCCTTGAGCCTTCAGCGCTGGGGAGCTAATTCAAACCGTGAAAATTCACTTTCTTGAGTTTGAATTTCTCAAATCCAAAAGCTTTCGACTTTTGCAAGTTTTTCCGAGATTCAACCCCTTGGATTTCAATTTCTTAAATCCAAAAATTTTCGATTTTAGCAAACTTTTCCGAAGTTGATCTGAAATATCGTAAAGAACTCAAAAAATCGAGATTAATTACAAAAAGTTTGTAATTTCCAAAGTTTGTAGCAAAGTCGAACTATACGGGAAAAAAGAAACAAACTGGAGACACCCTGGCAAGAGTTTGTTAAAGTTTGTAGAGAATTTGTAATAGTTTGTAAGACTTTGTAGGCGTTCGATTTTCTGCCTCGATTTTGTAAAAATCGAAAATAAATCGGAATTAAATCGATGGCAAAAATCGTCTGCAATTACAAACTTTACAAATTTTGTAAGGAGCCCCGCCACCGACCCTATTTCTATAATGCCACTACCCCCGCCAGCCACACAGGCCGGCGAGACTCACCCACACAGCGCAGAGTCTGCCAGACTCCCTAACGCGGCGCGGGCACACGCAGGCAAAGCAGTAGCAGACCGACCCACCCACCCAGCGCGCCAAGACCAAGGCTAAGCCCGCTCGCGCGGTGGTCGGTGACTGACTCAAGCTACGCAGCCCATCCACCGAGCGACCCACGCAGCGCGGAAAGACTCAGAGCCCCCACAATGCAGACCCACCCACGCAACGCCGACCCACTCACACAACGCCGACGCGCTCCCACACGCAGCGCAGACCCACTCACGCGGAGCAGACTCACCCACGCAGCGCAGAGGCCAGACTCGCTCGCGCAGCGCAAACAAGACCCGCCCGCA